ACACAAACACGCACACACGCACACACACATACACCAGCCAAGGCCACAATCTTAGGGCGAGATGGGCGATCCTCGATTTCAGGATGAGCCACTTTCCAAGGCTACCCTTGCATCTATCCTTCCTCTTGGGCCCAGCCTTGGCAACCTTTCGCTGGCCGCGCCCCGCTCGCAGAGTGTCGACATGGCTTTCCAAGGCCCCTTTGCATCCTTGGCGTACGTCCTTCTAATGCGGGTCGGCGGTGTCCGTGTGCTGGTCCGTATGCACTGTTCCCGGGCCCAGGATGGGCCTGGGCCGCCTGGGCGTCGGCGGGCAGCTGGGGCCCCAAGCCCTGCCAACGCACGACTCGTAGTTGGGGTGCGGGCTTCTCTGGTTGGCGGCGGGCGCCCCCAACTTGGGGATCGTCCCCCCTGCTCGCCATCACTGCTGAATCTAGGATCAGGTCGTGCGTGTCCCACAGGAGTACTCAAGAGTGGTCACACGTTGTCTGATGACGCTTGGTCTTGCCTCTTCCATTAGTTCTGTCTTTGTCGTGACTGCTCGTTTTTCCCTCCTGCCAGAACCCGCCTGTAGGAGGACATGCCCGACCCCAAAAAAGTCCAGGACTGCCTGCTGTTCGAAGACCGGTGGTGGTGAGCGGGGCCCGAGGCTGGCCCGGGCCCCCGTGGCTGGCTGCACGGCGGGGCCGCACGTGGCCCCGGGTTGGCGGGCGCGCCGCGGAGCTGCCACTGTCCAGACGCGGGGCGCCCGCGGCGCGCGCCGTGCACATCGGCCCGGGCCTCCTCGTGCAGCCTGTCGAGCAGTGGCGAAGCGTGGCGAGCCCTACCGGACAGTGTTCTAGGGAACCTTTTTTGTGGCTTCCACGAGATGGTTCTTGGAACACTTCGGGCGGGGTCGGTCTTGCTTTTTTCACATCGGGTGTGGGTTCTCAGAACATTGTCTTTGCTCTCAGAACGTGTTTGGGTTCTGAGAACATTTCGTGGTAGGACTATAGGAATGCCGGGACGGTCGGTCCCTGCTCAAAATTTGAGGGGCTTGGCCGATTACGAGCTTCTCTGTTGGCGCGTTTCTCTGACAGTCACGGCTTACGCCACTGGCTACGTGGAGCAAGTGGCTGCATTGGAGCAGCCTTTGGCGTTGGATTCCGCGGCGAAGCGATATTGCCTTCCGAGCGCCCTGGCGATGTTCCATAGAAGGTATATCGCAAAAGCGTTTTGGTAACGGACATGAGGAGTGCAATGGTCAATTTATCATGCGCCTCGCCCTTCTTACTCTGCTTCTAACTCGATGCATTTGGCATTCTGCAGTTCGTGGACGCACTACCCTGGCTCTGAAGCGAGCGTGTTCTTAGAGCAGTTGCAGACTGGACAAGTGTCTTCGACGACTGCGGTCACCGATTGTCACTCCTAGCTGCCAGCGTCAGTCTCCAGACCGATAGATGTATTCCGCATGCGGCATGCTCTAGCCTACGCGAGTGTCTCTCACAGCATTCAGAACCCGGCCCATGAGAAGGCGCCCTTGTCGGACTTGTCGGAATTGTCGGAGATGGAGGTGGACCAGGCGGAGTTGTCGCCAGCAGCTCAGGCGGGGCTGAACCATACCGATTCACTCGGCGTCCCACACTTTTCTTAATGTTTGTTTGCTTTGCCGCCAGTCTCACGCTGCCGCTTGCCAGTCTCACGCTGCCGCTTGCCGCTGTGCGGGCTGGGCTGCTGATCAGCAGCCCGCACAGGGTCCACGTAAATTGCAGCCGCGTTGCGGACGCCAGAATAGCTCAGGCCTGTCGGCCATCATTGGAAGACTTTGATTCGGCACACGTAAGAGTGACCCTTCGCCAGCGTGACTGCTGGTGCGCGGTCAAACCAAGCACACAGGACGCTCCTGCCGCATGGCACGCAACGACAAGAAACTTGTTTGACCAAGGTTGTTCTTGCCTACTGCCACTCCTGCGTGGAGCCGAGAGATGCGACCACCGATCCAGTAATCATTACAGTCGAGGCGGATTGGTAGGTCGACCTTGCCAAATCAAGGGTGCCCTCGTGTCCTGCGTTTCGCGACCCATGCCTTCTGCATTCCTGGCAATATGGCCCTCGGAAGAATCTTGTGTCCTCTCGCGTGTCCTCTCCAATCAACCTCGGCTGTGTCCCCCTCCTCCCCTCGGGGACGAGGCAGGGTGAGGAGAGCAGGTTAGACCCGTCGGCGCCGAGTGCCTCCAAGCCGCTCCAAGCAACGTCTGATTCGGTGCACCATCGGGTGGTTTCCGAACGCACCTCGAGACGGGCAGGGGCCCATCCGACTGCTGCGGGCAAACTGCCTGCGCGTGTGCACAGAATCACGATGCTGAAATGCTGGAGGGGGGCAGTGGGGGCGTCATGCAGCAGCGCCCCGGGCGATGATTCCTACGGTGGTTTCGCGTCGTGCCGACAGGCGGCGACCCCGCCGCCGGCGTTCAACGTTGAACGGTGCCGGCGACCCAGAATCGTTCGATGTTGAACGATTTGGGAAGCGGCCGATCGTTCAAGGTTGAACGATCCCCGCGGTGTCAGGAACCAACGCTGGTGTCGACACGACACGTGCCGTAAGTGGGGTTCTGGGTCTGCTCGTGGACGTCGTCGTCTTTGAGATTGCTTCGCCTTCTTCTCTCAGAAGAAATCAGGAGACTAAAACCAATGTTGTCCCCAGGCAGTGTGGGCATTGGGGGACCCTTATCTTAGATTCGCGTTCTTCGGATATGGTACCTTGCGATATTTTGCGCGGCGGCCGACCGTCGGCGCTTCGAGGGCGCTTCTGGCTTGCACCACAGCTAGAGTGCACGGCATAGCTTGCTCCAGATAGTCAGTGCCATATACTTTGCACCACATAGCGTGGTCGTACCGCACTGCCACAACCCTCCTCGAAATCTACCCCTTGCTGACAAAGCCAGAGTGCAAGATCTGACCGTTTGGCGTTCCCGCTGACGAGCGTTTATGTACATCGTTTCTCTCGATTGTTTCCCTCGCCATGCTTCAGCCACGTTCACGTTGTGCGGCCGATGGCAAACAATCGTCAGGGTAGAAGGCCGCACGAGCTTAGTGGGCCAGTGGGCTCCAGTCCTCCTCCTCTTCCTCCTCCTCCTCCTCATTCTCCTCCTCATCCTCATCCTCCTCCTCCCTCTCCTCCTCCGCCTCCTCCCCTCCTCCTCCTCCTCCTCCTCGTCATCATCATCATCATCATCATCATCATCATCATCATCATCATCATCATCATCATCATCATCATCATCATCCTTCTCCTCCTCCCTCCTCCTCCTCCTCCTCCGTCCTCGTCCTTCTGCTCCTCCTCCTTCCTTCTTCGGAGACTCCTCCTCCTCCTCCTCCTCCTCATCCTCCTCCCTCTTCCTCCCTCGTCCTTCTCCTCCCTCCTCTTCTTCCTCCTCCTCCTCCTCCTCCTACTTCTCCTCTTCCCTCTCCTCCTCGGGGATGAGGCCCTCGCTGGCAGCCCCCGGTAACAGGCTGCGAGCTGGGGGGTCCCCAAGCACTGGGCGTCCCTCATGGGCCGTTCGTCGTTTCGGCCGACGGCCCCGAGGGGCTGCTCAGTGGCGGCCACTGGCCCCGAGGGACAGCTCCTCCGCCGCAGCTGGCGTGTTGCCGAGTGCTTCAGCCCCAGTGGGCCCAAGATGGTCCGCCTTCTCTTCCCCATCCTCCTCCTCCTCCTCCTCCTTCTCCTCCTCCTCCTGGGCCCAAGATGGTCCCGGGACCACCGTCGAGCACGCCGGCAGCCTGGATCTCGAAACGCGCGCTCCCGAGGCCCCCTTCTGGAGCAGAAGGGACGCGCGGGGAGAGCCCGGGAGCGCTTGGGACGCCCAGACTGGCCCGAGAATCCTCTGACCAGGGGGTCTAGGGCCTTCGAGGAGCATTTGCAGCACGGTCGGCCCGAGGTATAGATCGGATTGAGGCCAGTTGGGGGAGGGTACCCTGATGTTTTTCGCGCCAGTTTGGCCGGCGGAGGGTCTTACGTTCTTGAAGGATGTTCTTCTGTCTCAGGTCCGGCCGTACCCCAAACTGGGAGACAGTGGTGGATGTGCTGTGCCAGCGCTCGGACCAGCGCCAGAACTTGTGCTCGCATGGCGTAGTTCGTGTTTGTAGTTGAGTGTGTTCGCGTGTGTGTATGTGTGTGTGTGCCGATGAGCGAGCTTCTCCTGCCCTGCAACTGAGCTGGGCCTAGTTCCCTGCACGCTCGCTAGCCCGGCGCAGCTCCCCACCTACAACGCCGGGTGGAATTCGGGATGATATCTTGTTTGCCCCATGGTATCTCTCGCCACTGTGATGTCAACTGGCCTGTGGACGGGAAAAACAAGTGTGTGTGTGTGTGTGTTTGTGAGTGTGTGTGCGCGCGCGCGTGTGTGTGTGTATGTGTAGGTGTTGCAGCTGGGCCCGCCCTGACCCGGAAGGATACGGCCGTTGCTCGAGATGGCGAGTCGGTCGTGCGCTTGCAGTCGTCGCGCCCGTGCGCCCCGCTCGCGTTTCACCAGCCGTTACAGCGAGGAAAAGGCATAGCTGCCTGCACGTGCTCGTCTGTGCACCTGTGTGCTTGCGTGTGCGCGCCTGAGTGCGTGTGCGCGCCTGTGTGCGCGCCTGTGTGCGTGTGCGTGTGTGTGTTTGTGCTTGTGCCTCTGCACGTTGTCGTGGCAGCGCCTGCCCGCCCACGAAGTTCGGCGCGCCGGCTTGCCTTGCGCAGCCCACCACCCGCAGCGCCTGGTGGAACTCGCGCGGTAGCCCGCGTCACTTGCCATCGAGCGCTACGGTGACGCCATCTCGCCAGCGGAGGAAGCAAATACACAATATCAACCCGCATAGTAACGACGAGCCACCTTCCAAGGTTACCAGTGCATCCTTCCTCTCAGGAGGCGATGACACAACGAGGCTGTCATCGCTCTTCCCCTGGGCGCCGGCGGCACGCATCCCAGGATGGGCCAGTGGAGAGGCCGAGCAGGTTTCATCTTTGGACTGGATATTGTTTCAAAGATTTCTTCGAAGTGGTAGGCCCCTCCTCGTCATCCTCCGAGCCGTCCCGTGTGCCTGCTCCCTCGGCATCGCGGTCTCATTTTCCAGGGTCTTGAGGCCGAGGGTAACCATCGACAGACGGCGGATGCATCGTCTCACCCTCCGGATCCTGACTGCCGTTCTCTTGCACTTCATCCCCCGCCTCCTCCTCCTCCTCCTCCTCCTCCTCTTCCTCCTACTTCCCCTCCTCCTCTCTTCCTCCTACTTCCCCTCCTCCTCCTCCTCCTCCTCCTCCTCCTCCTCTACCCCTGGTGCCCTCTTGTGCCCCCACTGCCCCTCCGTCCGTCCGTCTTCCCCCACGCGCTCGGGCTCCAGCGAGAGGAGCCCTGGGCTTCTCCGATCCGAGCGCCACGGCAGCCCTGGCCCAGGCCTCTCCGCCGCGTGTGCGGGGGGGAGGGGGACACAACTCCCAGACCCCCGACGTCACGATCTGTTCATAACGCCGACCCCCAGAGATATCGACCTATTCCCCTGGCCCGGCCTTTCATTCTGAGTCGTGTTCTGACGGCCCCGAGGGCCGGTGAGGGCCTCCAGAGGCCGAGAAGACGGGAACACCTTTCAACATGATTCTTTCATTGCCCGAGGGGGGCACACCCACTCCGATTTGTTCACTGCCCGAGGGGGTCTGGGCCTGGGACCCCTGGCGGGCCCCGCAGGCCGCCGCGCCGCCGCTCGGCGCGCACATGGCGAGCCTGGCGCGCGGTGCCCTGCCGCCGCTGCACGACGCGGCGCTGCGCGGCGGCGGCGGTGCCCGGGAGGAGGCTGGCGGCCATTAAGTCGGGCACGTCCCTCTGCAGGAGGGATCTACAAACATAGCCCCAAGAAATGCGGGGACGATGTTCCGATTATTTTGGCCTACCTCTGAATTTGTGTAGCACATATTGTTTCTTGAGTTAGCAAGTGAGGACGCCTGTAGGAGGACGTGCCCGACCGAAGGCCGGCGCCACGCCGCGGCTTCCGCGCGGCGCGCCCCGCCCCGCCGCCGCCCCGCCCGCCCAGGGCGGCGGTGCGGCGGCCGCGTCGGCGGCAGGAGCCGCGATGCTGGGCCTCGGGCGCCGCCGGCGGGGCCGCCCGGTGGCCTCTGGGCGACGCGCGGCGGGGCGGCGAGAGTTATGGTGTGCCAACCCTTACCTCAGCCTTGAACAACAGGAAGGATGTCGAGCACCAAGGAAGTACCGAAACCGGAGAGATTTCACGTGTCGGGCCCTGGGAGGCGATGCTCGTTCGACACCGTTTCGACACTTTTCTGGATGATCGAAATGATGTTTGTTGGATGTGGTCCTTAAGTGCGATGGGCACAACTGAAGGCGAGAGGCGGGGCTGGCAGGGCTGTGCGGCGGCCTTGCGGCGCCGTCCGCCGTGGCCGCCGAGGCCGAGCAGCCGCTGGCGGGCGGCGACCTGTCCTATCCAGACTGGCTGTTCGGGGAGTGGAAGGCCCGGAGGCGGAGAGAGCCCCCACGCTGGCGGGTCGGTTTGGCGAGCCGCCCCCCGCCCCTCGGGCCTCGAGAGGGCGTCGCGGCCGCAGCTTTCGGGGGCCGGCGCCCGCCGGGGCCGTGTCCCGGGGCCGATATATTCCGCAGAGGACATCCATGCACCACCACCGTGCCTGGCCGCCTGGCCTGGCCCAGCCTGGGCCCTGGGACGGTGTGTAGCGTATAGTATAGACCCTCCAGGCCTCGCCACGAGGGCGTATACACCACGCCAGGGCTCAGGCTGGCACTGGCGCCGCGTGGTAGTATATAGATTCCCGCGTAGACACATGGGGGGGGGAGAAAGGTGCCCTTCTTGGGCACTAACGGCCCCCTCTGGGGCCCGAAGGGGCCGCCCCTCTTCTGCAGCTCTCGATTCCCCCCATGTGTCGCTCTTCCATTCATTCGCGCCCAAGTCCACCCCGGGAGCAGGCGGTCTCGGAGCTGACGGAGGTGGAGACCCCCCAGGGGGACGAGCTCGCCCCCGTCGCCGCCATCCGTGCGCGGGACAGGGTCGGCTCGCGGGAGGCCGTGGCGAGCTACACGAAGAGGTACGTGGCGCAGTTGGGCAAAGTGGTCAACGACAGGGTGCTGCCCTCACAGGCGCTGCTGGACTGCCTCGGGTGCCCAGGGAGCGCCGAGTCGGTGCAGTGGGGCGGCGCGACGGACCTCGCGCGCGAGAAGCAGATTGGCATCCACTGCTCAGGGGAACCGAGAGGGGGGGGATAGGCATAGGGTGGATGCATCGACCCCCAAGCGCCCATTCATCGCTGATAGGGGCCAGTTCGCCCACCCCCGCCCAGGAAGGTACGGATTCATTATCGCAACCTCTCGCCGATCAATCGGCGATGAATCGCCGATTCCAGGTCGATGTTTCCCCACCTATGCCAGTCCCCCCCCCTTCTCGCTGCCCCCCAACTGCGTCGCGAGCCAGGCCCCTGACCCGCGACCCCACCGATACGGGGCGCTTTTGTTCGCAGATGCCCCGCGCGGAGCGCATCCATGCCACCGCGTGTCCAAGGGATCGCGACCCTCAGAATCCAGACCGCGAGGGTATGGACATCTGATCCAGGGCTCCGCCCCCCCCCACCCCCCCTCGTGCTGATGCCTTCGCCCCCCCCCACCCCCCTGCGCGATGGGTCCTTTCCCTGTGGGCGTGGCCCTGTGGGCGTGTCGTCGTCGTGTGGTCGTCGTCGTCGTCGTCGTCGTCGTCGTCGTCGTCGTCGTCGTCGTCGTCGTCGTCGTCGTCGTCGTCGTGGTCGTGAGGATCCCGACGTCACCCTCATCAAGTTCAAGCGCGGCGGCCTCACCGTGACGGTCAACCTGCGCTCCGTACTGAAGGCGGGCGCGCAGCCCGAGGGGCGCACGGATCTCTTCAACGTCAGCGAGCTGTTCCTGGCCGCCACGGAGGCGCCGCCAGAGGTGGTGCCCGTGCGTGAGGTGCGGAAGTTCAAGCGCGTGGGGTCGGGCTCGGACTCGCCGGGCGTGCAGGAGCTGCTGCGGCTGGAGGCTGCACTGAGGAAGAGGCACCGACACCGCGGCTCGGCAGAGCCCTCGTCGCCACGGCTGGACTCTCCCCAGAGTTCTCGTCGGGACGCAGCCCCGGAGACGTGCTGGGAGTGGCGGTATCGGCACGTTCGCTTACGCTGCACCGTCGCGAGGCCTCGTCTGCCCCATCGCGCTGCGATTCGCGTCGAAGCCGCGTCGAGTCGCGTCAGAGCCTGCCTCGCATCCGCGTCGAGCGTCCCGCGGGCAGGCGTCGCCGGCCAGGGTGGGGGTCGACGCTTCTTCCAGGGCAGGCGGGGCCCCCGCGAAGCGGCAGCGCTCGGGAGGGGAAAAAGCACACACAGACACAATGAAGCGTCGATTCCTCAGACAAAAATGTGGGAACATCTGGGAAGTGGGGGGGAAGACACAAAACAAAAAAGAAAGTATGGGAAAATGTGGGGAATCCGGTTATTTGTGTGTGTGTGTGTGTATTGATCTGTGTGTCCCAGGGCCCCTTCAAACACAATTCTTTGTCCCCCCATGAGGTGTTCCCCGCGCTGGCCGCGGACGCGGGCTCCAGCGTCGCGGGGGACGTGGGCCAGCCCGTGGCGGTCCTCAAGTACAAGGCCCTGCTGGTGCCGGCGTGAGCCTCCGCCGCAGAGCTTCGACGGTGTGATCTGGCCAGTCCGGGCGAGGGCCCCTCGAGTCGGCCCTCATCGGGCCCCGGGGCCTGCAAGCACGGAGCAGGGGCGCAGGACTGCTCAGGGGGAAGTGGTCTCTCAAGGGTTATGCCTTCGGGAGCTCATCCGTTGCGTTCTGTAAATTGTGTGCATTCCTTACGTGGCGACGCGTTGTAGCTACACCATAACTAAGCTTTAGGTCGTTACAACTGTCGGCTTGGCGTGATTGGGTGAAAGCATGCTTATTTCAACTGGTTCTGTGCAACGCGGTTCAACAAGTTAGAAAACATCACTTGTCACAACTCCCCGCAACTTATCGTAACTCCTCCGCATCCGCGATTGCCGCCGCATGGATTTTGCAGACCAAAGTGCGGATAGGCGGGTGGGATGATTGCGCGAGCAGTGGGATTGGCAGTTTCAAGTTCGGAAGGGCGAATTCTCTTTTTAAAAGACAAATAGGTTCTACCACCCTTCCCCCCCCCGGACTTGACCACCACCCATGCACCGCTGTAAAACACATCGGGTTCTGACCTAATGTCCATCCCACCTGTGAATTCACACTATCCCAGCCAGGCCAGTATCGCCCCCCCGCCATCCTCTGCAACAAAATGACTATGCGCGCACCCGTTTATCAAAACCATAAGTATTCGAGAGTCCCTTGCAACACATGGGACGAAGTGCACACGCGCGCGTCGTCGCGCGCGCATGCCGAATTCCTCCAAAAACCCATCGTTTCGGAAGGATGCCAAGATCGAGTGTCCAAACAACATACAAAAACACAGAGTTTCCCAACACGGAGTTTTAACAAAAGCGTGCGCGCTCTTGCGAATTCTTAAGAAAAACATGGTTTTTCAACATGTCCAAGAAAAACTGCCAAACGGGCTTCGCGCGCGCATGTCCAAAGCCTTCGAACGCCCTTGCGCGCGTGCCGTCGCGAGAATCCACTGCAAACAAATATGACGAAGTGCATACGCGCGCGTCGTCGCGCGCGCATGCCGAAATCCTCCCAAAACCATCGTTTCGGAAGGATGTCAAGATCGAGTGTCCAAACAACATACAAAACACAGGGTTTCCCAACACGGATTTTCATCAAAAGCGTGCGCGCTGTCTTCCGAATTCTTAAGAAAATCATTGTTTGTTCAACATTTCCAAGAACAACTATCAAACGGGCTTCGCGCTCGCGTGTCGAAATCGTTCGAACGCCCTTGCGCGCGTGCTGGGGTGGCACGATCCGTGTCAAATGGTACGTACCATGCAAGCCACTCTCGCGCGTCTGCCGCGCGCGCATTTCGAATTCCTTCCAAAGCCTTCATCACCGACGCGAAGACGCCGTCATCGTAGTTGGCGTGATCGGCATCGGCGCCGTCATCGCCAATATCATCATCATCGTGTCTACAGTTGTCGTCACCAACATCGCCACTATCATCGTCATCGTGTCTACAAGTGTCGACGTTGCCATGATACCGCATCCTCCCAAGCCGCCGACTCGCAGTCAAGTGCCCATTGGGATGTGCCAAGCGGTCAGTACCACCGCGGCCTCGTCGGTCGCGCCAAACTACCTGGCCGCTGCGCGCGCGCATGCGCGGGTTGGCGCGGCCGCAAAGATGCACCAGCCAGCGCCAAGCATGAGGCTTGCAAACCAAATTGCGGGCGCGTGGGTTGGATGTTTGCGCGAGCAGTGGAGTGGACCACTCACGGCGAACAGATATTCATTGCACCGTTTACACTGCACCATATATAGGCGGGGCACTGACGAAGGAACCCTTTTCGGTCGGGAGAGGCTCAGGGTTCCTTGGTTGTTTTGCAGCTCGCCTTAGGTTTTCATTAGGTCTTCGATCGGAATTCGAAGCTTAACTTATGGAGAAAAGGGGCCTCGTTCCTTATTTAGGGTTCCTTAGGTCAACGCCCCGACTGTAGCGTGCACAGCATAGACTGAGACGCATAGCTTTCACCACATGCTCACCGTCGCCCGAGGCGTCAGAGCGCATCGGCGACGGGTGCGTGGGAGACGGAGCTGCACCGTGACCCGACATATACCCACCGAGGCCGACGCCCGAGTGGGGACGCGCGCTGCCGCCTCGTCGCCACTCCCCCCTCTCTAGGCGTGCCAGGGACCGTGTGAGGGTCGTCTGGAGCACCGGCCCGCGCTGGCCACTTGACGACGAAAGTGTCAGAAACGAGTGCTACCACGAGAAAAAAAAAGAAAGTGTCAGAAACACGCGTTCGTCGTAGAGTCTCCGGCGCTCGGCGGCACGCTTGCTGGCCGGTTTTTTCTCTCCCCGGAGGCTCCAGGGTTCCAGGGGCTTCCGCCCTGCCGAGGCCCAGGCCAAGGGTTCGGAGGGGAGGATGTCGGAGCTGATTTCTGCGGGCCTCTGGCCCTCGAGATGCCCCCTCTGAAGGAGCCCCAGCTGTCGGCGCCCGTCTCAGTCTCTGCTCTGGCCGCGGATCGGCAGAGGGAGGGCCCTCCCCCCGATCCGTGCCGCCGCAGACGGCGTCGCAGGACTGCCGCCGGCGCGAACTCTTTCGCCCTCTTTGCCCTCCAGCCTCTTTAGCGCAAGGCCGCCGCTGTCCTTGTTGCCCCTCCTCCCCCTGCTTACCCACCTCACTCCTTCCTCTCGTTGCTGCGCTTCTCTCGGACGTGGGTGGATGAGTTGTGGAGGTGGGAGTGTGGGGGAGGGGGAGTGACGGGGTTCAGCGTTTTTTTGTTTCCTCAGGGCGGGTTTGCTGTCTCGGCACCCTGCCAGACACAGGCAGCGTCGTCGGTTTCGGGCTCGTGTGATCCGAGGGGCATCACCCCCAGCCCAGCGAGAGCCCACAATTGCTTCCTCCTATATACGTCGTATGATAGGTTGCACGGTGCGTGACACCTCGAGACTCGAAGCTGGTTTCGATCGTTTGAGGTCGAGCGTGAGGTGAGCTGTCACGGCTGGCATCGGAGGTCTGAACCAGGCCACGCGCAGGGTTGAGTCTTCTTCTTTTTCTTCCTCCTCCTCCTCCTCCTCCCCCTATCCCCCCCTCTCCCTGCCCCTCTCCCTCCCCTCCCCCCCTTCCCCCCCTCCGCCTCCCCCCTCCCGCCCCCCCGCGTTCTCAAAATGAGCCCCCCCCACCCTCACAATGCACGAGCTTTTGGTGGTCAACTCCCAAGGGCCTCCTTGGGTACCTTTGTTTATTTTGGGTGGATCCCCGCAAGTCGCATCGGCAAAGGAACGCGCCGCCTTGTCCAGAACCATCTGGGCGACGCGCGCTGGTCTTGCAATGCAGGACCTGGGCAAAGAGGAAGTGCAGTAAGTGCGTTGGGAGCCAAGCGTATCCTCCAGACACCTTTTTCATGAGACCGCACTCGGGCACCCCAATTAGAACACTCCCCCTCGTCAACAGGCCGAAGTTATTCTGTGAACTCCCCTGGTGTTCAATTATTCGTTACGGTCTTCCCATGTTATCGGGCCTGAGCTGGTTTCCAGTCACGACTTCGTCGCCCCATAAAATGGGGAGCTCTACCGTGTCACCCAAGCGGGGTGTTGCAAAACTGCAGAACCTGTCGAACGTGCACACATTGCTCAAGTTGGCAAGCGGGCGCAGTCTTGTCCATGGCACAAAACCCATCTAGTGCGGAAAACTTCAAGTATTGAACACGTTCCAAACATGTCCGTTGACAGTTTTTGAACAATCCGTGAGCCATTCACACTCTGCGTCGTCTTCCAAACTCGCTGCAATTCTACAACGGCAGCGCATGAAACTCGCAACGCCGCGTTGCGATTGCCGCCCAACAGCCTGGCCCTCTTCCTTGGCCGCGCCGTCATTTTCGCGAGCCACAGTGAGCGTAGCTTGAGCCTGACAGCGATGCGATCAAGTCTAGCTCCCTGAGGGTCCCCACGGAATGCGCCCGAGCAGATTCACTACATCATAATTTGGGGGTTACGGTGGAATGAGTATGTGTTTGCGCATGTGTGGAATTGAAGCCAAAGTTTTCGCAATCCCCACATCGGTTCCGTAAGTTGTTTGTTGTGTGACCTCGCAGTGTAGACGTTGACCGTAATTAAGGTGCTAGTAAGATAGCAATTTGCGAAACTACCTTGCGCATCCCGCGATAAACTGTTACATGATGTTAGCAACTAGACTAGTTGTAGCAGTGGCAACAGATATGCAATGAACTGTGTTCTCTGACGTTAAACATTCAGTACAACTTTGGTGTGCAGCATCGAACACATATTGGCACTGATATACATTCAGCTGATACACTTACCTTATGCTTTAGTGTCTCTATGCAACCATCGGGGCCCAAATCCTGAAAGTCGAGACTTAGTGGGGCCGCGGATTGGAAGTCAACAAAAGCATCGGAGGGCGGTTGATGGCCAGCGTGCCCAGTTCCCGACTGCGCGCGCGATGTGCGACGGTTGCCGGTTGCTTGAGCTCCCGCGTCGCCGTGTACAAAAGAGCTCCCCCCCCGCATGCTGCGCAGAGGGGTCAGTCAGAGGGCGTTTGGCAGCTCTTTTCAACATGTTCCATGGGAGCCGTATATTGGAGACCATACGTACGTTCATGTTTGGTCTCGAATGGTGTAGGCATCGACGGTCTGCGATCGACTAGAAATGTTAGAGAGGTGGCATCTTGTCGAACGATGTGATGTGTGCGCGGGACCGCATCAACGTCCCTGTCGGTCTCTCTCTATCTTTTGTATTGTTGGGCGTCAAATCCTCCCCCTTCCCCCCCTCCTTCGTTAAAGGCTGAACGACTTCCACTGGCCCTCGAGTCGCGCTTGAGCTTCCACGATCTCTCCAGATTTACCTGGCCATCTTTGGATTTTCCTGGATTTGGATTTTGCACAGACTGATGCAGATTTGCTTCGATTTGTGCGACTTGATACCCGCAAGTCGATTGGAGAAGAGTGGCCAAGTCTTCGTCGTATAGGCTAAGCCCCATGGGGCCGTAGGTCGGGCGGGGCTAGGACGAGGGTGCGCTCACAGAGCGTTCCGGCACGCTCCGAGAAGGCCGCGGCGCCGGAGACATCCCCCAGAGCCGCCGGATCTCGGAGATTCTCCATTTGTCCTCACCCGAGGTTGTCCTCAGCTTGGCTTCGTCCTCGTGGGTGGGGTGGTGTCGTCTGTTGCCTGGTCCACCCTGGGGGGACTCCTCGGCGCCGTCGGCAGCGCCCGGCCACCGCACCGCCGGCGCGGCCGCGCCCCCCGCACGCGGCCGCTCCCCCAAGCCAGGCGGAGGAGGGCGACTGCGCCGCGCAGGCCGGCGAGCCTCCCGGCAGGGGGGCGGGGCGGGGCTGCTCGCCACGGAGGGGAGCGACGAACGAACAACACACACCCATACCCATAGGGGGGTCGTTGGGAGGAGGACCGGCTGTGGGTATGGGTGCGGGCTGTCGGACCCTGGGGAACGCTCCCGTTCGAGCGGGGACCCCCATCCGACAACACGCACCCATAGCCCTCTCCGATCCCCTTATGGGTATGGGTGTGTGTGTGTGTTGTTGGTTCGTCAGGGCAGCGACTGCACGTAAAGAGTGACCCTTCGCCGGAGTGACCGTTGGTCACCGACCACTAGTCGCCCAGCACCGACTTGCAAACGTCCGAAAACACACACAGGTCTGTTTCGGTGTAGATTATCGTAGATGCCCCGCGGGGATCCAGGCCATGTGCGAGTAGTTACTTTGCGAGTCGTGGAACGCGCTCGTCCAGTTGGTGCGGGCTCCTCCCCATGGGGCCGTAGGTCGGGCGGGGCTAGGACGAGGATGCGCTCACAGAGCGTTCCGGCACGCTCTGAGAAGGCCGCGGCGCCCGAGACATCCTCCAGAGCCGCCGGATCTCCGAGATTCTCCATGTTGTCTTCGCCCGATGTTGTCCTCAGCCTGGCCTCGTCCTCGTGGGTGGGGTGGTGTCGTCTGTTGCCTGGTCCACCCTGGGGGGACTCCTCGGCGCCGTCGGCAGCGCTCGGCCACCGCACCGCCGGCGCGGCCGCGCCCCCCGCACGCGGCCGCTCCCCCAAGCCAGGCGGAGGAGGGCCTCGGCGCCGCGCAGGCCGGCGAGCCTCCCTGGCAGGGGGGCGGGGCGGGGCTGCTCGCCACGGAGGGGAGCGACGAACGAACAACACACACCCATACCCATAGGGGGGTCGTTGGGAGGAGGACCGGCTGTGGGTATGGGTGCGGGTTGTCGGACCCTGGGGAACGCTCCCGTTCGAGCGGGGACCCCCATCCGACAACACGCACCCATAGCCCTCTCCGATGCCCCTATGGGTATGTGGGTGTGTGTGTGTTGTTGGTTCGTCAGGGGAGCAGCTGCACGTAAGGAGGGACCCTTCGCCGGAGGGACCGTTGGTCACCGAGCGCGTGCCACGAGTCGCCCAGCACCGACTTGCAAGCGTCCGAGAACACACACAGGTCTGTTCTGATGTAAATGTTTTCGTAGATGCCCCGCGGGGGATCCAGGCCAGGTGCGAGCAGTTGCTCTGCGAGTCGTGGAGCGCGCTCGTCCAGTTAGTTGCTGCGGGCTCACCGGGGCCCCCCCGATCGCTGCGCGCGCTGCGGGAGCGGCCGCCTGCGCGCCTGGACCCGGCCGCCGTGCGCCCCCTTCCTCCGCGCACCGAGGGCCGGCCACTCATCCTGGCATCGCTCGGACGTGTGCGTTTTTTCTTTGGGCGAGGACCATCGAGGAGCATCCTTGATCATTTGGCGAAAAAGCCACGCACGAAACCGAAAAAAGCACAGGGAATGGACGTCCGAGCGATGGCGAGTCATTGGGTGCAGCCAGGGTGCAGGAGGGCGGGGTCCGCGAGGGAAGCGGCCCCCGGGGTTCTTCGCCCTCCTCGGGCTCCTCGGAGCCCTCCACGGGGCCCCAGCCGCGCCTCAGACGAGCGGCTGGGGCTGCAGGACTGGCGCTGCAGGTGCAGGCCCCTTGTCGCAGGCCCAGAGGTTGGACACCGGGCACCAGTATCGGCGGTGTGCCTCCACCGAGGGCAGAAGATCCCGATCTCGGGGATGGTGGTACTGTTCTGGCTTCTCAGGTGACCAGAAGGTTGCCACCAACCCCGGAATCTGGGATCTTCCTCCCCATGTGGAGGCAGCCCCCCCCTGTGTTGGTGTTGGTGCCCATGCCTGGGCCTCCAACCTGGGGTCCAGGACCCGCCTCCCCCAGGACCTGCCTCACTCACGGTGGCGCTGCGCGCGCCCGCGCCTGGCCCTGCGGAGCTCTGCCCGCCGTCTCCTGCTCCGCTCCCGGTGCGCCCCCTCCCGCCGCCTCCCCCCCCTCGGCCTCGCCTCGCCTCCCCCTTCGGAGGCCAGCAGCAGGTGTGCGCAGGCGCGGTCAGCTGCCGCCGGCTCGCTTCCGAGAGCGCGGTCCGCTCGTGCACGCGGGACCGCGGAGTGCGTTCGTACATCCATACATGTACGTCTTTGCTGGTTCACCTTCCCTCCTCCTCCTCCTGCTCCTCCTCCTCCTCCTCCTCCTCGTCCTCTTCCTCCTCCTTCTCCTCCTCTTCCTCCTCGTCGTCCTTATCGTCCTCCTCCTCCGCCTCCTCCTCCTCCTTCTCCTCCTCCTCCTCCTCCTCCTCCTCCTCCTCCTCCTCCTCCTCCTCCTCCTCCCTCTTCCCGACATCACACCATCATTTCAACCCCGCCCTCCTCTACCTCCAACCAACACCGCTAAGCCCCTGGCGGGTTCGGCTGGGTAATTCTTTATTCCTGATCACTTCGCCTCCTCCTCCTCCTCCTCCTCCTCCTCGTCCTCCTCCTCCTCCTCCTCCTCCTCTGAGGCGAAGAAGGCGACATGTTGTTGACCAAAGAGTTGGTGTTCGTTGCCCGCTTGGGCTTGAACTTCACAACCATGGCTGAAGTTTTGTATTCAGACGAGGGCAGGTTCGACAATGTCGGAACCCAAGGGCCCAAGGGCTCACTTTGATCTCCCTTGGGAGTGGCGGCTCCGAAGCGGCCGTCGACAAGGCTTGGAGGGATGAGGCCGAGGAGGAGGGGAGGGCCGCTGCTGCGGAGCCCGCCCACCTAGCACGTGTTTTCATCCTCTGGGCCATAACGCGCGTTGTGCCCCCCCCCTCTCCCACCCCACCCTTCACCCCATAACGTAACGCTCCCCCCCCCTAAGTGCGCATCCAGCACTGCCGTTCTGGTGCCCGCAGGCTACTGTGGTGCTCCTAGGCTACTTTAACGTTCACGGCGTAGCGTGGCGTTGCGTTGATCTGCTTATTGCTTGTGCTCGCAGACATGGTGCTGCGCTCGCAGGCTGTTGTCGCACATGCAGGGTCCGACAGTGTTTTTTTCTCACGTGCGATGGATTCACTCGGTACTTTGTTGTTGGTAGGGTTGCGAGAGTTGTGGTAGTGGTATTGGCCGCAGAAGTAGTGGCAGCAGTCGCAGCAATAGAAGTGATACCAGGAGGAGAAGACGCAGGAGAAGGAGTTGGAGGGGGGAACGGCGTGTCCCTGTCATCGTCGTCGCGGTTGTCTTGTGATTGTGGTGATGCTTGTTGTGTTTATTGTATTTATTATCGTCGTCGTCGAAATCACCGTGGTCGTCGTGTTCAGTTTGGTCGTTGAAACCGTCGTCGGCGTGTGATCGTCGTTGTGACCGTCGTCGTGACAGTCGCAGTCGTCGTAGTATTCGTAAACGTCGCGATCGTCGTCGTAGTCGTCGTGATCGTCGTCGCGGTCGTTAAGTATGGTGGTCTTCGTTGCGTGGTCGTCAGGATCGGAGTCGTAGTAGCCCTCACGGTTGGCGTTGGCTTCCTGAGTGTGGTCGTCGTTGCCGTCGCGATCGTCGTCGCGATTGTTGTTGTAGCTGTCCTCGTCGTCGTAGTCATAGATCGAGGGTGGCTGTATTCTTACAGCATTCTGCGCGCTGCGGTGGACGCGGCTGCTGTGGTGCACGCAGGCGCTGTCATTCACGCCAGCACTGCGGTGTACGCGTGCACCACACATCGGAAACAGGCAGCGCGGTACAGATTGGAGAACATGCTCGTGTTATGCTTGTGTTCTGGAGGCGGTAGATGCAGAGTGCACCCTCTACTGTGCAACCTGAATTCAACACAGCGGCGGCAAACGCCAGCACACAATCTTTCTCGAAGGAGAGTGTGAAAAGGTGCAGACACTAGGGTGGTGCACGATGGTGCATTTATGCGATGCGCAGTACCAAGGGCGATGTGGTGGACGCGGCTGCGGCGGCGCATACTGTGTTGCGCACGGTGGTTCTTGCTGTGATCCGCACAGGCGCGCTGTGGTGCCGGAGCCACACGGCGGCAGGGTGGCGCTACGTTATGCCCATCCCCCCGCCCGCCCGCCCGCCTGCCCCCCACCCCCCCCCCCATAAAGCGCGTTATGGCCGCGAATCTGACGCGCTCCTGGAGGCCCCCCCAGAGAGCCCTGAGGCCAACTCGCCTTCTGGAGGCCTCGGTCTCAGACCTCTCCAGCCTCTCCGACGGACCGACAGAGATCCCTTGGAGGCAGGGAGCACGTGTTTTGCTTGAGTTTCCGGTGCTGCAAGAGGGGGCAACCCTCCTTTTTGATTTCTCGTGCGGGCTCTAAGCCGCCGTTGCCCCAGGAACGAGGGTTCTCGAGGCGTCGCGCATGGGGCCGCAAGCGGCCCTTCCCGGAGCAGGCATGAAGAACAGGGCGTTTTTGTTTGCAAGCGAAGGATTGCAAAACAACTTTGGATTGCAAAAAAACTTTGCAAAACTTTGCAAAAAAACAAGGATTGCAACGAAGGGCGTTTTTGTTTGCAAGCTGAAGTCTCCCAACCGTCCTTTGACAGCTGGGCCGTGGCAGTCACCGTTGGGTGCCCAGGACCGCAGGTTGCTTTGAAGGTGCGTTCGACGGACCCGCCAGGCTGTCCCCCGGTTGCCAGGCGATTTTTGGGGGAAGCTGAAGTCTCCCAACCGTCCTTTGACAGCTGGGCCGTGGCAGTCACCGTGGGGTGCCCAGGACCGCAGGGTGCTTCGAAGGTGCGTTCGACGGACCCGCCGGGCTCTCCCCCGGTTGCCGCGGCCCGCGGGTGCTCGGGGACGGAGGCCAGGCACGGCCTCTGCCCTGCGCCGGCGGAAGGCCGGCAGGGGCCCCGAGGAGGCGGCGAAGGCAGCGGCGGCGCTGGAGACGTACACTGTAGGCGATGCTCAAGAGAACTCAAGTTTTCGTCCAGAGTCTCGATTATTCTTAAGTTTTCAGTGTAGATCCCACGATTTTGATAGAAACGTTGGGTCTTCAGTCAAGTTCTGAGACTCTGAATTTCTTAGCCCATGCTTTCTGAAGCACTTCGCAGGGTGTACCACCAGCTGGGCAGATTGCCTCCAGAGTCTCGACTTCGACGGGGTGGAGGCGAGAAGCTCTGGCACCCAGCGCCGAGAGCGGACCTCCCGCGCTCTCGGGGGTGACGAGAGTGGTCCTGGCATCGCTCGGACGTGTGCGTTTTTTCCTTGGGCGAGGACCATCGAGGAGCATCCTTGATCATTTGGCGAAAAAGCCACGCACGAAACCGAAAAAAGCACAGGGAATGGACGTCCGAGCGATGGCGAGTGGTGGTCGGTGCTTCCCCCCAGGGGGGGGGGTGCTTTGCCGCAGGCCCACGGGGCGGCCAGTCTCCGCCGCCCGGTGGCGCAGAAAGGTCCCCTCCGGAGGGCCTCGGGTTAGGGCTCGTGGCTGACCGCATGACCTCTTTCTCGTCTTCTCCCTTCCGTGGCGTGCGATCTTCCTCCTCCTCCTCCTCCTCCTCCGCCTCCTCCTCCTCTTCCTCCTCCTCCTCCTCCTCCTCCTCCGCCTCCTCCTCCTCCTCTTCCTCCTCCTCCTCCGCCTCCTCCTGTTCCCCCTCCTCCTCCTCCTCACCCAGGCGGCATCACCCAACCGCCTGAGCGTACGTCGGGGTAGCTTCGCGCGGATGTTGAAAAAGGGATCCCCCTCGCCACCCAATCATTACAGCCCACCCGCATAGGAAGGATGAGCAACTCCCCAAGGTTACCCTTGCATCCTTGCAGGTTCGGCCCATCCCTGGCAGCTGTCGATGGCCAGCCCCACTCCAAAAATGTCAACATGGCCTTACCAGGCCCTTGCATCCTTACCGCACATCCTTATCGTACGGGTTGACTGTACCGCATCATTGCAACCTCTCGCCCCCCGAGCGCCCCCTCCCCCCCTTTTCCGCTCCGCCATGTCCACCCTCATCCTGCCCAAGCGTGCCGACTTCGCCAGAGCCTCTCCTGGTGGACCCCCCCCTCCCCCGCCCCCAGGGTTGAAAGTGTGGGCGGGGGCCTTGGTAGGGGGGGGGGAGGGAGAGGGAGGAGGGAGGCTGGCATCCGTCCATCCCTGCATTCCAGCGCCCGCTCGCGAGTTACAGTCGGACCGAGGTGTGATATCGATGTCGGTGCGGGGAGGGTACCCTAATGTTCTTCGCGGTTGTTGGATGTTCCTCTGTGCATCCTGGGGAGGGCACTTCTGAGTGTCTTCGTTGTTTTGGCCGACGGAGGGTATCATGTTCTTGAGGCCTGTTCTTCTGGCCTAGGTCCGATTGCATTTGTTGTGCATAGAAAGCGAGGCTGACGCCAAGCTGGACCAAGGCAGGACGCTGCCCGAGGAGCAGGCCGCTGCGCTGCTGCTGGCGGTCTTCTTTGCCTTGGGGAGGTAGGTGAGGACACAGACACCTGCGGTACGCTCGAGAGGAAGAGTAAGGAAGGCGAGGAGCCCCCCGCTTCTATGGGCCCCCCCTCCAGCTATGCTAGCGTGCCCCCGCGCCTTGCCAACGCGGCCGGGCCGCTGGGCGCACGCGCCCTCTTCCCGCGTCCCTTGGCTTCCGCTTGCTGCGACCTCCGTTTTCTCGCGATCGGGACGCGCAGCCCTCCCTTCCACATGCTGCAGCCTCCTCTGTCGCTTGCCTCGCCGGCTTCTGCTTGCTCAATCAAGACGTTGAGATAAAGGCCACTTTGGGCTCAGGAGAGGCTCTGGCTTTCGGTCTGTTCCTCAGACTTGGTTGTGGCCGAAGCTCGCAACGGCTATATTCGCTGTGGCCGAAGCTCACAACGGCTATATATATACACACAAACGTAGCTCTGTAGTTCGCGCTCCTTTGGGTAACGCGACGGCTGCACCCGCGAATGGGGCACACGGCGTTCCTTCTGCATGCTGCGAACTATTCTGTCGCTTCCCCCCTTGGACCAGAAAACAAAAGACACCACCCCACCTACGGCCCCAGGGGGCATAGCGTATACCAGGAAAGTTGGCGTGGGCATCCGGGTGGTGTACGCTACGGCGCCCGCTGGTGCGTAGCGCAACGTGGAGGGCCCCAGGTGGGGTGGTGTCGTGTGTCTTTTGGGGGTCGACCCGTTGCTTTCTGCTTGTAGTCGCCGCTCGACCCCTCTCGCGGCTGCCCCCCCCCCCTCCGGGGGGAGGCTCCCGCGAGACGCGTCTCCTCTGGGCGAGGCCGGCGTCGCCTCGCATGGCGTGGCGGCCGCGCCCGGGCCCCCAGCAGGCTCCCCCGCCTCTGCCAGGCCGCACTCCGCCGCGCGGTCTGCGCTCCGGGAGGGCTGCAGGTGCTGCAGCCCTCCCTCGCGGCTGCCCGCGAGGCCGGCGTGGGCGGGCCGCGCTCCGCGCAGCGCCCGCGGATGGAGCCCCCGCGCGCGGCCTGCCCGGCAGCCGCCGCGCCGCCGGCTCCCTCCGTGGCCGCTGGAGCCCCGCGCGGGGTTCGTTCGTCCTCGGCTCCGTGCGGTTGCCGTGGGGCGCCCGCGTATGGCTCGCCGCTGCCCCGGCCGGCCGCTCCGGCCTGCTCTGCGCGGAGTTCTTCCACGTCTGAGCGCTTCCCTCTTCCGGAGGAAAATCAGACACAAAAACACACACACACACACACTGGAGAGAACGCACAGTCTCTGTGTGTGTTTGTGTGTATGTGTGTGTGCGTGTGTGTGTGTGTGTGTGTGTGTGTGTTCCGTTCCACAGACAACAAACACACAACAAACACACACAGCGTGTGTGTGTGTGTGTGCACGTGTGTGTGTGTGTGGGTGTGCGTGGCTGTGCGTGTGTGTGTGTGTGTGTTTGTTTTCCCACAGACTCCATAGTGTGGTTTTCCACAGACAGTGTTTTTCTGTGTTGTAGCAAAGTGTGTTTTTTTTCCACAGACCCCCCGCGGGGCCGCCCTCGTCTTCGTCTCTTCCTCTTGCACGCCGGACACTTCGCCTTTCGTCACCACCTACCAAACCACCCCAACCCAACCCGAAGGCCTCAATTTGCCCTCCATTTCCAGTGGGGGGCGTCGGGGAAAATTGAAAAAAACACATGTGAAACCCAGACCCCCCCCAACCCGAAATTTGGGTCTTCGGGTTGGGTTGGGGTGGTCTGGTAGGTAGTCATTTCGGTGGCCCCGAATTGCCCCACGCTGGAGCGGCCTACCTCTGCCTTGCCGCCGACGGCAGCACAAACTGTGCGGAACTTCGCCCAGGCCGCGTGCACTCTGCCGGCGCGCGTGGTCGCTCCGCGCTCTGGCGTGGGCTTACATCGCAGCGCAGTCTCGGCCACCACCAGTTTTAAGTCGGGCATGTCCCTCGACAGGAAGAATGTTCAAAGATAGTCAAGAATAGCCTGGGGAGAATGTGTCGATTATTTCTAGCTGTGTCTGAATATGTGTTGATGACGCTTCCGTCCAAAATCCGCCTGTAGGAGGACATGCCCGACTTAACACCAGACCTCCGAAGCCGCGATCATGTCATGACGTCGGCCCCGAGAGCTATCGACCCCCTTCCTGGGACCCGTGTCTCATCCAGGATGGCTTCGGGAAGCGCCCCCCCTTGGGCCGCAAACGGCCCTCCAGGAGCCCGAACCAAGGGACGACGGGCCGTCTGCAGTGTCGATGTCTGGGCCTGGAAACCCATCCCCGCACGTCATGTTTTTCTGTTGCCCACAGCTTCGACCCCTGGAGGTTTGGACCCCCTTCCCCTAAGCCGGGCATGTCTCTCTACAGAAGGAAAGTTCAAACATAGTTTTAAAATTGTATGGGGGATTTTTTGTTTTATAACTAATTTCGAATATGTGTTGGCTATGGTTTATTCTTCCTCCAAAATTCGCCTGCAGGAGGACATGCCCGACCTAACCGTTCCCGAGACTGCCATTTCACTCGAAGCTCGTTTTGCGGCCTGCCCCGGTTCCAGGCGAGGGCACCCTAGAGGCCGAAAGATGCCAAAAACATGTTCCGTCGCAATTGCTCCACGACGCGAGGGCCAGGTCGGGCATGTCCCCCTACAGGCGAGTTTTGGACGACGAATAGAACGTAGCCACAACATATGGGCAAACAAGTGATCAACAAAAATCGTCCCCAGATTGTTTGTTTGACTCTTCTTGAACCTCCCTCCTGGAGAGGGGCGCGCCCGACTTGAGACGCCCGAGGAAGGTCGCGCCCCGCCAGGCAGGGCCCACTCCGATCCCAGATCCATCTCCAGCTCGATAGCTATCGGCTCTGGCTGGCGAGGCTCGGCTCGACGACGACGACGAAGATGACGACGAGTACGACGACGACGACCATGGCGATGACTTCGACGACGATGACGACGACGAGTACGACGACGACGACGACGTCGACGACGACGACGACCACGACGACCACGACGACTAGTACGACGACGGCGACGACCATCGGCTTGATATCGGGCCCACAGTAAGCTCGTCGGTGCCAAGAGGAGCACCGAGCTCGACATAAGCAGCAACCCTGCAGTGGAGGCCAGTCCACAAGAGACATTCCACAAGAGACCCAACCTCGAGACCCCAGGACGCCTCTCGATTTCTGGTGTGGGAGCGTCACGCTCTCCATCGAAGAACCATCGAGGCCCAAGAAACCCAGGGCACCCTGGAAGCGGGCAGGGTGTTTCTTGGCATGGGCCTCCACTGCATCGTGCCTCCGGGCGTCGCCGATTCGACCCGATTCCGTATCCGAGCCAGTGTCGGGGCGCTGAAAGAAGGACCATTGTGGGCCCTGAAGCCTCGTCGAACGCAAGCGCAAGTGTTCCATGCTGGCCGACGCGCGGCACGCGGCCCACGGAGTCCGACTGTCGAGCTTGCCGTCGCCAGTCTCGGCGCGAACGTTGCACCTTTTGGGGGTCCTGGGGCGCCGCCGCGTCGCAGGGACACCCCGCGTTGGACCTCGAGTGTGGGATCTGCAGGAGTGGGTTCGAACCCCCCCGCCCCTAGGGATTCCAGAAAGTAGGGGGGGGGGGGTCGAACCCCTCCCCCTCCCCTCCCCCCCCCCGGGAAAGGGAGGGGAGGGGGGGGGGGGTTCAAACCCAACCCCTCCGACCCCTCTGGTCTTCGGGGCAGGCCCTATTAGATCCAGGCCAGGAGAGCCCGTTTCGTGGCCGAGGCTCGCGGTGGCCCAGAGCAGCCTCGTCGTGCCTCCTATTTGTCGGCGGCGAGCGAGTCGGGGGGGGGCGTGACAAGGAGAAGGCGTACACATTGTTCATTTCTAATTCTTCGAGAGTTCTTGTTTTGTTGGGGGGCCAAGATCCTTGCATCTCTAATTGTTCCATCCTGGGCCTCTTCCTGGCCACTAGGGGGCCGGGAACAATTAGAAACTAGCACAATTAAAAATGAGCACGAGTAGAAATGAACGACGTGTATTGAGAAGGCGTCGTGATCTCTGAGAAGCCCTCGCGCCTTCTGAGAAGTTCATCATGTCTTCGGGGAAGGCCTGCAACAAACTTCTCAGGAGGCTGGGGGACCTTCGAGCCTTCTGAGAAGGCCCGCCTCTTCTCACTTCGCCCCCGCGCTCGCCGCCGAATTTGACATTCCTCTCGGACCCTGGTTCGAGGGAGCACGTTTGTGATTGGGCCCCGAAGCCCAAAAGCCACTGGCTGGAATCGCTGAGCCTGGTCTGCAGCAGCTGGTGTTTTTCGGATGGCGGCAGTTCCGGTTCGTGGAATGGGGCGGGGGAGGGGGGGGCCCCCGGGTATGCACATCACGAAGCTTGGTCCCATTGAACCCAGTCTTGCCAACGCCTTAGCTTCATGTCAGCACGACGAGTGTAGTCGGTGCCCCTTCCGAGCCGCTCCGACGTCCCGATTCGCTGCTGGTGGTTCCTGCCGCAGGCCTCCGCCTGGCCGCTCGCGCCGGACGGGGAGCTCCGGCCCGCGCCCGGGCCCGCGCCCGAGCGGGGCTCGTCGCCGGCCGCGCAGGAGTCGGGCGGAGCGGGCAGGGCCGAGGCGGGGATCTGTCCATTGGTTGTGGCTTCGGGGATCGATCTTCGGGGCCTCGGCAGGCGGCAGATTTGGCGGATATAGACATTCATACAACGACCAAACGTATAAGTCATTTTACACATGTGTATATATATATAGATAGATAGATAGATATGTGTATCAAAATATGTACGCAGCCCCCTGGGGCCAGAACATCCATGTCCCGCGCCCGCTGGGGTCCCAGGTCGTCGGTTCCCCAGGCGGTGGACATGGGCAAGTTTTTGTCTTGCAAGAGGGGGCGGCGGCATTGGGCTCCTCTCTCGTCGGATTCGGATACCCGGACCTGCTCGCGTCGTGGCATGTCTGTGCCGTGCTCCTCCTACGGGGGCCCTCGCCAGGCCCCAGGGCCGTCCTACAGTCGGTGCGCTGAAGAAGGAACCCTTTTCGTTGTGGAGGGGCTCCGTGTTCCTTACTTGTTTCACAGCTTGCCTGAGGGTTTCCTATGTTTTCGATGGGAAATCGAAGTTTAATTTATGGAAAAAAAGAGGCCTCGTTCCTTATTTCGGGTTCCTTTGGTCAGCGCCCCGACTGTACAACGAAGCCGGGTCCCGCAGAAGGGGTCCCTCCCTCCCTCTGGGGCATCACGCTGCTAAAAAGCACGACGTCGGGGGGTCGGCCTGGGCCCCGACATGTTTGTTTGATGTGCGGTTGACAGATACCCCTCCCTCCCGAGTCGAGTTCCACGCGTTGCCGTTACTCGCTCCTTGTGAGGGTTGAAAGATACCCCTCCCTCCTGGTCCGATTTCAGCGCGTTGCCTTTCTTCGCTGCTTGTGAGAGCGCCGCGGTCTCACCTGTCTGCGGGCCTGCGCCCGCTAGATCTGGTCCTGAGACGTTTTCGTTGCGGTCGGCCCGAGGTATAAGATCGAGGTCGGTTCCGGGAGGGTGCCCTAATGTGTTTCGTGTTTGTTGGATGTTCTGTGCATCCTGGGGGGTACCCTCGGCGACCTTCTGGTTTGAGGTGTTTTGGCCGACGGAGGGTCTCATCTTCTTGCAGGGTGCTCCCCTGTCCTGGGCTCGACCGCAGGGGCTGTTTTGCTGGAGGGGGTCTCTGTCCGCCCCCGATCTACCCGGCATCACCCAGACATGTTCGTGCTCTGTGCGCGCGGGCCCGAGAGGGCGCAACGCGCGCGCACGCGCGCTCCGAAGTCTTCAGGTCAGGCTCCGTGGTGGGCCCTTGCTGGCCGTGCCGCCTGGGCAAGGATGTGCTGCTGTTCCCATCGTACTTAAAGACCACATCCCAAAAATACTTTCGATGACCCAGAAAAGCGTCGAAACAGTGTCGAACGAGTATCGCCTCCCAGGGCCCGACACGTGACAACCCTCCAGCTTCGGTTCTTTCTTGGTGCTCGAAAGTCTTTCTGGTGATCCAGGCCAACGTAGGTTGGAACATCGTGTCTCGGGGCCCATTGATCAAATGGCACCACCACCGCGTTCTCTTGGGGGCTCGACGAACAGAGGTCCGCGCGGATTTCGTGGATCTGCGCCAGGACCCCCTGGGATGGGCCTCCGGCGCCGTCCCAGGGATGGGGGTCCCGCCCAGGTCCAAGAAATCCGCGCAGGCCGCCAAAAGTTTGCGGTTATGCCGTGGTTTGTTTTTTATGTTTCTGCCATGGAGGTTGATTAGGTTAATTATTGTTTCGGTGGTGGGTCGCAAGGTGTATCGGATCACGCGATGATGACAAGTCGTGTACGCAGCGTCATTCCGGCCAGCGGGTGTTTGTGCAATACTCACAAATTTTATCTTGGTGTCTACTTCGGGTTGGACCAGGGGTTGCCCGCCATTTTTTACACCACCACCTGGTGGCAACAGAGTGCTTCGCAGCCGCCATGTGCGCGCATGAAAACGTGAGACGTGCCTTCGTTTGGCGCAGGCGCGCAGTGGCGGCCCCTGTCAGGGCGGTCGCGCGCGTGATGTTGTACTCTGCTGGTGGTGGACCTGTGCGGGCCCCGTGACGTCTGTGCTACACCTTCGGGCCGCGCGCGTGCCCCCCAGCACTCGCACGTCGTGCTCGAAGCCTCCCTCTGCTTCGCCGCCCCCTCCCGCGTGGCTGCTCACCCTTCCCGCCGTTTCTCTTCCTCCTCTTCTGGGCGGCGCGCCAGGGGAGGGAGGAGGAGGAGGAGGAGGAGGAGGAGGAGGAGGAGGAGGAGGAGGAGGAGGAGGAGGAGGAGGAGGAGGAGGAGAGGAGGAGGAGGAGGAGGAGGAGGAGGAGGGGCGGGGGCGTGGGGCTCCAGGGCTCGGCGTCCCGTGGAGGCCAGAAGGGGGCGCCCTCGCAGTGGGCCCGGGGGTCTCCTCGGAAGGCTCCCTGGAAGGCAGGCAGGGTCCAGACAGGAGCCCTCCGCCCTCCGCGGAGGCCGCCCCTGCTGCGCCCTGCCCCCGTCCTGCGCCGATCTCGTTGCCCCCTGCTCGTCCTCAACCTCCTCCGCGTCCGGACAGGGGTGCGGCCGCGCGTTCGAGCGCGGTGGACCGGGGGATCCGTCGGCCGCGGCATGCAGGGTGGGCGGGTCGGGAGGTTTGTTCCTAAAATCTAACAGCCCCAACCTGCCAGGTCGGGGGCCAGGTCTGACGTGTTCTGTCATGTGTTGCTATGGTGTGGTATGCAATGCTATGTTATGGTCTCTTCTGTCATGCTCTGTTGTGTCATGCTTCGTTATGGTGTATGTCTGTCGTGTTCTGTTCTCTCATGTTATTGTGTGTCTTGTTGCGCAATGTTCGTCGAAGGCGCGGGGGGGACACTCGGGGGATCCCTGGTGGACCTGGGGATCTGGTGGCCGCGGTATGCAGGCTAGGCGGATCGAGAGGTCTGTTTTCAAAATCTACGAGCCCCACTTTGTCGGGTGGGGAGAGAGACACGACCCCAGGCCCCACCAACCACACTACAGTGAAACGAAGTATACTATTATATATACAGACAACTTATGCCAGCCGTCTCAGGTCGTTGTTATGTTCGGGAGTTTTCCTTGGTCCGCCACTTCTTCCTCCCCCGCCTGGTCTTGTTGCCCGTCTGCTTTACTCAGCCGCCCTCCTCCTGTCCCTCGTCGGGTCCTGCCTGCCGTCGTCCCCTCCTCCTTTCCTCCCCTCTTCCTCTCCTCCCGTCCTCCTCTCCCTCCTCCTCGTTTCTCTCCCCCCCCCGTCGGGTGTTTCCATCCTTCTTCCCTGCTGGCCTCTCCTCCGTCCCTTTGCCCTTGGCAAGGGTTGCACTTAGAGGAGGGGTGGGGGGGGGGGGGAATGGGGGGCCGGGGAGCAAGGAGTTCCCGCTCCCGCGCGCGCGTTGGCTCGCGCTCGGAGCGAGCGGCCCAGCCAACCTCGAGGCTGGTCCGCCTCGCCCTCCCCTCGCTGCCGCCGAGAGGAGGCCGGGGAGAGAGGGCGCAGGGAGCCACTGTCGGACATTCGCATCATTTTCTGGGGCGGGGGACTCGGGGCATCCTTGAAAACTCAGGAAGAGTGCCGTGAGCAGAACTTTCTTCGGCAGAAATGGCAGCCCATCAGGTCTGCGGCCACTGGTTGAGGACTTCTTATGTTAGCATCGGCGGTGATAAACCCCTTGTCGGAAACTATCCGAATACCGTTGTATATGTTCAGTCCTCCGATTCGAATGGGCTCATCCAGTTTAGTATGGCGGTGTCCCCAGCATATAATCAAGCCTGATATTGATTAGTGGCCGCTTGATGGGACCTAGTAGCCCACAGTTTTTCTTACGAAGACTTCCGAGGAGTTGTTGGCTAAATTGATCCGATCGTGTCCGCTCTGGGGGGGGGGCGGTTTCCTTTAAATGTTGGCAAGTGTATTTGCATGGATGGGGAAGGAGGGGGCGTGGTGAGGCCCGAATGAAATCTGCGTTTCATGCAAGCCAGGGCTCATTTGCACGCCTTTGCGGTCCAGCGCTGTTCGACAAAGCGGCGGAGGGAGGGGGGCAGGGGAACGAAATGCAAGTACACTTGCCAGAATCTACATTAACAAATGCGCTCTTTCTGCCCGCGGTCATCCCAGGGAAAAAAGCGCGCGCAGTGCAGCTTGCTTTTCGCTCTAAGCCTTCCAGATGGGGTCCGTGTAGATGGGATCGGTGGATCGCGCCGCATCACCGATGCATCGCTGATGCGGCGCGTTGTGGGGCCAGATGCTCTCCACGCCGATGGCGGATGCATCGCCGACGTCGCCGGTGCATCGCCCATGCATCGCCGATGCGACGCCGACGTGCGGCGCTACCCCCCGACCCCATGTGCTCGGCCAGCTGGGAGGCCTCGAGATAATGAGCACTCTGGGTGGGGAAGGGGCTCGCTGTTGTTGACTACCTACCAGACCACCCCAACCCAACCCGAAGACCCGAATTTCGTGTCGGGGGGTGTATGGGCTCCATACGTGTTTTTTCAATCCTCCCCGACCCCCCCCACTGGACATGCAGGGCGAACTGAGGCTTTCGGGTTGGGTTGGGGTGGTTTGGTAGGTGGCCAGTTGTCCTTGCATGGTCGTTCCGCGGGCGCTCCTGGTGCACCTGGGCAGTCCTGGGGCCAGGAGGGGGCCGCGGTTCCTTCTCTGGCGTCTCTTGTGGCCTCTAGGAGGCCCCCCTCTGGGAGGCCTCTATCCGTCCCGACTTCGAAGACGATGCCGACATCCCGACGCCGACGACGACGACGACGACGACGGCGGCCACGACGACGACGACCACGCTGATGACGACGACGACGACGACGACCACGACGACGACGACATCCCGACGCCGACGACGACGACGACGACGGCGGCGGCGACGACGACGACGACGACGCCTGCCCCCGTGGAGGACTCGGACGCCGCCGGCGGTCGGGGGCCGCTGGTGCCGAGGCCGACGGCGGCCGTGGAGCCGGTGGCGGCGAGCTGCCCGCCGAAGGCGGCGCCGGCGGGCCTCGCTCTTGGTGCGGCGTTCGCCTGTCAAGCTTTCCTCGTCGTCGTCCTCCTCCTTCTCCTCCTCCTCGTCGTCGTCCTCCTCCTCCTCCTTCTCGTCCTCCTCCTCCTCCTCCTCCTCCTCCTCCTCGTCCTGCTTCTCCAGCCGTGTAGAGCCGTTCTGGCGCAGGTGAGCGCTTGCGGGTCCTCTCTTCAGAACGGCAAGGGATCCGCGGGTCAAATTTTGGCTTCTATCTTTTCTCGTCCAACTTTCCAGTCAGACTGATGTCCCATGGCCTTTACAAGGGCGGCGGCGGCGGCGGCGGAGGCACTCCTCCCCCGTGGCGCGGCGGCGGCTCCAAGGGCTGGCAGCGGCAGGGCTGGAGTAACTACGACTACGGCGGAGGCGCCCAGTGGCCTGCTGGCCAAGGATACGGCGCGGCTGGCAGGAGCGACTGCTGGAAGTGCGTTGCATGCGGGTGCGGCAAGACCACAGTATGGGCGTCGCACTGCAAGCACTGCGGTGCGCCGAGGCAGGCCCCTTCGGCCAGCCAGCATGCTCCTCCTCGTGGCGTTTGGTCTCATCAGCAGGGCCTTCCTCGTGCTCCTGGGTATCACCCCCCAGGAGAATGGGCTGCCCTCCCGCCTGGACCGCAGCTTGGAGGAACGGCGCAGGGCACGGGCAGCAGCGGCCGCGGGCAGGACGCCCCGCTGGACGCAAAGGAGCTCCAGATGCTGGTCGCCCTGGCACGCCGCGCAGGTGACCAGGCTACCGCGGCCAGGTACCAAGGCCAGCTGGACTCCATGGCGGCAGCCTCGAAGCCTCCGCCCAAGGCCCTGCAGGACCAGGTCAGCGACCTGCACCACCGCATCAAGAAGCTCGACGGCAGGCTGGAGGCTGAGCTGGCGAAGCTTGCGAGGTGGCAGGACGGCATCAAGGCGCAGGAGGTTCTCATCCATGATTTCTCGAAGCAGCCCGAGGCCATGGTCACAGAACATCGGCAACTGGTTGCACAGCTTCACAGTGCAGTTGTTCCTCCCTCGGCTGCTGACGCAGAGGTCACGCCTGGACCCACTTTGTCACTCCGCGACCTCGTGGACGGGCGGGTCTCCAACATCGTCATCGACGACGGAGGCCTCTTCTCTGTCGACGCTGAGGGCATGGAGGCTTCGGATCTTCAAGAGGTGGAGCGACGTCGGGCCGACTTCAAGGAGCACATCGGCAAGGCAGCCAAGGCCCTGTTCGCCGAAGCTATGGAGCGAGCTGCTGTCGCCAAGGCCGAGCACGACGGGTACCTCAAGCGCATGGCCACCAAGCGCAGGAAGGGGTGCGACGGGGCCGTGTCGGCTGGGGGCGGAGTTCGCGAAGGAGGCGCTGAAGAATCTGGGTCGCATCCTGGGGCTGCCTCTGGCAGCGGCGACGCCTCGGCCAGCGACGCCAGCCAACCAGCCGCCTCAGTCAGCCGAGTTCGCGAGCATGCAGCACGAGTTGCGGGGCGTGTTCAGCAGCAGCAGGCGACTCCTGAGAGCAGCGGCTCAGGCGAGCGGCACAGTGAGCAGCAAAATCGCAGCCCCCCTGACGGTCAGCAGGCCTGAAGGGAGGGGGTTCAATTTTTCTTCGCGTGCAACGCCTGAAAGGTGTTCCAGTCCAGTTTTTTCGGAGGGAGGTCGACAGCGAGTGCAGGCTGTCAGGACCCCTCCTCCTCGTGCCCAACTTCTTCCTGTTTTGCTTCGAAATATGAGTCACAACGCGCGTGCCAGGGATGCTTCCTTCTCGGAGCCAGGGTTTGGTACTGAGTTTGGAGGCCCCTTTTTGCCCCCGCCACCTCCAGGCCACCTCCGTCTGAGGGTCGTGTCGGTTAACGGTAACGCCTGGGGGTCGGTGAAGGAGTGGCTCCCTAGTGTAGATGCTGAAGTTATTCTTGTCCAAGAGCACAAGCTTTTGACACAGGAGGCTTTGGATAGAGCCTCCTCCGTTTGTCTTGGCCTCGGTTTCAAATCTCTTTGGATCCCTGGCACGACTGGGCCCGAAGGGGGCCCTTCTGCGGGAGTCTCGATCCTGTGTCGCGCCAACCTTGGGCTTCATCGGGCGCCCTCGGGGCTTGAGCTGGCCCCTCGTAGGGCCATCACGGCTCTGGTGCATGCGCCCCAAGGGGACGTGTTTCAAGTTTGTTCCGTATACATGCGCGTTTCTGAGGGGCTTTCGGAATCTAACCTCGAGATACTGTCGGCGATAGGGGCGGAAGGGTCCACCTGCGGGAAACCATTCCTTGTCGGGGGAGATTGGAACATGGGGCCTTCCGAACTCGCCAAGTCTTTTTTCGTGAGCACCCTGGTTGGTCAAGTCATCGACCCCAGCAAGCCTGCCTGTCACGCTGGTGCGGGCAAAGTCTACGACTACTTCGTTGTGTCTTCTGGGCTTTCCAAGGGCGCCGCCGAAGTTCGCATGATCGAGGAGGCTGGTTTCTTTCCGCACAGTCCAGTTTGTCTCGAGTTCCATGCTGGACTGGCCCAGATGCACTACCTCGCTTTCAGACGCCCGCCTCCTCTCCCATCAGAAGTGCCCTTCGGACCTCAGCCAGAGCCGATGGACTTTAAGCGCGTGCATGCCCAGCTGGACGCGACTTTCATTCGAGCCAAGAGAGGGGACGATGGGGTTATGACTGCTCGCCTATTTCGTGAAGCTTATGCGTCTTGGGCGGGTCTTGCTGAACGGGAACTTTCCGGGACGTTCGGGGTTCAACTTCTTGTTTTGGGGTCGAGGGGTGTGGGGCCCAAGACCCATTGGAGGCCGATCCTCAGTAAAGACCACGGGTGCGTGCGGTACCCCCAGCTCCACGCCTGCCGCTGGCTCGCTTCGAAGTTCAAACGGCTTTCTACGTGTGTGCTGAGGGGGCATTGGCCTCAGGCTCGGGAAGTGGGGTGCATTCTGTCGTCTCCCCCCCCCCCCCCAAGCTTGTGTAAGCCCGACAACCTGTTCCCAGGGATTGAAGCGGTTTTCGGCAGTGTTTCCTCGGTGATTTTGGACCTCAAGGTTTTGGTTGACCCTCTGGAAGGGTTGGGCGCTGATCCTAGCTTTTTGGAGGCTCAGGAGGTTTTGATTGCCCAAGTCGAAGAGGTCTCTACCCAGGCTGCCGACTTTGTATCAGAATGCAGCGCCTTCTACGCCGCCAAGGCCAGACGTGATTGGGCGGACTGGCTCACCGAGAATGTCGATCAAGGCGGGCGTAGGGCGCATGGCTACACCAAAGATCCTCAAGGATGGACGCCATCCACTACACTTAGTGCTGGAGGCTGCGCGGTGTCCGACCCGCAGGCGCTCCTGGCCGCCGAAGCAGATCGTTTTCGCCATTTGTGGGAAGGGCTCCCTGTACCTCAGAAAAGGCCAGGGAAAGTGAATACCCCCTCCCTCCAATTTCGGTTGACACTATTCGGAAGGTTTCTCGCACGTTTGCCCACAGGTCTGCCACGGGCCTGGACGGGTTTCCTTTGAGACGCTTTTCGGTGCTGTCCGACGGGGCTTTGTGGGCCCTCTCGCGGTTTTTCTCGTTGATGGAACTCACGGGTACCCTTCCCCCGCAGCTGGAGGCCGTGATTATTGCCATGCTGCCGAAGCCCTCCACTGGCTTCCGCCCCATCGGGGTCTTTCCCAGCCTGTACAGATTACGGGGGAAATGCAGGAGAGATTATGCGGTCGAGTGGGAAGGGAAACACCAGAGAGAGTACTGGGCGGCGGGGAAATTCAAGTCCGCGTGCGATGTTGTTTGGAGGCAAAGTGCCCGTTCGGAGTCTTCCCGAGCCTGCGGGCAGGAGGCCTGTACTCTTCTCTGGGATTTTGTCAAGTACTACGAGCGCATCCCTCTGGAACTTCTGGCTCTTCGATGCAGGCAGCACGGTCTCCCTGATGCGCTCGCCGATGTGTGCATGGCGGGATACCGTTCTGCCCGTTTCCTAGTGCTAGCGGGAGTGGTTGCGCCTCCTACGTACGCGAGAGTCGGAATCATAGCGGGCTGCAGTTTTGCTACCACTATGATCAGGATCTTTGCCCTGCGGGGTTTCGATCAACTGGAGGCCCCTAAGGGGATCACGTTCGACGCCTACATTGATGACCTCGGGATAAATGCGATTGGGACCACCAGGCACATCATGAAAGAACTCCCACGAGCGGCTAAGTCCCTCGAGGAGATCATCGAGAAGGTTCTTTTTGCGCAAGTTTCCCCTGACAAGGTCGGGTTGGTTGCGTCCTCCAAGGAAATCGCCAGACATGTCCAGAAACGACTTGGGGGCTTGGAGGAGTTTGTACTGAGTCGTTCGTCAATTTGGGGATTGATGACACTGCAGGCTGTGCCAGGCGAGTCCGCGGGCGCAACAGCAGAGCGAAGACGCGCTTTGCGAGAGCCTCTAGGCGTGCAGGCAGGCTGGCGCGTCAAAGAGGAGTTCTAGGACCGAGGGCTACCAAGCTCTGCACTGCGGGACCTCTCGCGGGAGTGAATTATGGGGCGGAGGTTCACGGGGTCAGTGACGGTGAGTTAACTAAAGTCAGACGCATGTGTGCCTCCACGACGAGGCCAGCCTGCGGAGGCCGAAGTTTAACCATTCTTAGCAGGATAGAAGGCGATCCTGCTTGGTGGGGTGCTGTGGCGCCAGCCATCAGGTGGGCCAAGGAAGTCTGGGCTCGTGCCACTAGGGTCTCCGACGTTTGTTTTTCTTGGGCCGAGCTCCGAAACATGTGGCACGATGGTTACGGGCGTTCTTGGACCTGGGGGACCGTGGGCGGGCCCATCGGGGCCATGAAGTTGTCCCTGGCCCGCCTGGGATGGAGCATGCCCTCGCCCTTTGTCATGGTCAGTGACTTGGGAGTTGAGCATTCGCTCACGCTCACGCCTCCTTCCCTCCTCCAGGTTTTCCTCAAAGAGGGGGTTTGGCGTTCTTTGGAGAGAGAAGCGGCTGTCAAGTACGGCCCCGAAGGGGCCGAGTCTTTATGCTTTGACGTCGTCATCAAAGCTCTTCGTTCCAAAAAGTTTACTGCTCGCCAGAAAGGAACCATCCGTTGTTGCGCCTGTCAAGGAATCTGGCCCTACGCCCGCGCACGAGCAGCAGGTTACGAAGTTGAGGATCGTTGCCCACTCTGCCACCAGCCTGGAGACACTATTTTTCACCGGCTGTATTCATGCTCGGCGGTGGAGGAGGAGCGGAAGGAGCTGATTCCTCGCAGTACTCTGGAGCAGGTTTTGAGTCAGTTCGGGGCGGTTTCGGAGAGAGAGCGGTTCCACCTTACCTCTGGTTTGTTTGGCCACCCCCAGAGTGTGCTCCCGCCCCCTAAGTCCGACAGTAGAACCGAGGAGGATGATGGTATCCAGTTTCAGTTTTTTCCTGAAGGCTTCGCGGCTGAAGGCATGGAGATGCCCCGCGACGGCCGCCGCCAGATGTGGGGCCACGTTTTTCTTGATGGCTCGTGTTCGCGACGGGTGGTCCGCAGCTCGAATCGGGCTGGTTGGGGTTTAGCGATGATGGGCCCCCAGTCGAATCTTTCAGCTTGGAGCTGGGGCCCCGTGTGGGACAGTTGCCCCCAGACTCCCCAGGCAGGAGAATTTTCGGCTTATGCCATGGCGTGCGCTTTCCTGTCTGCACCAGCTATTCTGTATTCAGATTGCCAAAATGTAGTCTCCATGCACGGCATGGCCCGACATCAACAGATCTCACCCAAGCGTCCTTATGCGGGGCTCGTGACTCAGGGTCGTTCTCTTGGGGGAAAATGGACGCTTGGGTGTGAGAAAGTGCCTGCGCACCTTCCCATCGACGATCCAGAGATCGACGATGATGAGCGGTTTCGAAGGATAGGGAATGATTTCGCCGATAAGGCCGCCAAGCTGGGAGCTGAGTCCCACCAGGCGCCGTCGGAGGAGGTAGCTAACGTATGCACTACTCTTGTGAATTCGGCTCTCATGACGGTCAGACTGTGCGCAGCTCTTCTGCCACTATGGCCGCGCACGGACCTCTCCCGTGCCTCGTGGTCTGCCCCCGCTCAGGCCCCCCGCTCCTCTGCCTCGCCTCATCGGTGGGAGTGGCTCGGGCCTCCTGGAGGGGACCAACGTTTTTGGATATGTCAAGGGTGCCTCAGGACGTCGCGCAACGCCGCCGACAAAGAGCCTGCCCCTGGACACTGTTCCGATTCTATGAGAGTGGATGTTCGGCGGCTTAGAGATTTAAGCCACAAGTGTATCCTCCTGGATTGTTCGAACGGTTCGTTTGTTGTCGTTTGTACTGTGTGCCAGAGATACACTAGTGGAGCCCGCCTTGCATCACTCAACAAGACTTGTCCAGGTCAGAAAGCTTCTGTTTACAACTCTGACGCTTGGAATAAGATTTGTAAGGGGCTCCATCCCAAAGCGAAAGGGGTCACCTTACTCTCTGACACTTACAGTGTGCTTTAAGCACGCAGCGAGAGCCAAAGTGCTCAAAAAATCCAGCCGTGTAGCGTGCAGCCGCGCCGTGCCGAGCCCCCCGCGGACCCTCGGCCTGACGCCCCGGGACCTGGCCCCAAGAGGGCCCTCGAGAGAGCCTCGAGAGAGCGTCGAAGGAGGAGGAGGAGGAGGAGGAGGAGGAGGAAGAGGAGGAGGAGGAGCCGTCCGTGGGAGAGTCACTGGCAGGAGTGCTCCGCGGGGCCCCGCTTCCCCAGCCTCTCGTCCTCGTGAGAGCCTCCCTGCCGGCTCCCTCCTGCCGCCAGCGAGGCTCACGAGAGCAGCGGCCCTCGGCGGGGCGCGCCGCCCGACAAGGCCACTGCGAGCCAGGACCAGTACAATCAGGAGGGAAAGAAACACACGGACACAATGAATCGGCTATTCACCAGAAAATATGGGAAAATATGGGAAGTGGGGGGAAGACAAAAACCCAGAAAATATAGGAAAATATAGGGAATCCTTTTGTTTGTGTGTATTTATTTGTGTGTCCCAGGGCCCCTTCATACAAGCCTGGCCTCGACCCCGCTCCCCCCTGCTCGTCCTCGGTCAAGCTCCCTCCCTCTGCCTCCCTCCGCCCCCCAGGGCGCCAACGCCCGACCCGTCGGTGGAATTCGCGCGTGGGGTGCGTCCGTGCGTCGGCTTCGCCCCCCATCCTGGAGCCCCCCCCCCCGGGGCCCACGGAGGCCCTCCGGACCGCGGTGGAGGTTGGCTCGAGGAAGCGCCGTCGGACGGTCTCCCCTCTCGGCAGGTGCCACGCTGTCCCTCCTCGGGCGCCGCGGCCCGCCGAGGGGCCCGTTCCGCCCGCGAGTGCTCGTGGCCACACCGACAGGGCGTTGCTAATGGTATCGTCGGCTGTGCTCCCTGTGGGGCGTATTCGGCTCGCGGGGACAGGTCGCAGCTGCATAATTGCTGCGACCCCGACCTGTTGGTTGACAGCCCCCAGCGCACATGGCGCAAGGATACTTTCACGTCTGGGGTCCACCCCAAAGGGGCCAGTGGTGGACCCCCCATTCCCGTTCCTCGAGAGCTTGTGGCCACTGATGGGGCGGCTTGTTGGCTTGGCCTCATATCGCTTCATTGGTTTCGGTGTGAGCTCGTTTGGCTTAGTCTTGTGTGCTCGTGAGCCGCGTCGGGCCTCGAGTGCTGCGTCGGTGATGTCGCATCCCCCTCGCTCGACTGCGCTGGTTGTCTTGGCGTTGGCGTTGTCCATGCTATGTGATATATTGTGCCACTACGCTGTTCCCATCTCTTTTTGAATTCCCGAAACCGAACTCGGCGCGTCGTCCCGTGTGCTCGCTGCTCGTCCTTATTCTTCTCCTCCTCCTCCTCCTCTTCCTCCTCCTCCTCCTCCGCTTTCTCCTCCTCGTCCTCCTCCGCCTCCTCCTCATCCTCCTCGTCCTCCTCCTCCTCCTCCTCCCCCTCCTCCTCCTTCCCCTCCTCCTCCTCCTTCTCCTCCTCCTCCTCTCCCTGCCCTCCCCTCACCTTCTCCTTCTCTTCCTCCTCCGTCTCCTCCTCCTCCTCCTCCTCGTCCTTCTCCTCCCCTTCCTCCTCCTCGACCTCCTCCTTCTCCTCCTCCTGTTCCCTCCTCCTGTTCCTCCTCCTCCTCCTCCCTCCTCCTCTCCTCCTCCTCCTCCTCCTCTCCCTCCCCTCCCCTCCCTCCCCTCCCCTCTTCCTCCTCCTCTACCTCCTCCTCCTCCTCCTCCTCCTCCTCCTCCTCCTCCTCCTCCTCCTCCTCCTGCTTCTCTTCTCCTCCTCCTCTTCCTCCTCCTCTCCCTCCTCCTCCCTCCCTGACGGGAGGGGAGTCGATGGGCGACGAGTGCGACGACGACGACGACGAGTACGACGAGTACGACGACGGCGACGACGACGACGACGACGACGGTGACGGCGACGACGACGGCGGCGGCGGCGGCAGCGGCGGCAGCTGCGGCAGCGACGACGACGGCGGCGGCGATGACTGGAGGGGAGTGGATGGGGGCCGCCGCTGCGTGGGGCCGCCGCCGCGGCACATTGAACACTTTCGCTGCCTCAAGACGCCCGTTTTGAAACGCAGCGCGTGCCGTGCTTTAAGCGTCCGCGTCGATACGTCGCGTGTTGGCTCAGCGTAGTGGCCCACGCGTTGGCAAACTGATCTCGTCAGACCAGCGTTTTCGTTCTACGTGTTGGGCTCCGTAACAATACGCAACGTCATTCGTGCTGCGTATCGGGGCAGCCAAGTTGAGCACAAGTTTCAAGGAGTCGCAGACGTGGATAGAAGGTGCATGGATTGGCGACGGATTCCGTTTTCACACTCCCACACTCCAGGCATCCCAAATGGGGTCCGAGCAGATGGGGGCGGGGGATCGCGCCGCATCGCCGATGCATAGGCGATGTGGCTCGATGTGGAGCCCGATTTTCTCCACGCCGACGGCGCCGATGCATCGCCGACGTCCGCGATGCGTCGCCGATGCGTCGGTGATGCATTGATGATGCGGCGCGATCCTCCCACCCCATCCACTCCGGCCCCATCTACTTCGATTTCAATATGTATCTTCTCGTGGCCCACGTGACGGATCTGTTCGACTCTGTCTCGATTCTATTCGTTCTGCAGTCGTCGACATGTGTCGATCGTGGTTTTGGTGGGGGTATATATCTGAGATCAGGGCCCCGACACGTTGCTATCTGGCCATCTATCCACGCATGAGTTGGCGCGAGCGGCTGCAGGAAGGTCCTCTACAACCAGTGCTGTCAGGACGCTGACATAAGAACCGCTTTGGGCTCAGGAGGGGTTATGGTTTTCGGGCCGTTCCTAAGATTTAGGCCGTGGAACTGTTTCATGGTTGAGGCTGTCTGTGGCTAGAATAGACCCTTCGTTCCTTGTTCAGGGTTCCCTGAGGTACGACTACATCCATTCACTGCTCCGCTACGACCTTCCCCCCCCGAACGGGATCGGCCGCCGCGCGATGAGCAGACTTCGAAGACGATGCCGACATCCCGACAACGACGACGACGACGACGACGACGGCGGCAACGACGACGACGAAGACGACGACGAGTACAACGACGACGATAATCGCGACGACGACGACGACGGCGACGACGACGGCGACGGCGACGGCGACGGCGACGGCGACGACGACGACGACGACGACGACGACGACGACGGCGACGACGGCGGCGGCGGCGGCGGCAACGGTGACGACGACGACGACGACTAGGACGACTAGTACGACTAGTACGACGATCACGACGACGGTGGCGACGACGACGGCGGCGACGACGACGACGACGACGACGACGACGGCGGCGACGACGGCGGCGGCGGCGGCAACGGTGACGACGACGACGACTAGGACGACTAGTACGACAAGTACGACGATCACGACGACGGTGGCGACGACGACGGCGGCGACGACGACGACGACGGCGACGACGACGACGACGACGGTGGCGGCGGCGACGACGGCGCATGTCCAGTCCCTCCTCCTCTTTTTTTGTGGCTTGTTGTTTGTTTGTTGTGTTTTGTTATGTGCGTGTTGGTGTTTGTCTTTTGCTTTTGTTTAGTATGTGCATGTTTTGTGTTGTTTTCTGTCTGTGTGTGTGTGCGGTGTTGTTTTTTGTGTGTTCATTTGTGTGTGTGCTTTCTGTTTTTTGTGCTTGTTTTTTGTTGTTTGTTTTTCCACCGCCGTTGTTTGTTGACCCCCCCCCCTGCAGCCGAGCCGCCACGTCCTGCAGAGCGGCCTGCGGCCTCCCCGCGCACGCACAGGCCCCTGCCCCCAACGGGGTGCATCATCCGCGGCTGGCCCTCTCGGAGGGTCACCCCCCCCTGGGGGCAGCGGCGGCCCTTGCCCAGAGGCAGCCTGCAGATTCTGGGGAACGTCAACGCGATCGATGGCCGGCGGAGCGCACCGTGCTAGTGGCAAGCCCGTGCAGGAGGGAAGACGCGAGGGCGACCGCAGAGGAGGAGGAATGCTGGGCCGCCTGAGGCCCCCAGCTTAGGGTAACGACGAACGACGTAAACATAAAAACCCGGAGGTCCGCGCGGATTTATCGGATCCGCGCTGGACCCCCTTGGCGGCGCCTCCGGCGCCGCCCTTGGCGCGCTCCGCGCGCCAGGGGGGGAGGTCCAGCGCCGATCCGAGAAATCCGCGCGGACCTCCGGGTTTTGATGTTTATGTCACCCGTCGTTCCCCCAAGCTGGGGGCCTCAGGCGGCCCAGCATTCCTCCTCCTCCGCGGTGGCCCTCGTGTCTTCCTCCTGCGCGATAGTGCACACGGCGCGGCGCGCTCCGCCGGCCATCGACCGCATGAACGGCCACTGGCCCTGCGGACGAAAGCATCATTTGCATTTCCGCCGTGCCCTGGCCAGAGGGTCCCAAATGTTCTGCATCGCATGATCCTGCCTCCCGCCACCCTTCCCTTCCATTCCTCCTTCTCCTCCAGACCACCCTCTTCTCCATTCCTCAACTCTTGCCTTCCATATCTTCATCCCCTTCCGTCTTTGGAGGAAGAGACTCTCGTAGATTGCCCCAGTCCCTCAGATTATGATCGGGCGTGAAGAGGTCCTTCGGTACCGCGGGCACGTTGCTGCACTCGTCTACGAGCTTAAACGCTGGAAGTCATCGAGACATTATGATGTGCGTGCGCCGCGACGCTTGTGCTGTACATGCTATTCCTTCCGGTCTCTCGGCGCCCGTGATTGCCACACACCATTGCAGTGTTGAGTTGCCCTGCCAGCATCGACGAACCACCAAGAGGAAGGAATCGCCCCCTCCCTGATGGATGCATTCGTTGAAGAGGTACCGAGCGCCCCGAGCAGCCCCCCGAGAGCGCTCGAGCGCCGCCGAGAGCTCCTCGAGGACGCCCAGCTGCCCTCCTCCCCTCCCGCTCTCCATCGCCGTGCTCCGCCGCACGCTCCCCTGGGCGAGGCGAGGCGGCCAGGGGCGCGCCCGCTCCGCGGCGCGCGCCCGCGCCTCCCATTACCTCCGGCGCCCCCGAGGCGTCGCAGCCGTCGGCGGCGTCCCAGCCGCCCCGGGCCCCGGCGCGGCCCTCGCCGTCGCCGCCGCCGAGGCCGGCGCCGCTCAGGAGCTCGGCCGCCCCGCTCGGGGAGGCCCCGCCACGGCGCCGGGCGTCGTCGGGCGCCCCGCTGCAAGCAGCGGCGAAGCGCCGTGGTTCGCCTAGGCCCAGGAAGGAATGCTCTAGAGCTTTGTGGGCCCCGGAAACGGCAGGGCCGTTTTTCACCGTTTCCAATGTCCCTTGAAAATAGAAACGGCAAAAAAAACGGCGACCGGAAACGGCAAAAAAACGGCTCCAGAATTGGAGCCGGAGCCGGAACCGGTAAAAAAACGGCGTCGGAACCGGCAACAAAAACGGCAAAACGGAACCGGTAAAAAAACGGCCCTGTCGTTTCCAGGGCCCACTACTAAGCTCTAGAGAACCCTTTGTGGTCTGCACGAGATGTGCTGAGAGCATGTCTGGCTCAAATTGTCTTGTTTCAACACCTCGAGCTTATGTTCTCTAAGAACATGGCTTTCGTTATTGGAGCACCACTGGATTTTAAGAACATGTCGTGGGAGGCCTATAGGAATGCCAAGACGGTCGGCCCCTGCTCAGCTTCTGCGGCAGGCGTCGGCACGTTCACCCGTGACATTGGTGCTGGCTGGGCCCAAGACGTTCTGGTACCGACGAGGCGCGGCTTTCCCAATGATGGTGGTGCTCTGCTGGGTGTGGCTGGCGCCACGCATGGCAAGGCACCGCCATGACTAGGTCAGCCGCCCCTGGTCTATACCATAGCGGGTCGGCCCACCGATTGTTCCTTGGCCGCTGCCAGCCAGCGGTTTCTTTACACCGCTGACCCTCCCTGAGGGCACAGGGAACCTTACCAGCGAGTGTCAGTGTATCGGCGGACGTGGCGTACCCGGGCCTTTTCCATGGAGTTATCCTATGGCTTACGCCGCACCGCCGACTCCTTGGGAGCCCCTGGTTCCCAGAACGAGAGCCATCCAAAGCGTCCCGCCAGCCAGTGCGAGGAAGAGGAGAAGAAGGATGAGGGGCAGGAGCAGGAACAAGAGGAGGTAAAGGAGAAAGATGCGGAGGCTGGGGAGGGGGAGGCGTCTTGGCCACATATTGGGAGCATCAACCAGTTTGTTTTTGCACTTGCGAAAGGCCTGTCGCTTCTTCTCCGCCCCCCTCTCCTGGAGGCAGTTTGGAAACGTTTGGGGAGCTGTTTGGAAGCATCTATGGGGTTCGTCTGGGCCTCTTGGGATCCCTTAAGGCTCTCCTCGGCCGTCTTGGGCGCCTCCAAAAACGTCTCCGGGCCGTCTTGGGCCATCTCGGGCGCCTCTTTGGCCGTCTGGGGGCTCGCGGGCCCCCCCTGGGGTCACCTTTGGAGTCCTCTGGGGCCGTCCTGGGCGCCTCTTGGGCCGGCCTGGGGCTGCCTGGAGCTGTCTTGCGGCTCTCGAGGAGGCCGATTGGGGCGACTTGGGGCGATCTTGGAGGCCTCGAGGGCCGTCGTGAACACTGCGAAGACGAACAATGCGAAGATGCTGCAAATGCACGTTTTCCAGAAAGAGCGTGACGTGTTTTACTTCAGGGGCCCTCTAGAGGGTCCTCTTCGAGCCCTCTGGAGGCGTCTGCGAGGCTTCTGTGTTTGCCTTGAGGGCATCTTGAGCCGTCTTGGTGCTGTCGGAGGCCTCGTAAAGGATAATTGAGGCGTCAGGGCACCTTTTAATATTCATTTCACAGTCATGTGAGGCCGTTCCAAAGCATTTCTGGCATTTAGGGCGGGGATGAAGCCCCGAGCAATTGGCCAGGCCAGGCTCCTGGGGGAAGGGTTTCGGGAGGGGCGAAGTTGAGCACGTCGAGTATAGACCCCAAGGGGTCAGCGAATTCTCGGGCGAGTTGCTGTGAGGTGGGCAAGCAGAGGCGCGTTCGGGAAGCACAGGACGGAGAGGATCAGCACAGACATTCCCCAGGATTGGCAGATTTAGATATCTTTGGGGGCCTCTTGGGAGCATCTTGGATGCACATTGGAGCCATGGTGGTGCTCTCGTGAGGTCTCTAGGTGGCGGCGCTGGGCCCCTCGTAGGGCCCTCTTGGATTGTCACGGGTTCATGTGAGAACTCGGCGAACAGGGCACGACTTACGCGAGGCGGAGATCCCCACATGATGCGCATCTCATACTCCTGCCACGTCTCGCGGAGGAACTCTGTCTGTGCGACTTCGGTGACGTTCTCATCATTTGGGCATCTTTCAGGATAGATGAAAGAGGAACAAGTGGAAGAGCGAGAGAGCATTGGACCACCCACAGAGAAAATACTGAGTGAATTAGCGCGTGAGTGACCTGAGTGTGGGTGAGTCTGGGTGTGAGGGAGCCATGTACGGTTGAGTGTGAGCGTGAGCGAGTCTAGGTGTGAGAGAGCATGAGTACGAGGGGGTCTGAATATGCGCAAATCTGGGCAAGAGTGAGTCTGAGTAAGGGTGATTCTGAGTGTGGGGAAAGCCGAGTCTGAGTGGGTATGGTATTGAGCTGATGAGCGTGAGTTTGAGTTTGAGCGGGCTTCAGTACGAGTGTTTCTGACTACGAGTGATACTGAGGGCGGGTGCGTGTAAGGGTGACTGAACGTAAGTCTGAGTATGAGTGGGTCTGAGTACGAGTGGGTTTAAGCATACGTCAGTCTGAGGATGGGCGAATTTGAGCGTGAGTAAACCCGAGTGTGAGTTAGCCCGAGTCTGAGTGAGCCTGTGTGAGCAAGTCTGCATGCGAGCGAGTCCAAGTAGGAACGAGTCTGGGAATGAGCGAGTCTGGGTATGGTTCAGCCTGAGTGTGATGAGTGGGTCTTAGTGATGGCGGGGTGCTGGCGATTGACTCTGAGTGTGAATTCGTTTGGGCGAGGAAGATAAGGGTTGAGGCGAGTGAGTGAGTGCGGTCCGGTGGCGCCTAAGTATCACAAGTCCAAGGGTCCGACACAGGCAAACCGCCCCTGGCGGCTTCCCCTTGGGGTGTTGAAGCCATCGCCTCGCTCGAGGCATCCTTTTCAAATTGTTTTGACAGCAAAGGATGTTGGGCACCCAAGCAAACAAGCAAAGTGCCCGAGGCACCACCACAATCTGGGTGCGAACGGGCCCGTGCAATATCCCTTAGCAGCTCCCCCCCCTGTGCGGAAACCAGCGCCTCGCCTGAGACATCCTGACAATCTGCTCTGAAAGCACAGGATGTTGGGCACCCAAACAAGCAAACCGCCCGCAATCTGGGCGCGAAGGCGCCCATGCAATACCGCCTGGCGGCTTCTGTGCTGAAGCAGCGCCTCGCTGGAGACATCCTCAAAGTCTGCTCTGAGAGCAAAGGATGCTGAACACCCAAACAGGCAAACCGCCTGAGACATCCTCACAATCTGGGCGCGAACGGGCCCGTGCAATGCCCCCTGACGGTTCCCCTGTGGGGTGTTGAAGCCAGCGCTTCGCTCGAGACATCCTCACAGACTGCGTGCGTGAATGATTCTGGGTATGCTTCAACGTAACTGAGGAAGTGATGTGGGTGAATCAGTGTGATGGAGAGTGGGTCAGAGTATGAGTGAGTATGAGGATGAGTGAGTCTGGTTGTGGATAAGCCTGAGCGCGAGTGAGTCTGAGTATGAGCGAGTCTGAGTGCGAGTGAGCCTGAGTGTCATGAGTGCGTGTAAGCGTATACGTGAGGACAAGCAGAAGGAGGCAGGTTGGGGAGGAGGGAGGAAGAATCGACGCGGTCTCAGCAATCACAAGAAACCCATTTCAGGATATGGGGAACAATACGAACACATACACAACTCATGGGTAAAAGCATGTGGGCATTTCGAGCGCGTCCTTCGGTGACTCGACGAGACAACAACACGAGTAGACGTCGCAAAATCAGGAACAGGAGGTGCGAGCCACTAGTGCTCCAAGGAGGCTCCAAATCGTTTGCAGTTTGGCACCGTGCTGGCTTCACGGTACTCGAAGCATGGCATCCTTGTGTGTTGTGGGGGGTCGCATGCAGTTTTGAGTATAGGTATGCGCACACATGCGAAGTCGAATGCTTTCTGAAAAGCGAATATGGCGTCAAGTGAAGCAGCCCTGACCCCAAACATCAATGCGAGTATTACTACGCATGCGAGCGTCGATGCGAGCCCGGACGCGGCGCCTGACGACAGCCGATGGCAGATGCGAGCGAACGTTACCCTCTACGTAAGAAAATTTGTAAATTGCGGGTGCGAGCGCGAATGCCACACCGGAAAGGCATCCCGAAAGAAATCACGACAGCGATCACCACGCTTCCTGATTGAACCTGCCACTACGTCTGTGCCGCAAGCGCATGGAGTTTCAAGATGTGCGCTGAACGCTGTTTTAAACGCGCTCTCCTGGGGCGGACAAGCAGCACATCCCAGCACAGTCAGGACAGGAGCCATGAAGCGGTGTCAGCCGTGGGAGCAGGCAGCGCCCGCCCAGCGCTTGGAGAGCTGGAGGTGCCGACCGGCCAGCCCCCGAAGCCCCCTATGCTCACGATTTTCTTGCCTTGCCAGGGCAGGCAGGCTTAAGAGTCCGAGGGGCCGACCGTCGGAGAAGGTAGAAGGGCAGAGACGCAAACGTTCGCGGATGTCTTGGGTCTGCGCTGGCCGCCCCTGGCGGCGCGCCGCCCCAGGCGCGCTCCGCGCGCCAGGGAGGGGGGGCCCAGCGCGGATCCAAGAGATCCGCACGGACCGTCGGAAGTTCGTGTTTATGTTTTGCTTCTCTTCTTCCAGATCGGCCGCCTCTCGGGCTCGAAGGTTTTGCCCTCTAGGGTACGCGGGCAGTTATATATCGCCCACTGCAGGTAGCATCCGGCAGACAGAAGTGCACATGAAGTGAATGTGCCGTCAGCCTTGCGATGCTTTCGCAGTCATCGTCCTTCGCATGCTTGTGGATTGCACAGTCAGTCCAGTTGGATCACGTGATCCAGTGGTTGGTCTTTTAGTAGAGGCCTCAGCAGGACAATGTGGCTTCGGGTATGTGAGGATGTTGGATGCGATGTTCGACAGTGCCCCGCCACCCATCACAGAAAGTTGACAGTGTACGAAAGTTTGACGTCTGTGAGATGCATGATTGACCACAGGCCACCCCAGACTCTGGACGTGGCTGCAGTAGAATGGAACCCATTGAACGCACCGATTTGGGAGTCTCTCTCGACAGCAATCCAGCGCACCGTCCTTGGGGCGGAGGAGTTCGGAGCAGCGAGTGCGAACACGCCTAACTGCAGAATCTATGTCCACCGTTCTGCCCCGCGTCTCCTTGTTAGCGCACGGGCGAGAGAGTGGGCGAGAGAGTGTTGAGCAATCGCTTCAGCTTGGACATGGGCTCGATAATGGTGTGCAGTTGCGCAGATCATGAAGAGACCGTTCCTGTTCGCCTGGGCCCAGCGTGTCCCCAGCCGCTTTGAGGAGGCGGGCTCGTTTGTTCTGCCCCCTGCGATTCCCCCGGGCTGCTAGTGGAAGGTTTGCGTAGCGGTTGTGCAGGATGTTGTGAGACAACTGGCCAACAATTCTTTTGTGAAGAGCCTTGCCTTTATCATCGTCTCCGCGTTATTGTGTTCTCTCGTCTCCTGAGTCGGATCCTCTTGTTTCTTTCCTCCTCATCCTGACTCGCCTCCTCCCGGTCCTTGATGCCACTTGATGGAGGGACTGCGAGGCGGACATTGGGAACCGGTAGGGCACGATGAGCGATTGCGCCAGGACGTCTTGCCAGGGCACGCTCAAGATGTTCAACGTCCGGCGCGGATTTGGCACGAGCGGGGGGTAAGCTTCCTCTCTGTTATACTATGTAGGGCACGTTCAGGGGCTCGCTACGGCCGGGAACAGGGAATCCATACGGCGGTTGCATGGGATGAGGAATGCCCTCAGATCACAGATCCCCCATTAACCCAGCTGCCTGCGGCATGTTCCGCCACCGCGCCAGTCCAGCATTCTAAGTGGCGGCTGTTCGCGGGGCACGGGAGGATGTCACGTGTGACACTTCGTGTCTCCAGGTTCGGGAGAGCCGTGATGAGGATTACGAGGATGATAGGGGATGATGCCGATGATGGTGAAGTATGGTGATGATGCTGATGATGATGAGGACGATGATCAGGGTGATGATGATGTTTATGATGATGATGATGATGGTGTTGATGATGATGATGCTGATGATGATGATGATGATGATAATGGTGATGGTAATGATGATGACGATGATGATGAGGATGATGATGTGGATGTGGATGAGGATGATGATGAGGACGATGATGATGGTGATGATGAGTAGTATCATGATGATCGGTGACGGTGATGGTTTTGCTCCTGAGATTGATACTGTTGCTGTTGCTGATGATGATGCGGATGATGATGATGATGCTGATGATGCTGATGATGATGAAGATGGTGATGATGGTGATGATGCTGGTGGTGGTGATGCTGATGATGCATATGATGCTGATGCTGGTGGTGGTGATGCTGATGATGTTGCTGAAGATATTGATGGTGGTGATGATGACGATGATGATGATGATGATGATGATGATAATGATGATGATGATGAGGATTATGCTGATGATGGTGATCATGATGATGGTGATGGTGAAGCTGCTGCTGATGATGCTGATGACGGCGATGAGGGTAATGTTGCTCCTAATGGTGATGTTGATGTTCATGCTGCTGCTGCTGCTGATGATGATGATGATGATGATGATGATGATGATGATGCTGCCGCTGGTGATGATGATGCCTCTGCTGATGCTGGTGATGGTGATGCTGGTGATGAAGCTCGTATGGGCCGCCTTGGGCTGTCTTGGCCTCCTGTGATGCAGTCTCGGGAGTCCCTTTGGGCCCTCTTCAGCCGTCTTGGGACCCTCTGGCGCCAGCCTAGGGTTCTCTTGGGCACTCATAGGGCCCTCTGAGCAGTATGGGCGGTGTCTGGGGGCCGTCGTGGGGCGGGGCCGTCTTGGCGCCGTGCGGAGCCGTCGAAGGGCCTTCTACTAAGGCCGTCTTGAGTCCCACGGGAGCCCATCTTGCGCCGTCTGGGGGCCATCTTGGATGCCTCTTTGGCCATCGTGGAGTCTTCTTGGGCCGTTTTGAGCTGACGGCAGCCCGAAAAGGCGAACATGGAACCGCCATCCAACAACAAAAGGGGGATCAATGAGTTTCGCTTCTTCGGACGTGTTGGAGGTCATATCGTAGCCCTTTTGGGCCCTCTCGGGGGCACAGTGGGTCGCCGTGAAGCAATATGTGGCCGCCGTGGGGCCATCCTGGGCCGTCTTCGAGGCATGGTGGGCCATCTTGGTGTCATTGGTTGCCTGCACGGGCCGTCTTGGAAACTCGGGACACATATCCATCGTCTTTAACCAGGGATCGTGGCTTGGGAGGCCCTGGAGCGCTTGGGAGCAGCGCCTGTGAATGCAGGAAGTGTACGGTCCTCGAGCGGGTGCTCGTTGGATGAGTGGTCTAGGAGGTAGCAGCCATGCGGGACGTGCGCGATCCTCGAGCGGGCGCACATGGAATGAGGCTTGAGACATTCGCTGCCATGCGGGAAGTGCACTATCCTCGAGCGGACACGCGTGGAAGGGGGGTGGGGTTCAGGCATTACCTGCCATGAGGAGAGCGCACCATCCTAGAGCGAGCACGCGTGGAAGGGGGTTTCAGGCATTATCTGCCATGCGGGAGGTGCACCATCCTCGAGCAGGCACGAGGCAAGTGGTCTCGGTGAGCAGATGGGATACCATACGCACCACTCTGCTGGCAGAGAGAGAGGGCGGTTCTTTATTTGACTACACAGGCCCAGCCAGACGGACCTCGGCAGTCTTCCACGCCTCGACGTGCCAAGGGCCACGGTGGCGGATGTGTCTTCCATGGCTCCGAACTCTGCCCGAGACATCCCAACGGATCACGCACTGGCCACGAGGCCAAGGATTCCTTACCCAATGCGGCCGAAGGATTGGGGTACTAGTTTGGCCCCGCGACTTCGCAGTCTTGGTACAGTGTCGTCCGGTGGCTCGTACACGGAACCCAGCCAGGTTATGTGAACCAAGAAGTTGTATTATCGAAATGGTGGCCACACTTCGAGAAACCTTTTTAAGTCACATCTAAACGAGGTTACCCCATTGTCCGTGTTCTAGGCGTGCTCTGCGCCCGAATTCATGTAGCACCGCCGAAGTACCACCAGATCTCGATGAGGTATGACTGCGTCTGGCCGTGTCGGATTCTAAGATTTGGATCACGCTCTGTCCAAGGCCCCGCCCGCTGTGGAAAAAGCACCCGTAGCCGCCGCAGGCGATGATTAAACCGAGGGGCCGCTGCGGGATCGAGCATGTCCAACGAAGGTAATCCTCATCGCCGTCGTCGGCTTTTTCGATCGCCAGGATTTCTCTGTGGCCCCCATGTGGGGCGCTCTAGAGAGGGCCTCGCCTTCGAGGGGCGGAGGTCGCGCCTCCTCTCCGGCGGGAGGCAAAACGGGGGGCGGCTCCGTCTGCGGAGGCGGGCGAATGCAAACGTTGCTCCCCCGAGGGAAGCCACTGTTCTGGCATTCAGGGTGCTTCGCCCGCGTGGCGAAGGAAGAATGAGCGAAGGAAGCAATGTGAGCGAAGGAAGACCGCGTGGGCGGCCGCGCCGACAGCAGCGTGCAGGGTCCCCGCGTCAGGTCGCGCGTGGGCGCCCTCGTGTCCGGTGCAGCGTGCCCCGCTGGCGGCCAGGGCAAGGCACCGCGTAATAAGGCTGCCCTTCCGGAAACCCTCCCTCCGGGTTTCTTTTGGGGGAGGGGTCCCCCCCCCCCCGACCCCCCCACCCCTCAAGGGCCATACGTTCATGCGTATGCAGGGGGCTAGCGAGGGGGTCCCTTCCGGCGGAAGCCCTCCCTCGAGGGGGGCTTTTGGGGGGCGTCCCCTTCTCCAGACCCTCCCTCAGGGGGGGGGGGTTGTCGCTGGTGCGCCCCGGCGCCACAGCCAGGCCCGAGGCAGGCCGCCGGCCGGGCCTCCTGGGCCGGGCCTTCGGGCCGCCGGACTTTTGCGCGCCCCCCACCCGTCCTCCGGCAGCACCGCGCGACGCTGCGGGCCCCCGGTGCTGGGCCCCACGCCAGCGTCTTTGACGAGCCCAGGTCTTCCAAGGGTAAGCTCTTTGCCAGTCCGGGCGTCTGCTCCCAATGTCGGATGTTTGGGGGGCCCGCGATCGGGCCCCAGGGCCATCAGCAAGGGATCCATAGGACGACAGCCTGACCCCGCGGAAGGGGTCGGGGCCCGGGACCGCCGGGGACCCAGGGGATGAGTCTGTCTTGGATTGTTCTAGCAGAGTGTGCACAGGTTCCGGTTGGTAGGCTGGGGTAGGTGGTGGTTTTGGTATCTTGGGTATCTTTGGGCGAAAAAAGCCCGTTGACGCTCAGATGCGCATGCACACTTGGTAACATTAGCGCTCAGGGCGCTTAGCATCCGAGGCCACGCCCACCGTGAGCAGAGTGGTGTGGAGCCCATCCACTTGCACAGTTGAAAACATGTGCGATCACATTCAGCGGATTGAGAGAATCATATCCGAGGATGTCAGGGTTCCCTGCTCGAGATCAGAGATCAGAGGAACGCTGCAGCGACAAACGTGGACCCCAGCATGCCGTGACTCCGCGCGGGCGTGGCCTCCCCTGCTCCTGTCGATCGCACATGGCCATCCGTCGTCCACATGTGCCACGCCCAGGGTCCCTCGTGTTCTCCCTTGATCGCCTTCTCCACTCCCGGGTCCTGTCCTCCTACGTGCCCTCTCAGCTTCGTCATGTTGTAGGTGTTTGCCTCCCAGCGGCTATCATCGTCCAATCCGGCCCTTCTCCTCCTGCTGCACCTGGCAGGTTGTGCCCCGTGTCGTGGGGATGTGCCTGGTGTCTCTTGACAGATGGGCTCAGTTCATCTTGCGATGAAGTTGCACGCCTTTTGCACGGGTGCCGTTGCCCCCCGTGGAAGACACGTGAGGCTGATGGGCACCGCATCCCCCCAGTCCCAGCCTCGGCTGCACGCCAGTCTACTGGGTATGCGCACAATTGGCGGCCCGCACCAAGTGTATGAAGGAGGAGTTGCCAGAGCTTTCACCAGCGATAACTAAACATGATGGTCCTCAGACGAGTAACAGGTACCGATACCGCTACTACTTCCTTCAATTCGCCTTTTTGGTCCTCCTGGTAGGCCCTTGTCGCCACGGCCGAATTCGTTCCGAAATCTTGGTCAGAACGCACGTCGAGAGATGTTTGGGGAGTAGCGGTACCAGTCCCTGTTCTTTTCCATCGTGCAAGCAGACAGGTGTTAAGCAATAGTTATGTTGTGACCGAGCTACCGCCCAAGCGCGCAGCATCGTGAGCATGCAGTCGGTCGACACCGGATTCGCCATGCGAACACCATTGCACCGCATAAGCTCACACTCAGATCTTCACCTATATAGTTATTTCCGATCGTACTGAGTGCGCTGCGCAGAATGCCAGCATCACGGTGCATTTTGACCTGATTTGCCCAATCCCGTACGACAACGCTTGCGCATGCAAGACGCGAGGACCATCGCACGTATCGAAGGAAGAAACACGATGACCAGATCAAGTTGTCGCGGGATCTTGCCGACGCCGATCTTAGATATTATTCATGCAGGCCGTTTCCTATTCGCCAGGTTGATCCACACATTGACGTTGACCAAGATGGACGGTGACCATGATCGACATCGGCGTTTCCGCGTTCAGTCGTGGATCGTGGCCACCGCTTTACTTCCATCCAACCTCGCGGTTACAGCCAGATTGACCACACTCTGCGCACGAAGCGTGTCGTGCGCATGGTAGACGCGCGCCGTTCACAGACATCGTGCGCACTCACGGGGCACGTTCACACAGACACCGCGATAATGCTGCGTCGCAGCCAGCGGCGTGTGCTATGTTGGCTACTGGGTCACCGACGGCGTGCCCAGGGGGAGGCGAGGGGAGGCCGACCTTTTCAGACGGCGGCGGGGCTTCTTGGAAGCCCTCGGCGGCTTCGGAAAACAAAAGGCTCAGAAAACATGTTTCTGGCATCGCTCGGACGTGTGCATGTTTCCTTCGGCGAGGACCATTGAGGAGCATCCTTGATCATTTGGCGAAAAAACCATTCACGAAACCGACAAAAAGCACAGGGAATAGACGTCCGAGCGATGGCCAGTGTTAGCTTGCTGGAACCCTTGAGCCCCATGAGACCGCCCGCCCTCTCTGCCTTCCCACCTGGGTTCGCCGCCGTGCATTCCAAAAGCCGCCTCGCGCGGGTGTCTATGCCATCCCCACGGGAGTTGCCCGCACGTAAAGTAGGCTTCGCTTCCGCGAGCGCAGCAGGCCCGAAAGGGCGCGGGACCAGGCAAGATCCTGCCCGACATGGACACGATGCCTCCGGACATCGCCTTGCCCGACGCCGAGGAGGGCGCACCACATGTGGGGCAGCGAGTGTGGGGAGGTGGAGGCAGGGGACGCTAGAGATCTGGTTTCTCGATAGGTCCCAGCGTCAATGGCGCGCAGGCGCCAAGTCCATAAACGATGCAGTCGTCCAGATCCAGGTGTTCACGCTTGTCTCTCACTCACTCTGACCGGGACGCATGTGGGGAAGCAGGCTTGTGTGGGTCGGGGTCAGCCACGGGATGTTGGCGGATCAACAGGAGCAGGCAAGAAGAGCAGGACGAGGGAGGACAGAGAACGTGGCTCAGGGGAAAGACGAGGAAGAGGGAGAAGGCATGAGGCGTGGTGGACGAGATGTGGGAACCATAGGGCGGTGGAGGAGAATGATATTGAGCTCACTCGCAGTCAATTCGCCAGATTCCTGTGGAAGGAAACGGGTTACCGCCTCCCTCCGCCCCCGACCCCCTGCAGTGTTTTCGCCAGCCGCGAGTGCCGCCCTCAGCCTGACCAGCCAGCGGTGGAACCAGAGATGCAGCCCGAGAATCCCCGACCCCCTCGGGGCCCAGGAATCCCCGAGCCCTGGACCCAGACGGCCCGCGGAGTGGCCACCGCAGCCCGCAGGGCACCGGCGTGGGGCCGAGGCCCTCAGCGAAGCGCGCGGGGGGGAATGTCGGAGGACGACGCTCGCGGCGCCTCGACGCGGCGGCGCCGCGGGCGCGGGCTCTGCGAGAACGGCCCGCCTCCATGGGGCCTGGCTGCTTCGGGGCCCCGGGGGCGTGCAGGGCAGGAGCCGCGGCGCGAGGCCCGCGCGAAAGGCGGGTTGGAGCTCCCCTTCCAGCGAAAAGGACAGCGACACCACCAGACAGCCAAGGAAAGTCAAGGCCGGCATTTCGGCTGGCCCCTCCCTCGCGCATGGGGTGCGACGGGGAAGAAGATAATACCCGTGAGCACACTGTCTGGACATGCCCTAAATGGGCAAGCCAGAGGACGGCCCTCGAGACCATGATCAGTGAGCAACACGGGCAGGATTCTCCGCCAAATGCTAGGCACTGCGGTCTTTCGGAGGCGGGGTGCCACTTCCAGCGAGGAGGTCCGCGATGCCTCCTCGAGAGGAGGATAGGCGATGCCTCGAGCGGGGAGGAGGGGAACCATATCACCAGGAGGATCGACCCTGGCTCTTCGCGCCGGTGGTGGTGGTGGTGACGTTTTCCCTTGTTCTGATGCTTCGATTCTTGGGACCTTCGACAGCGGAGATCCTTCAAGGTTTGGACGGTCCACGTGGTGTCAGGAACCAGGGCCCAAGTCGTCGAGCTAGGAGTTAGCCGTGATTGCACCTGTATGCATCGGCCTTCCGTCGCTGTTTGGCACATTTTGAAGGGCCAGTCTGGCCCTGCAATGCGCCGAGGGGGCGCGATTGCCACCGCGTTCTGGAAGAACCCGGGCGTTGCTGAAGGTACGTAGCCTTGGCCCGAGGTGTCCCCAGTTTGTCGCGCTGCCTTGGAGCCCTTGGAGCTCTCTGGGCCTCGTGATGGGGTTCTTTGGTGGCCTAATTGACCTCCCTGGAAATCCTGGGGACACCTTGGGCCAAGGGTACCTTTCAGTCGGGCCCGTCCCTCTACAGGAGACATGTTCAAAACTAATCAAAAAATCTTCAGGGGACGCTTTTTGTTGAAATGATGTTGGACCATTCCGGGGTATGCTGTTGACCACTTTTTATTCTTCGCCCACAATCCTTGGTGGTCCCCAAACGTGGTGGTGAGAACACCCGGTGGTGAGTTTTGGGCGATTTGGGTCATGGTTTTCGAGCGCTGGCTGGCCCAGGAAACGCAAAACCTCGTGGCGACCGCGTGTCCCCAAACCCGGTGGTGACCCATACTTATTTTTGGGGGGAATCGGGGTCACCACTGGGTGTCTCACCACCTGGCTTGGAGACCACCAAAATCCGCCTGTGGGGGGGCATGCCCGACCTATAAGGGGTGCCTCCCTGGCAAGGCCCGAGACGTGGCTTCCGCAGGGCCCCCCGGGCCGCCGGCAGGGGATGGCGCCCAGCCCCGCCGGCGCTCGCGCGGCCCGCGCTAGCGGGGCCCGCGGGCGGGGCGCGGCATGCGCAGACGGAGCGGGACTTCTACTACACGGAGGATCGGGAAGGAGGAGGAGGAGGAGGAGGAGGAGGAGGAGGAGGAGGAGGAGGAGGAGGAGGAGGAGGAGGAGGAGGAGAGGAGGAGGAGGGAGGAGGAGGAGGAGGAGGAGGAGGAGGAGGAGGAGGAGGAGGAGGAGGAGGAGGAGGAGGAGGAGGAGGAGGAGGAGGAGGAGGAGGAGGAGGAGGAGGAGGAGGAGGAGGAGGGAGGAGGAGGAGGAACAGTGACACGTCGAGTAGTGAATTGTCCGTCTTCGGTTCTCGAGAGGGCGCCGTGGCCGCTGTCTTCCAGGCCTGCGCCCGCCAGGTTTGGGCCTCGGGTCGTTTTCACTGAACCACGTGTTACTGAAGGGGGGTCTGTTCATCCCCGAGAGGAGGTGGAGTACAAGAAGACGGAGCGGCTGCACGCGCTGCACGGGAGCAGTCCGGTGAGGCTCGCCGTGGAGCACATGAGGATCTACCACGCGTGGTACTTGGAGCGCAACGACAAGCAGGCCACGGTGTGGCAGAAGAAGTCGGGCAAGGTGGTTCTGGCGGTCCTGGTCTGTGGCGCCGGGGAGAGGACCACCGTTTTCAAGGGGATGAACTTCGAACTGTCGCTGCCTACAGGGTCGCGCTGTGCTGAACAGGTCGCGATAGGGTCTGCAGCCGCAGAGGGCTTCTGGCCCGAGGACATGCGTGCCGTTGCCATACTCGACCCTGTGGGCGGTAATAACCCTCTCGGCCCTTGTGGTGTGTGCAAAGAGATGCTTCAGAAGATACAGAGGGTCAGCACTGACTTCTGTCTCATTCAGTTCCCCGAGTTTGAAGCCGAGGGGTTCGACATGATAACCACCTGGTTCCCGGGCGGGCAGGTCTTGCACAGAGAGCGCAACAAGTTGCCGAGGGAGCTCATGCGCTGGACATGTTTCTTCTGCGGGTCCGGAGAGAACACGTCGAAGACCGACTGGTGCCAAGGCTGCAAGGAGCAGACTCGCAACAGGGAGCCCGGGGACAACAACAGGCAGTTGTTGTTGGCCATGCTCCCACTGAGGGCGACTTGCCCCCACACGCAGCAACAGTATGTCGAACTGTCGCAGGTAATCACGGACCCGAGCGCCGCGATCGCGAGCACGAAGTGGTACAGGCGGGTGTCCCAGAGGTACCCCAAGCGGCGGTTCAAGGGGCTTGGGCGGCGGCGGTACTTCCGCGACTCCATTGGAGGAACAAAGATGGCATAAACACCAGCTTTCGGAGGTCCGCGCTGACGTCTTTGGATCGGCGCTGGAACCCCCTCCCTGGCGCGCGGAGCGCGCCAGGGGCTGCGCCGGAGGCGTCGCCAGGAGGCTCCAGCACCGATCTAAGATATCCGCGCGGACCTCCCAAAGTGCGTATGCTCATGCCATGTGTGGTTCCTCTATCCATGGACGCGCTCGTCCGCTCCCTTCGGAAGTGCGGGCTCGGCGCGGCCCTCCGCGCCGTGACCGTGGGGCGGCCCGGAGAGGAGCTACGGGGCGTGAAAACGACCACAGCCACTGCTTTTCTTTTGTTGCCGCCTTCCAGCCCGCAGAAACAAAGCAGTGGCTGTGGTCATTTTCGTTGAGCTTGGCACCAGGGAAATGACCACAACCACTGCTTCTTTTTTGGCCGGCTGGAAGGCGGCGCAAACAAGAAGCAGTGGCTGTGGTCATTTTCTGGTCCCGCAGGAGCGGATGGCTCGAGTTAAACCGTGTTTGGGCGATTTCGTGGGCCGTTTTCGTGTTGCATTCGGCTTGCAGCCAAAGGCAGAATGAATACAGAGCGAGGGAAAGCGACATCAAAGCGAAGACCCGTAGACGGTCGAACGGCATTCTGCGTAACGACGTCGCAGGTTTCGGCATTGCAGGCGGGACTGGTCCGTGGCCGAACCCGTTGTAGGAAAGCGTGGCTTGCGCTTTCCTACAATTCGTTGTGCCGCCTTCTTTCGACACACCAGCGCACTTGGAATGTAGGAGCGCGTGGCTCGTGATCTCCTGCATCTGCTTTCTACACGCGCTCGGTGCCACAAAAACCAGATCTACCGCGCCGTGAACCTACCAGCGCCCTTCGCCCGGCCTTGGAAGCCGGACCGCACAGTTTAGGCCGAGCCCTGGTCGGGGGTTGCAGAAGGTGCCCCTGGCCCAAGCTGCCCCCAACTTCTCGATGAACCTTGGAGCCCCTGGGGCCTTCTGGGCCTCGTGAGGGGGCGCTCTGGGGGCCACAGGGGCCTCCTTGGAAATCGCGGCGCCCTGGGCCAGGAGCACTTCTGGCATTAGGTCGGGCGTGTCCTTTTTCAGAGGGGATATTCCAAACTAGTCAAGAACTAGTCGGGGGACGATTTCTCTATTATTTTGTCAACCATTTCGGGACTCGTTCTGATTCTCAGTCATCTTTGTCCCAAATCCGCCTGCAGGGGGACACGCCCGGCCTCATCCCAGCAGCACCCGACCTGGAGGATCTGGACGCCCGAGATGGGCATGGAAAGAATGGGTACGATGCCCAACAGCAGTTCCTGTTCATTCTGAACAGGATTCGCTGTCCACGCCGCCGCGGCCTGTGCCCATTCGAGACAGAAGCCGCCTGCCCAACAGCGGCCGCTGTTGGTTTGGGACAACATTTGTTGTTGGGCATTGTACCCATTTTTTCGGTACCCATTTCGGGTGTCCAGAGAGGAGAGGGCAGAGTACGACTTCACCGAGCTGGGCCTCCGCTACCTCGAGCGGCTCGGCTAGCCGCCGCTGCCCCCGCGGCGCGGAGGGCCGGAAGCCGAGGGGCCGGCCGAGGGGCCGGCCGAGGGCTCGGGCGGCGGCGGGAGCCGGCCCCGGGGGAGGGGTCGGGCCTTCGAGGGAGCCCCGCATGGGAAAAAAAGTCCGGGCGTCGGGCAGCTTCAGAGGAGGAGGTGCCCATGCCTCTATACCCTTTCCCTCGTTTTTTCCTTTCTTCGGGCCTCCTCGGCGGCCCTCGTCGCCACCGCTGGATTCGTCTCCAAAATTCTGGTCAGAACGCACCTCGGGAGAGGTCCGGGGAGTAGTGGTATCGGTACCTTTTGGTTTCCCCAGATCTGGGGAGTGGAGTGGAGTGGGCGCCGTGACGATGTCATATCCGAGCAGCAACACCTCCCCGACCTCGAAGACGCGCAGGACGACGAGGAGCACGGGGCGCGCGAGCTGGAGGAACAACCTTCCCGAATACCGCGCGCCACCGCTTGAGAAACCAACGCCTCCCACTTGGTTGACAAGCATACCACTTCCACCGAACAGCAGAAATCGTGACGCAGCACATATTCACCACTTGCATTTTACTGATTGAAACTTGGAAGAGGCCTCCGCCTTTTTGGATACATGTGTTGCCTCATGTTCCTCGGCTCCTTTCCGCGCGGGAGGTTGACCACCAGAACGCAATACACAGTGAGAGGTGAACGACGAACGTGAATGCAAGTGAAAGCAGTAACGCACCGCCTGACCAAGATTGGCATACCAAATGCAACAACACTGAATTAGTGTTCCCGAAAATTGCCAGAGTGCCGTGGCGCTATGCACGGACACAGAAAGGGAGCCACATGAATAAAGCATATGAGAGTACGCCTCATATCCACCCGTGCAAGAACTGAGACGACCGGGTATCATGTGACGGAGGAGGATGAGGTGGAGGAGGAGGAGGATTGAACTGGGGGATCGACTACAGAATTGATTTGTCCCAGACTTGATTTCCACGTCGACTCTTCAACAGAAATACGTCATTCATTCGTAGATCTGTGAAAGTTTTGACAACATCAATTCTGTAGTCGATCCCCTACCCGAAGGAGGGAAGAGGGAGGAGGGAGGCGGGAGGAGGAGGGAGGAGGAGGAGTCGAGGGAGGAGGAGGACACGGAGGAGTAAAACGAGGAAGACGAGGGGTCGCAGGTGGACAGGTGGAGGAGGGGGACACGGGTCTAGAGCATTCTACAGGCCAGCCTTCCAGAGATCCGAAGTTCGAACGACGGCGCTGGTGAAAGGTTGCGACTGCCCCCAGGCCTATCCAGGGCGACCAGATCTGGCCTCCTCGAGGGGTCTGCTTGAGGTGGGTGCCTGCCAGAGCCTCCTCCCCGCAGGATAGTTGACGGTGCGGGCCCCCTTGCTATCCCCGCGGCCTGGCTTGCAGGCCTTGGCACCCTCGGCGGTGCTGCGCACGAGCGAGTCCCAGCACTGCAGCTGCTGCTGTTTCGCCCCTGCTTCCACTGCACGCCTTCTCGAAAGGGCTGACCCCCGCACCGTAGCTGCTGGGCCTCCCCTGCGTCCGCCCTCTCGCACGAGCTGGTCCCCCGCGCTGTGGCTGGAGTGCTGCTCCCGCGGTCGCCGCCTTCACACAGTGCCAGGTGCTGCCGCTGCCCGCCCTTGTCGCAAGCGCCCGCGCCAGCACTGTAGCGGAGGACGGCTGGGTGCGGAGCCCACGACACGCCGGCACCATTGCCTTCCAACGTGCAGCAGCCCGTCCCAGCACGGCAGTTGCTGGGTGGCTCTCGCCTGCCTGCCTTCCTGCACGAGCCGCTGCCAGCCGTGGAGCGGATGCTGTCTGCTCCTGCAGCCCGTCTCGCACGGTGGCGTCTTTCGCACGGGCTGGTCTCGGGTTTGTGTTGGCCCGCCCGTTCCCGCCGCACTCGCGCGAAATGGTGGAGAAGGAGGACGAGGAGGAGCAGCGAGGAGAGCGAGGAGGCCGGACGGGCCAGGGACTGCATGAGGAGGGGAAGGGCCCAGGGGCCCCGTGGCAGGTGCTTTTTCGAAGCACCATGGGCGCAGCCCTGCTCGGGTAGCTCAATGTGGCGCCGCGGATGTCATCGTCCACACGCTTGGACGACTCAGATAGTCTAACAGTGACGGCGCCGAGGCCCGCGGAGTTCCACGAGGATCGCGGCCCCGAGCAAAAGCCTCTGCATCCTGGCGGGGTCGCCCGCCGGGGAGGACGCGGAGATGGTCGCGCCCCGCGCCCCGCGGCCCGGACGGGGGACTGGGGAGGTAGCCTTCTCCGGCGGGGCGGCGTGTGAGCCGCGAGAAGGGGTGGCCCAGGTTCTCCTGCCATGCTTGGCCCAGCGATTGGGTCAGACGCCTGCCTCGATGCCGTTGATACCCAGGAGGTGTTGCCCCGCTCCTCCGCCACCTCCGCTTCAATCACCATATCCTCCCTTTCCTGCCCCCACTGATGCTCTATTGCCTCCTCCACCCCCCCTTCTCCAGTATCATGCCCCTAAGCCCCTCCTCCTTCTCTCGGGCCATCCTGCTCTATTCCTCCCTCAGCCCATTCCCCATTATCCTCCTCCGTCCTTTCCTCCCGCCCTCCCTCCCCTCCCTCCCTCTCCTGTCTCCCGCCTGTTCTCTCTCCCTCTGTTCTCTCTTACTGCTTCTGCTGCCTCTCACTCCCCCCCCTCCCGCATCACATCACTGCTGGCCTCTCTCCTCCCCTTTGCACCCCCCCCTCTTCCTCCCTTGTCTCTCCTCCTTCCTCCCCCCTGCTAATCCTCCTCACCCCTACTCCTTTTCCTCCTCCTCACTCCTCCTCCTCTTCCTCCTCCTTTTCCTCCTCCTCCTCCTCCTCCTCCTCCTCCTCCACCTGCTCCTCCTTCTCCTCCTCCTTCTCCTCCTCCTCTACTTTCTCACCCGTCCTCATCCTCCTCCTTTTCCTCCTCATCCACCTCCTTTTCCTCCTCCTCCTCCTCCTGCTCCTCACTTCTCCTTCTCCTCCTCCTCCTCCTTCCCCTTCTCCTGCTCCTCACCCCTCCTCCTCGTCCTCCGTCTCTTCCTCACCCCTCCTCCTCCTCCTCCTCCTCCTCCTCCTCCTCCTCCTCCTTCTCCTCCTCCTCCTCCTCCTCCTCCTCCTCCTCCTCCTCCTCCTCCTCCTCCTCCTCACACCTCCTCCTCCTCCTCCTCCTCCTCCTCCTCCTCCTCCTCCTCCTCCTCCGCCTCGTCCTCACCCCAACTCCTCCTTTGCATCCTCCTCCAGCGCCGGCTCGGGTCGAGCCCCGCTCGCCCCGCCGAGCCCGCGCCAGAGAGGCCCTCTCTCTGCCTCCGCCCTCGTCTTTCCCCGCCGGCCGAGCTGGAGGCGGCCACGAGCCTGGCGCCGCGGCGCCGGCGCCCGACTCGCACGGCGGCAGGGCGACGCTCCCGGCACCGCGTGGGCCGACGGCCGCGTGGCCTCGCGCCTCGGCGCGCCTGCGGAGGCCGCCGGCCATCGCTGCCCGGCGTCCTCCCGCTGAAGGCGCCGCCTTGGCCTCGGCCCGGGAGGCTCGGGAGCACGGCGATGCCAAGGCGTCGGCGCTGCGCCTGCGGCCGGCGGCGCTGCCGTGCCCGAGGCCGCGGCCTGCGTCCGCGGGCGAGGTCGGGCCGGGCCAGCCGAGCGCAGCACCGCCTCCGCGGGGACCGTCGGCGGTGGCGGCGCGGCGCGAGGCGCGAGGAGTGGCTCGTCGGGGGGAGGATCGTCCAGGAGCGGGGAGGTGGTGTGCTTCGTGCCTCGCGCCCCGTGCGCGCCGACCGGGCTCGTCGGGACCTGGTTGAAGCCAAGCCACCGGCTGGTGCCCTCGAGCTGGCGCGGCTCGAGAAGATGCGGCGGCACGGCACGGACGTTTGGCGGCCTCCGTGGAGGCGGTCAGGGAGTCCGAGGCCGCCCTGGCCGCGGCAGGCCTTCCAGTCCCTTCTCGGCTGTGATCTTCATGGCGTCCACCGTGCTGCTCTGGACGCTGCCGTGCCACCGTGAGGATGCCTCCTGGGGGTCAGTGCCGGTGAGAGTTACCAGTGGGCGGCCGGCGTGAGAGCGCCTCTGCGGGGGGCCAAAGCCGCCCTCCCCATGGGGAGAGAGCTCCTAGGGGAGCAGCGCCCTTCTCCGACCTCTTCTCGTACGGCACCTTTGGGATGCTGTAGTCGGGATCCTCTCTTCCTTTTTCGCTTTCTCGCTGGTGACGGTTTCCTTCCTCGTCTCCGACGTGGACGGCCCCGCCGGGCCAGCTGGGGGGGGACGGCGCTGCGCCGCGCCCGCGGGAGGGGAAGGCGGCGACGCGTCCCGCGAAACCGCATCACCTCATGTCCAGAGCCTCCAGAGCCTCCTCCCTACAACCACTCTCTCTCTCCACCGCCCCCCTCCCTTCCACTGCACTTTCCCCATCCTGCCCGGCGCGGCCCCGGGAGCTTCCAGAAGGAACGGGCACACCCCCTCGCTCCCTCTTCTCCCCTTCCCTCCCTGTCCTCCTCCCTCCTCTCTTCCCCCTCCCTCCTCCCTCTCCCTCCTCCCTCCCTGCCCCCTCCCTCTCTCCCTCCCCCCCCCCTCGTCCCTTTCCTGGGTCTCCCTCCTCCAGACCTTCTCCTGCCCTCCCTCCCTCTCCAACGGATTACCAAATTTTGATACTACTCTCCCTCTCTCTCTCTCTCTCTCGCTCCCCTGACTCTGTCCGGAGAGTCTCCCGTCCTCTCCGCGCATTGTTTTTTAACACCGGATTTCATGATTGGGTGTTGCTGGGATGTTTCGTTCAATCCGGCCGTTTCCGGTTTTTCCTAAATAGTTTTCCCGCTGCAGCGCCGCCCTCATGTCCGCGCTTCGGTCATTCAAAATCGTAAAATCGTACTCCCGCTGCGGCACTGGCCTCGTTCCCGCGCCTCCGGTTAATCCAAGTAGCGTTCTCGCAGCAGCACTGGAGTGTTCGGTTCCGCTATGCATTGTGATGCAATGCTTCAGTACGCAACGCCACGCCATGATATGACATGCTATGCTCTGCCGTGCTCTTCTACGCCATGCTTTTCCATCCCTCGCGCACCCCCTTGTGATCATTGCCCTGCTCGACATCTGAGGGATGGGATGGAGGAGTAGGACGTCAGATGTGACGCCAGCGCGCCTAGCTTGCCCACCCCCTGCCCTGCCTCCCCGCCCCTCCTCCCTCCGGCCTCCCCCCAGCCACCAGTGCCCGCCAGCCTGCCAGCATCGCCACCATGAGGGCCGGCAGGCACCCCGACACCGCTGAAGCCGTTGGCGGTGCAGGCAGGCTGCGTCATGCTTGGCTCCGAACGCTCTGCGCTCCGCATGCCTGTGGAAGCTCGCCTAGTCTGCTCGGCGCAGGCACACCATTGCGAGGTAAGTAGAACACACTGCGTGGCACGCGCTGCTGCCCTCAGCTGCACGGCTCGTGCCGCACGCTGGTCCCCCCTCCATTCCCCGCCCCCACCACCTCCCCCTCCCCCTCCCCTCCCCTCGGTTGCGAACGGTCCGTTCCGGTATTGCGGTCGCGGCCAGTCCCGCTCCTCGGCCGGGGGCGGATCGGTGCAGAGTGCCAGCCGAAATGCCGAGAGCATCGGCCGCGACCGTTCGCGGCCGAAGGTTTTCGGCCATGGACGATCTGGGTCCTGGCCCCGTGTCCCGTGTTTTCCCTCTCCCCCCTCGCCGCGCTGCGCGCTGCGCGGAGGGCGGCCTGTGGTTCTTCACCGCGCCCGCGCTGCCGCCGGACGCGGAACAAGGCACTGCGCCGAGCGGGGAGGGTCCTGGCCGGGTGCCACTTCAGGCCCTCGCGCCGCAGAGGTGTAGAGGGAGGAGGGGAGGAGGAGGAGGAGGAGGAGGAGGAGGAGGAGGAGGAGAAGGAGGAGGATGAGAAAGAGGAGCAAAGGGGGGAGGAAGGGGAGGAGAAGGGAGGAGGAGCGGGATGGGGGAGGAGCAGGAGGGAGCCGCTGACGAGGCGGAGGAGGAGGAGGAGGAGGAGGAGGAGGAGGAGGAGGCGAAGGTTGAGGAGGACGAGGAAAGAGGGATGGAGGAAGAGGAGTGGGAGACGGGTGAGAGAATGGAGAGGACCAGGATAAGGAGAAGGAGAAGGAGGAGAAGGAGGAGGAGGAGCAGGAGGAGGAGCAGGAGGAGGATGAGGAGGAGGAGGAGACGCACCAGGACGGAGAGAAGCGGCAGGATAAGAGATAAGAGATGACGACGGGAAGGAGGAGGAGGAGGTAGTGAAGAAGGAGGAGTCCAGTCGGCCCTTGGAAGCGGTCAACTATCACTACGGGGCAGTGCAGCAAACGCTTCTGGGCGCCAATTTGTGACCACATGTGAACCTTGGAGCACACCGAGCGAGCGGAGCCGCTCGGACGTCAGCCCTACGCTGCCCCTTCAGAGGCGGTCTGCACTACAGGCGCGCAGCCCTGGGCAGATGTCTCCACGGGCACCAGCAGCTTGCGTCCTCGCCTCCTCCTCCTCCTATTCCTCCCACTCCTCCTCCTCCTCCTCCTCCTTCTCCTCCTCCTCCTCCTCCTCCTCCTCCTCCTCTCACCCGTCCTCCTCCTCCTCCTCCTCCTCTCCTCCTCCTCCTCCTCGCCTCCTCCCTCCTTCTCCTCCTCCTCGTCCTCCTCCCTCCTCCCTTCTCCCTTCTCCCTCTCTCCTCCTGCGCCTCCTGCGCCTCCTCCTCCTCCTCCTCCTCCTTCTCCACCTTATCCTCCTCCTTCTCTTTCTCATCCTCCTCCGCCTTCCCCCCCAACCACCAGCCGTCCCACCCGCCCCCGACCCCATCCCTCCACTATCAGAGCCTCGGCCTCTGCCGCGTGCACGGCCTGCCCGCTGCCGACTCGTGCCCCCGGTACCCTGCGGTGGCGGCAGGCCCGCACCCACCTCAGCGTTCCCTTGGCGTCGGCGGCTGGCAGCCCACTTGCCTGTGCCCTTGGCTGGAGAGGGAACGCGCACAATAGGGACCAGGCGCGGGTACTCAGAGGCACACGTAGCAACTGAGGCGGACGGAGGGATCAGAGCGGTGGCATTCACAAGACCCGTACGAATCAGCTAGGCCAGTTTCTGTATGGACTGCTTCCAGCTCTCTACTCCGCCCTGGCCTGCCTGCCGCCGCGCGTCTCGTTCCACTTCCTGGACACCTGCACCTACAGGGTCCGGCTTAAATAAGGAACACTTGCTTTTCAAAAGGGGCTCGGTCGTTCATTTGGTTTGCATGCGTTCCGCTACCTTTTTGGCGGCGAGCCCCCCTGGTGTTCCTTCGGACTTCCAGATTTACTTGGGAAAAAAGGGGCTTCGTTCCTTATTTATCGTTCCTTAGGTCAGGCCGAATACTGTACAGACGGCCAGATAAAGGTGGTGCGATCTGCCTGGATCGAACGCGTGATCGAACCTCTCCCGACGGCGCACCTGGGCGCGAGCGCGCCCAGTTGCGTTCAGGAGTTCTCATTAGGCTACGTGGAGCAGGGGCTGCTGCGCGCGAGCGGGCTGGGCCTTTCTGGCTTTTTGGCTCAAAGGGGCTGCCATCAGGGGCGCCAGCGAGGCCCATTGCTCAGAGCGTGCGACGGTCCAAGCGTCGGAACTCCGAGGAGCAGCTCGGTCACATAGGAGCAGGGGCCGCCAGAGGAAAGCTGTAGCAGGAGAGCCTCAGCAAAATGTTATAAGGCGCCTATCCCCGTGTCCTGGGTAGGTCGTCCTCGGATTCAGCTGCCGCAATTAATTCATACTATACACTGGTACTGTGGTCAGACAGGGTCAGTGCGGAACACGTGACTCTCCCACCCCTCGGATCCGTCCCAAACCCGACGAATCCGCACTGGATCCGTTCAAGAAGCGTCGGGTTCGCATAGGATATGTTGCGGATCCGTAAAGAATTCGCACCGAATCCTTCCAAGAAACTTCGGGTCCGCGTAGGATATGTAGCGGATCCGTGCCCGTATCCGACGCCCGAGGCGACGCTGACACGTTTGAAAGGGGACCCGCGTCACCGTCTGCGGGGGGCCCTGCGTGCGCTTTCCTGCGCCCCACACTGCGCCCAACGGCCGCGACCTGCCGCCAAGCCCTTCTTCCCCAGGCCGGCTGCGCCGACGGCCCTTGGCTTGGCTCGGCCCCTGGCCTTGCTGGACCAACAGTCTGTGACCTTCTTGCGACGCGAGTCTTCGGGCCGATTTCTCAAATCGTGCCAACTTACCTGAATGTCTGTAGTGGCTCCCTGAGAGCCGGTCCCGTGGTGCGCTCGATCTTGTCGTGCACTACAAGGTGAGACAAGACAGCCTACCCCATGTTCATCACCACCGTATCTTTGAGCGCCACCGCCAACGTGAGCGTCCCCGCCTCCGCGATCTTGCCCGCCTTCCGGAATCTAAAGTGCAGCACGTCCATCGCGATCTCTCTCGGCGAGCGCTTCCTCACCACAGACTCCCAGCACTCCCGAACGACCATGTGCCTCGGGCCGTCTGAGCGCTCGCCGCCCCCCGCGCACTGCAACATCGCCCTCACTGGTCACGTGCGCGAGGATGGTCACGTTCGGCGGGCCGCTGATCTGTAGGTCCACCCCCCTGCCCCCCCCCCCCACTGGCCGCGCGCAGGGCCTTCGAGCCGTCTGCGCACTCGGCGCCCGCCGTCCTGCACGCCTGCGGGGGCGAGCCCTCGGACTCGTCGACGAAGCACGCCTCGTTGGCTGCTTTCCTGAGTGGTGCTGTGTGCCGCGTGCCAGTGGGAACGAGCCGGGCGAGGTGGGCCCGCAGCAGGTGAACGAGAGTGTCTCGTTTCTCCTGCTGGCCACCTCCTCCTCCTCCTCCTCGAGCACCTTCCGCTGGCCTCGCTCCTGGTTGCACCCCCTGCGGCATGGCCTCGTCGCCTCCCTCGGGCAGTCCGAGAAGACGAAGGCAGACCGGATGGGCGGCAGCAGAACGGAGGGGTAGAGGAGCCACCGAATGACTATGGAGATCACGTAGATCACTGCCCGAATAGCCACACAGCTTGCATACAACATCTTTGGGCTTCCTCCTGGGCGTCAGCGACCGGGATCCCCGAGGGCCGCAACAACCTCGAATAATCGAACGGTGTGGGTGCGCAGGCGCTGTCGCCTCGGACTTGAATAGCTTCTGACAAACAAAACATTCATTAGGTTGTGTCAGAACATGACTGGGGTGGCGGATCTGATGCTCATGACGCGCATGTTCCATCAACACTTCCCTCGTCGTAAACACTCTGCCTCACACAGCTCCCTCCTTCTCTGCCACCGTGCCTTGGCTAGCACTGTAAATGGTCGCCCCACTTCGGCTCGTCTGAACCGTGCACTTGCAAGGATGTGTAAACTCCGCAGTCTCCTCCCCGCTGTCCAAGTCCTGGTTCTCCTCCTCCCGTGCTGGTGGCGGTATCCCATGCGCTCTCTCAAATCCACCGGCCTTTCGAAAACCCAGACGAGCATTTTTCCGCGCACATCGCCGTCTTCAAGTAATAAGCGGGAACACGAGCTGATAGTCGTCAGAGTTTTCTCGGCATTGGAACAGTACTCCACTGCCTCGGCTACGTCTGTCCCAACTCTCTAGCCCACGGGGAGGCAAACTCCGTCAACCTTGTCGCATTGCAGGGCCATGCGTTCTCGCTCTTTCTTTGGAAACCAGGCCGCCGAAGAGTGCAATCAGAACCTGCATGCGTGACTCTTTGGTGCGCGGCCCGACTGTGATACAATATTCTGTCCAAGATCTCTCTGTGACAGGTGGGTAACGCCCATAATTGCTGGATCGCACCCGGAGAAAGTGACCTCTTCTTTCTTTATCATATCCCGTAGATGCCAGACATTGCATTGGTGATCCCCCAAGTCTTGACGCTACTAAGTGTTGCCAGTTGCTTAGAACTGAGAACGAACGGCTCCAATCTGGATCAACAAATCCCGAACCAGCCCAAGAAGGACAGCGCGCTTCCAAGCTTCAGAGACGGGGAGGGTCCAGAACCCACCCATGCTGCAGTACGCCGATGTCGCCGCAGCCATCCGTCTCTCCGCCTCTGTCGCTGGCTGTTGCGTGGGGGTGAGGGCGGGGCCCAGGTACCTGGCAACGTCCGTCACCACTCCCCTCCACCTCATTATCGCGCGTGCTACGTCGTGCGTCGTCCTTGACCTGCTTCTTAAACTCCGTAGCGCCTGTCCCCTTTACGCAGAGACTCGTGACCTGATTCCCCCGGTTCTGTGCGTATGCTGTCTGTGTGAAACAGAGCGCCAGATTTTCTGAAGATGCTATATACCTCCTTCTGGGTAACAACTGCGAGGGGGAAAGTTCACAAGATAGGAGGAAGAGGAAGAGGAGGAGGAGGAGGAGAAGGAGGAAAACACAAGTCACATATTCTCCGTGTGACATTTTCGGATTGGCTCGCAGAGCCCCCCCAGCCCTCTTGGCCTGAAATGCTGCTTCTGGAAAGGGGCAGCTCTTGGAACGCATTATTCGGCGTCGCCATCGGCACACAACGTGATGGCAGCTGCACCAGAGGGAAGCCGAGGCGGATTGATGCCTCGAGCTCGCGCGTTGAAGACGAAGGCGAAGGAGGAAGAGGATCACGTAGGAGAAGGATGAGGCGGAGTTGACGCCTCGAGCTCGCCCGTCGAAGACGAAGGCGGAGGAGGTGGAGGAGGAGGAGGAGGCGCATTGACGCCTCCATCTCGCCCGTCTAAGGCGAAAGCGGAGGAGGAGGGAGGGAGGTGGAGGTGGAGGTGGAGGTGGAGGTGGAGGTGGAGGTGGACGAGGATGAGGAGGAGGAGGAGGAGAAGGAGGAGGAGGAGGAGGAGAGGGAGGAGGAGGAGGAGGCTCTTTCCCGTAGTGGAGGTGGAGGAGGAGGAGAAGGAGGCGAAGAAGGAGGACCTCTCCCGCAGTGCAGCAGGGGACGCCGCTGGCAGGATGCAGACGGCCCGGCCCCCCTGCCCAGTCCCCCCCCGCGGCAGCCCCCCTCCAGGCAGCACGGTGGGGTTCCGCCTGCGCTGGGACCAGGGCGGCAAGCTCCAGGCCGAGGACGGGGCTGGCCGAACCCGTACCTCTGGCGATTCGTTTCTGTTGTGTTCGTAGATCCTTGAGGCGGTCAGGATCGTGCTGATTCATCATTCGCAGCACTCGTCTTCGCACTCGTATGCCACGAGAGAATCACGACGGAAGGTTTCTGGCTATGGTCGGCTTCGGGGGGCCCTTGCTGGCCCTCGGGACCGTCAAGAAACTGAGCAGGATGAAAAACCGGTCCCGGGGAATGGGTCGAGACCTCTGCAGGGGTCGACGTTGCGGAACGAAGTCATGACGTCGGGGGTCTGGGGTTCCCGACACGCTGGGCTACAGCTCTTGGCCGCAGTTACTTCTCTGTGGTTGGCGTCTGGAGGCCGCCTCTAAGCACGGGGACGGTCAGAGACAACCTTGGATGAGAAGCCGGCCCCATGGGAGAAATCGAGAGTACCGGAGGCCAGCAGTTTGAGAAGCATCGCGTCGCTGGAGTTCTGGGAAGAGATACTGCGCACATGGAAGGGGCCTCTCAAGCTTTCGTCAGGCCTGCGCAGTGTGTCCGCAAGAGCAAGAAAGCAGCTGAGCACAGGAGGGCGTGCAGGCAGCTACGGAGCTCGGGCATGCAGAAGCAAGGTGCGGACGACGCTGCTCAGCTGCGTTCTTGCTCTTGTGGACACTGCGCAGGCCTGACGAACGCTTGAGAGGTCCCTTCCAATGTGTGTGGGTTGCGCTTATTCCTCTCCTTCCTCTTCCTCTTCCTCCTATTCCTCCTCATCTTGCTACCTCTTCCTCCTCCTTCTCCTATTCCTCCTCACCCTTCTTATCCTCCTCTTCCTCCTCATCTTTGTTGCATCCTTCTTCTCCCGCTCTTCCTCCTCTCCTCTTGGTTCTTCTCCTCCGCTTCCCCTTCCCTCCGCATCCTTCGTCTCCTCTTCCTCCTCCTCTTGCTTCCTCTCCGCCCATTCCTCTGTGTGCTCCCGTGCCTCTCCGGCGGTTGCGCCCGCCAGTGTGCCGAGCGAGGATGATTGCCCCTTCCCCCCCCCCCCCGCCTCTTAGAAGGCGTGGGCCGTGCGGCTCTGAAGTTGTGGAGGACGATCAATGGAGAGGAAGCATGTTGCCAAACAAATTCCAGATGTCTAAAACATGTATTAAACATGGTGTGAACATGTACACAACATGTTTTAAACCATGGTTTAAACATGTTTCCTACATGTTAAACACTTTTTAAAAGTCAAGGGTAGGACTGTCAGGGTGTCCATTGTCGTGGCATCCACAGCTCTGGAGGGGCCGCAGTCATCCTGAGATTTTGATATTCCAGCCGACTTTGGCCTTGACCACCAGAAAGAATGTCGAGCGTCAAAATTGTGCAGAAACTTGAATGTTTTCACGTGTCGGGCCGTGGGAGGCGACACTCGTTCGACGCTTGTTCTATACACTTTTGGGTGCTCGAAATTATTTATGGGACCCGGTCCTTAAGTACATTGGGAGCTACAACATCCAGAGAATATTCCTGCCTTCTGGGAAGGCAATCGTGGTGTTCGGTCCTCTCCGTCGCCTCGTGAACGGACTCGAACGTCTCATAGACGGTCCCGATGACTGTGCCAAGCCCGAACCACTACCAGGCCCCCCATGCCACGAAGGCGCCTGGGAGGATGGGCCCTCCCATGCGATTCAGCCAGACGTACCCCCCCGATGTTCATGCCAGCGCTGGCCAGCCACCAGAAGAAACCCTCCTTCTTGCTGTTCTTGCGCTTCGGCGGTTCCTGCTTCTTCGGGGGGGGGCCCTTTGACCTTGACACCTGCATCCTCCATCTCCTTACGTGCGATGAGTCGTTCACTCGCGGCCAGTACAGCATCCCGTCCTTTGCCAGACACGCCTGGGTGCTCTGTCAAGTATACTGAGCGTTCGGCTTGGAGAAAACCTTCGGCTTGTCTCTCAAATTAATCAGCTGCACCGGTAGCGTGGGGTCACATGCCGTCCATATCGTCGACGATGCATTTCCCACACGAGTGATCAGCAGGAAGCAGCTCCCCGCCTTGTCGTCCGTACGATAGTACACTCGATTTTATCTCGCCCAGGGCGCCATGACGCCCGCTCGTGTCCCACGGATGTGCGGGCCCTCGGTGGCCCCGTCGTCGACGTAGCCGTCGAAGTCGTCCTGCGCGTCGTCTGCTGCCACAAACCCGAGCAGATAGCTTCCCTCCGACTTCTCGCCTGCTTGCCAGCCGAGCAGCCCCGCCACGAAGTACCAATGGAGCTGCGTGGCTCCTGGGGGACGCGCGCGCGCGCCCGCCACCTGCGGTGCTGGGACCGCAGAGTCTGAAAGCGCTTGCAGATCTCTCAACCCCAGAGCCGAAACTTTACGCACACAAGGGAGCGAACGAGCGAGGGAGGGAGTGAAAGGGGACGGCCCAGGCAGGAGGGTACTAAGCTAGATAATAGTGCGTTTTGGAAACATGTGATGTCTCAAGCTTTTCCCAGCCTCCCGCGCCGCGGAGAGGAGCGACACGCTCTCCGCTCGCAAGGCGTGGCGTGTCTCCCGCTGCCACGACACGCTGAGCAACCGCTCTCCCGACCGTGAGAAGACGGTGGGGGCGTTCGCTCAGGAATGCGCCTAGGAGGCTTCGGACCCTGGAGGGCTCTATACCTGAGGAGGGCGGCGGTGATATCCATGGCCGATCCACGATTGGCTTTCCGCTGGCTCCCGGACCCTGGAGTCCTTATCTGAGGGCTCCTTTTCCAGTGCCCACACCGTGTGGCCCCTGCCTCCTTGCACTCCATCCTGAATTCATTGCACGGGCTCCGTCCCCGCGGGGCATGGTGGCCAAGTCTTGGGCCGGCGGTGTCAATGTGCGCACGGAGGTGCCCGTAGAACTCACTGTAGAACGTCTCTCGGAGGACGCATAATGTGGGGGGAGGGCGATGATTGGGGAGGCAGCGAGGGCTAGTTAACGAAAAGGGAGCTTCTCGGGGCCCCTGAAGAGGCCAGGCCCCGCCAGGGCCCAACAGGGGCCCTACAGGGCCCGAAAAGGGCACATTTCTCCTTGGGGCTTGACCTGAACGCTTGTTTTCTGGACTTAAGCTGTGTTGCGTTTTCGTTTTGGGAGGGAGGTACAGGAAAACAGGTCGAGCAAAACGGAACCCAGAACGAAAGCAACACGAAAGACACGTGTAAGTCCAGCCCTGTTTCTTCCCCCCTCGTTTATCGCCCCCCACCAATTCGCGCCCGAGTCTCGTGGAGGCCGCCGCTGTGCCCGAGGGGTCCACGGGGCCTCCCTGCCACCGCGGAGGACGTGGAGCTGCTGCACGCCGCCGCCCCGGCCAGAGGAGCCCTCGCCGCTCGCCGTCGTCTGCCGTCCGGTCCGTCGGTGGGTCGGTCGTCCGTTCGTCGGTCGTCCGCCCGTCGCCGTCTGCCGTCCGTCCGTCGGTCGTCCGTCCGTCGGTCGTCCTCCGTCTTCGGCTGCCGTCGTCGTCGTCGTCGTCGTCGGCCAATCGTGCCATCGTCGGTGGTCGCCCGTCCTCCCAGACCTCTGGGGGATACGGTCTCTGCCATCGGGGCGTTGTTTCCCCTGGACAGCGGCCTCGCGAGGCCCGTTGCCGGGCCCGGGGGCCCTAAGAAATTCGTCCGGGACGCCCCGGGAAAGGGGTCGGGGGCTTTCGGGGGCCGCGGCGGGGAAAACACATCGGACGGTGTCTGGGTCGTTCGTCGGCAGCCGGCTGCCATTGCCCGCCGTCGTCCGTCGGTCGTCCGTCAGTCGTCCGCTCGGTGGTCGTCGTTTGGCGTCGCCCGTCCTCGTCGTCGTCGTCGGGGGAGGAGGGGGAGAATCTCAGAGGTCCCGATGTCAAAGCCACATCGTCGGAGGTCTGGGGTGGCGGATGGGCCGCGGCAAGATGGCGGCCCCTCTTCCCCAGGCGCCCTCCGCTGCAGGCTCGTTTCTGGAGCCGCGGCCCCAGATGTCCCGACTCTCCCTGCAGGGGGGCCAGTTGCTGTTGCGTGCGGGATCCCTTCCTGTCGGCACCGTGGGCCCGGGAGCGGGTTCCGGAAGCCGACGTCGGGGAAGGACGCCCCGATGGAAAGCAGGCGATCTGGGCCCCATGGGTCGGGACCACTTCCCTGTACGTAGAGGGCCCTTTTTGTCATCCCGAGAGTCGTCTCTGGACGGCTCCGGGGCCCTTGTGCGGGCCCCCCGAGGGGGCGAACCGCTGGTCCCAAACGGGCCGCTCCGATGTTCTCGGGGCATCGGGTCTCTGGGTCGCCCTCGAGGGAAGGCTCGAGCCGCACCCATAGCACATAGGGGGGCTCGCGCAGCCCCGCGGCGCTCTCTCTATGCCCGCTGCGTCGTGAGCTTGCTGGGAAGGGGCGCCACAGGGCCGATGCGCCGCGGATGTGGGCAAGCCTATCTATGGCTTTTCTGGGTGGCCAGATGTTCATCCCTAGCCGCTGCGCCTTGGGTCTGGGGGGGGGGGGCCGGCACTCCGATGTGCAGTGGGTATGGATATACGCCTGGCCCGCAGTGATGGGCCCACGGTCCACCACCACTACCATATCTAGGAGGGGGTGGAGACGGAGGAGGAGGAGGAGGAGGAGGAGGAGGAGGAGGAGGAGGACCTCCTCATCCTCCCTTCTCCCACGTCCTACATATGGTAGTGGTGGTGGTGGAAAATTTGCCCATCACGCAGAGACGGGGGCGACCACCGTGGGCTCACACACCTCCCGAGGAACCAGCGAGCCTCCAATTTCGGGCTGCGCCGCAGAGCCGCCCCACGCGGTCTCGCCGCAGCAGTTGCTCGGAGGGCGCGGGCGCCCGAAGCTCTCCGAGATGCAGTGGACCACCGCCTACCAAGCCACCCCAGCCCAACCCGAAGGCCCCGATCTGCCCTCCATTTCCAGTGGGGGGGGGGCGGGGAACACTCTGGAACAAGACACGTGTGAAGCCCCCCCAACCCGAAATTGGGGTCACGGTCTTCGGGTTGGGTTGGGGTGGCCCGGTATAGGCAGTCCGTGGATGTGTCAAGGCGCACCTTCGCGGGGCCCCGTCTGACCCAAACGTTGGTGCCTCTTCTTGTGAAAGGCGCGGGCTCGATGCGGACTCGACGCGGATCTGGCGTGGACTGGGCGCGGATGCGGCACGGTGTCGGCACGGATTCGACGAGCCCGACATGGGTCCGACACGGATTCGACCCGCATAGGGCCGCGACGGGACAGCTACTATGTTATGAGCAGTTTTTTGTTCTCCTCCGCGCCATGGAAACTCAATGTGAATCTCGTCAAAGGGCTACTTCTCAATGCCGCTCTCTCCGGGATGGAAGTCTGGGCTAAAGCTAAGGGGCCTCTTACTCCGCCAGATGTTCAGATCCTGGAGTCCTTCGTCGTGCATAGGTGCAGGGCCATTCTGGAAGGTGCGTGCTCTTGGGCGTCGGGGCATGCAAAGTCTCCCACCTCCCAGCATGTCCTCAAGAAGTTCGGAGTGGGCCCTCTCTTCTTAGAGCTGAAGTTACGTGGACTTTCCTGGTGCCAGGAGCTCAGCAAGGCTAAAGAGTTCCACGAGCAGTTCTGGGCAGCTATGCTAGGCTCCATGGCAGTAGATGGTGATATTCTGGTCAATGGGCGAGTAACTCCACAGGGGCACCCTTGGGCGCTCCAGCTGCAACAAGATATCGACTTCCTCGGGGCCAGAGAGCCTGGCCAGGAGCTGCTACTCCAGGCGGACGACCGCCTCGATCATGTGCCTTTCGATCCTGATTTATGCCGAGAGTTCCCAAATATCGATGTCAGCGAGCCGCGGGCGCATTTTCTGCTCTCGTCTGCCACCGGCGCAGCCCATTAGGCTCACGGAGTCGAAGGAGGCTTTGTCTGTCGAGAATACTTGGACGACGGCGCGCAACGCTGTACCCGATGGCCCACAAACAACAGCTCATCGCCCACGTCGCGTCTACGAAAGGAGGGGCCCACGGGGGATTACATGTAGCCAGGAAATGTATTCCTACTGACACATGCACATTATGTGGAAGTGCATTTCGCGATCGGATTATTGCACAGCAGCGCGCAAAGAAGAGCCTGGTCAGACAACGATGCCCGCGCAGCCGTGGGAGACACGAAGCATAAATACTCGATTCGAGCAATCGGAAATTCAACAAATGTAATGAAGAGTTCGAATCCGTAGACGCCTTTCCCGAGCACTTGTTCACGCATCTCACCGCTCACCTGCAGCCCACCTATTACGTTCGACTCCATGGAGGCCGCTGGGTCCGCCTCGGGGCCGGTGCGACCACGCGCCAAGAGTTCATTGCAAGAATCAGCAGGACCTGCGCAGAAGCAGCCCAGGACGGGGGAGGAGGAGGATCACGACGACGATGTCTCGTCGATGGGCGAGCCGCCGAACAAGAATGGGATGAGGGAGGGGCGCCTTGCTGGTGCAGCTCGAGGCCAGAGTCAGGAGTCTTGAGCATGCCGCCTTCAGCACCGCGCTCATGGCGAGGAAGTCCCCCGCCATCGAGGCCATCGACAATCCGTTCCAGGACTACCTCAAGCAGCGCAGAACGACCAGAACAAAGGCCAGGAACTCGCGGGCCCCGCGTCCCAAGCCCTTTTCGCAATTCTAGCCGTTACCGTCGGCTTCAAGTTCAAGGGTACTTCGCTAAGGATGCAAGCGGTCCCAGCAGGCTGCAGAAGGCTTGCGCTGATGATGCAGAGATCGTCGCCTCTGGAGATGTCAGCTTGGGCGCGGGGCGCTAGTGGCCCGTCCAGCCTTCGACAAGCCGAACACCGAGCATAAGTATCGCATTACGTTCGCGCTGCGCGGCAACATTCTGCTCCCGTAAGAGGACGAGGTCGCGGCCGAGCTAGAGCAGAAGCTCAAGGACGCGGTCGCCGCCAACACCACCTACAGAGGACTGATGACGAGCCCGATCGTAGTCCCCCCCCAGAGATGCTGCAGGTCCCAGGCATCTGGATTCCAGTCGAGCAGATAATTAGCGAGGCCATCAGAGGCATGGGAGGTGATGTGAAGATGAACCGTGCCCCGAGGAACAACATGAAAAGCCAATTGAGGCAAGAAGTGGTTCTGAGTCCCTGCGTCCACGCCCCCGCGCTGGGCCTCTTGTGTGCTAGGCAATTAGCCTGCTGCCTGCCGCCGCCTCTCTGCCGCCGCTCTTTGTTTGCGCAGTGCAGTATGCAGCAACAACAATGTATGTAGACTTGTCTGCGGGTGTTGCAGGTAGTAGCATGGCTGCCATCAGATGATATGACGAAGGGGGATTCTAGCAACGTCCTTCGAGCCCCAGCCCGGGCCAGTGCTTTCAGAACTTCAGATGTCGGTTTTGAAGGGCTTGAGAACTGAACTGAACTCCTCCTCCTCCTCCTCTTCCTCCTCCTCCTCCTCCTCCCCAACCTCCTCCGCATCCTCATCCTCATCCTCATCCCACCTCCTCCTTCTCCCGTGCCTCCTCCTCCTCCTCGCCCTCCTCGCTCCCCCCCTCCCCTCCTCGTCGTCCTCCGCCTCCTCCTCCCCCTCCTCCTCGTTTTCCTCCCTTCCCTCGAGCTTTGCGTTAGATTCGGGCGAGGGCTCCTTCGATCGCTACTGCCTCTTCCGTTGCGCGACAGTTTCTACAAGGTGTTGTCGTTGCACTTCAGCTAGGCGCTGGGGGGGGAGCAGGGAGGACGACACTGGGAACGGAGTGCGCGCTCCTCCTCCTCCTCCTCCTCCTCCGCCTCCTCCTCCTCCTCCTCCTCCTCCTCCTCCTCCTCCGCGTCCCCCTTCTCTTATTCACCCTGCGTGACTGCTCCGGACGGACAGCGGCAGCAGCCACCAGCGGGGCAGGCGTGGCAGTGCGAGGAGGATGGGCAGAGGCTGGACCACATCGTCGACAAATACAATGCTTGGTACCACACGCGTGGGACATCCGAGACTGCAGTTTGGGGGGAGGCGACGGTCGAGCCCGATGCCACCAGCTTCTGCTAGGGGGCAGTGTCGGGTGATGCGAAAACTGTCCTCTTGAAGTCGAAAATGACCACCCCCGTCCCCCGTAGAATCTTAACACGCGGGGGGGGTGCGGTCGACGGATCCCATCTTGTCAGTTCAAAACGGGGTAGGAATGATATCCGCTCTAAAAAATAGGGTCCGACGCGGGTCCCAACAATCAGAAATGGGATTCGCGCGCACGGAAATGAAATCCGCCGCGATTTCACGATTACGGTAAGGTTGGAAATCGGATCCGTGCGGCTCTCATTGGGTGGTTCGCCGCTATGATTTCCCGCAGGGCCCGTGCACCGCGTGGGACCGTGAGGTTGAGCGCCAAGAGGAACAAATATTTGGCGTACGGCGGCGGGGCTGTGTGCCGAGACGTGGATGTCGAGCCCGACGTCATCAGCTACAGACTCAAGGACGGCGCATGTGAAAATTCTTGGATGGCAGCAGTGGCGGAGGCGGCGCACGAGGCCAACACCATCAACTAGAGCGGCGTGAGTGTGTCACCTGACGCGAGGGTCGAGCCCGACGTTGTCGGCTACAGACCCGGGGACGGCGTCTCCGTGAAGTTCTGGATGGCGGCAGCGGCGACGGCGTAGCACGATCCCAACGCCATCAGCTACAACGACAGGGTTGGGTGGCGTGATGCGAAGGTCGAGCCCGACGTCACCAGCTATTGTGCAGGTGAAAGATATGAGTCAGGCGTGGCACAGTTCCTTCGCGAACGTGCCGCTGAGGAGGCATGCTTTGCACAGCCGTGTAGCACGAGCAGCAGGCGCTGTAAGCCACAGCCCTCTCGTGCGACGGAAGGCCCGCGTAGATACAAAACAACATATTCTGATCGTTGTCATCCCGGTTTCCTCCAGGAGCTAAGCATCTCTGATTGTGACACGTCTTGGAAGTCAGGCAGTTTAGGAAGGTGGATTCACAGGGTACTTGGGGCAGGCCGTTCTCGACGTTATGAGTGGGTATGGTGGCCCGCACAACATAGCACGCAGTTTGGCCAGGCTGACGGATCCGAGGTCCGAGATCTCCTCGAGGCGCTTGGGACTGCCATCAGCAATGCCTTTCCCTTTCTGAGGGGAGGTACACGTGCTGATGTTTTCCCAGGTGTACAAGATCAGGGCCTTCCCCTTTGTGAGCGGGAGGTAGCACCGCGCCGAGCCGACAGGTTGATCATAAGACTAATAACGCTAAGCGATCAGGCAGAGTCTCCAGAGTTCTCAACTTCCTCCTTCTCCTCCTCCTTTTCCTTCTCCTCCACCTCCTCCTCCCTCCTTCGGCTAGCCCTTCGGGCAAAGGGGCAGGGATCTGAGCTAGCGGGTCGCTGTGCGCGGGGGAGGAGGAGGGGAGGAGGAGGAGGAGGAGGAGGAGGAGGAGGAGGAGGAGGAGGAGGAGGAGGAGGAGGAAGGAGGAGGAGGAGGAGGAGGAGGAGGAGGAGGAGGAGGAGGAGGAGGAGGAGGAGGAGGAGGAGGAGGAGGAGGAGGAGGAGGAGGAGGAGGGAGGAGGAGGAGGAGGAGGAGGAGGAGGAGGAGGAGGAGGAGGAGGAGGAGGAGGAGGACGACGAGGAGGAGGAGGAGAAGGAGGGAGGAGGACGAGGAGGAGGAGGAGGAGGAGGAGGAGGAGGAGGGGACGAGGAGGAGGAGGAGGACGAGGAGGAGGAGGAGGAGGAGGAGAAGGAGAAGGAGAAGGAGGAGGGAGTGGAGGACGGAAGAGGTGGTTGAGGAGGTGGAGGAGGAGGAGGAGGAGGAGGAGGAGGAGGAGGAGTGGAGGAGGTCGAGGAGGAGGAGGAGGAGGAGGAGGAGGAGAGGAGGAGGTGGTGGAGGGGAGGAGGAGGAGGAGAAAGAAGAGGAGGAGGAGGAGGAGGAGGAGGAGGAGCTTCAGGAGGAGGGGGAGGGATGGATGGACGGACGGCTGGCGGAAGCGGGACAGACTCTCCTCCCCCTCGCGCGCCGCCCCCGCCCCCGAGCCGCCGCGCCCAGGGCGGAGCGCGCAGGCCGCGGAGGCGGCGCCCCGGCGGTCGCCGCCCGGCGGCGTGCTGGCCCGCCCCCGCCGCCCCCCGCCGCGCGCATCGGGAGGGTCGGGTCTCCGGCCACGCGCGGAGGCGCTGCGTCGCTCTCGGACGTGTGCGTTGTTTTCGAAGAAGGAGAAGAAGAAGAAAAATATTAATAAGAAGAAGAAGAAGAGGAAGAGGAAGAAGAAGAAGAAGAAGAAGAAGAAGAAGAAGAAACAGAAGAAGGAGGAGGAGAAGAAGCAGAAGTGCGTGCCGCCAAGTGCTCGGACGATGCCCAGGCCCCCCTCCCGCCCTCGGGCGACGATGTAGGCACACATCCGCTGCCCCATGCCTGGCCCATCTCGGGCTCAGCAGGGTCTCCACTGCCAGACTGGCTTGTGGCACAGCTTCGAATTGGGACTGGAAGGGGTTCCGGATCGAGTGCACCACCTGTCCGGCCCCGCCGTCCCGGCCAACAGCCAGGGGGAATGGGGGGTTGAAGCGCCGAGCGCGGGCAAGGACGCCCGACGATTATGGCCTCCTTGGCCAGGCAGGCAGCAGCGCGCATGCCTCCCTGGCCAGGCCAGGGGGGCGTGCACACCGCTCCGGGGTCCAGGGTGGGCCTGGCCAGGGGCAGCGGGCGTGCGTCGGCCCCGTCGCCCCCGCGGCCCCTTCGGCCCGCGGCCGCGAACGGGGGACGGGAGGTGCTGGGGCGCTCTCTCGGCAGCCGGGGGCCCTCGCCGGGCCCCCAGGGCCGGCAAGAAACGGGGCTCGGGATGAAGATGCTGGCGAGAATTGCATCCAGATCCAGTGCGTCTTGGAGTTTCTTGGGCTGGGGCACCGCGAGGCCGAGGCGCACTGGATGTGGACAAACATTCGAGACCTCGAACGGGGCCAGATTCTTTTCCAGATTCCGTATCCAGTGCGCCTCGGGGTTCTTGGGAAGGAAGCCCGAAACTCCAAGCTGCAGCGGGTCCTGGGGAAGCGGCTCGAGCCTCTGGGAAGCCACGCCGTGAACGTATCACGACTTCGGGGGTCCGGGTGCCCAGCTCTCCGACGGTGTGTGTGTATGTGTGTGTGTGTGTGCGTTTGTGTTTCGGCCTTGTCGCGTCTCTCCCATTGCGGCCTCCGGGACCCGATGCCAGGCCCCTGGGCACTCAGACTTGGGCCCGGGATGCAAAAGTATTTCCCCCCAGGTGCGTGTGTGTGCGTGTGTGCGTGTGCGTGTGTGTGTGTGTGTGTATGTGTGTGCGTGCGTGTGTGCGCGTGGGTTTGTGTTTCTGTCCTGACATGTCTTTCCGATCGCAGAACTACCGCTTCGGGAGCGTTCCCGGGGACCACCTAACGGACCTGTTCGACATCAAATCGATTCTAGCTCGACCTTGGTTCCACGTAAGCTCGACTCAAGCTCGACTCAGGCTCGACTCAGGCTCGTCTCGAGTTCGACTCGAGCTCACTTCAAGTTCGATTCACGTCGACGGACGTGCGCCGCAGCACTGACGCACGAGTGGAGCGAGTGGCTCCAGGAAGAACTCCAGAACGAGTGCATATATAGGATGATGATGGTGATGATGATGATGATGATGATGATGATGATGATGATGCTGATGCTGATGCTGATGCTGATGCTGATGCTGATGCTGATGCTGATGATGCTGATGCTGATGAATGATGATGATGATGATGATGGTGATGATGATGATGATGATGATGGATGGTGATGGTGATGGTGATGGTGATGGTGATGGTGATGGTGATGGTGATGATGATGATGATGGTGATGGTGATGGTGATGATGATGATGTTGATGATGATGATGATGATGATGATGATGCTGATGATGATGCTGATGCTGATGCTGATGCTGATGCTGATGATGATGATGATGATGATGATGATGATGATGATGATGATGATGGTGATGGTTTTCTAGTCCGCCCACGACCCCCTCCGCCTGCCCTGGGAAGGTCGGGTGGGGCTGGGTAGAAAGCCAGACCTCCGACGATCTGCTCAGCTGCTCACAGCCAGACAAGCCTGGGCGGGCCTCCTCGATCTCGGCGGTGGGGGCCGCGGCGTCGGGGCCAGGCGGGATCGATTGGATCTGGGGCGAACGAGAGTGCGCACATCCGGGGGAGGAGTCCGGGCTTCTGGCCCGCCCCCGCCCCCTCTCAGCCTGCCCTCGGAGGATGGGTCGGGCGGAGGAGGAGGGGGGGGTGCGGCCGAGTGCCGAACCAGAACGACCCAGGGGTCGACCTGAACGGCGTTTTGGCGATGTCGTGGGCCGTTTTCGTTTCGACTCCGTTTTGGCAGCAGTGGTGGAACGAAGACAAGGCGAAGAAAAACGACAGCAAAACGAAAACGAAGACCAGAGGCGGGAGGAGCCACAAGGAGGAGAAGGGACGCGGAGGGTCTGGGAGCCCCAGCGTTTGATGTCCCATGTCTCTTTTTTTTTTTTCTCTCTCTCTCTCTCTCTCTGTCTCCTGGTCGCTCTTGACCTCCCCGCCTCCCGTCGCTGGCCGCCCTGCTGGCCAGCCCGCCAGGTCACGTCGGTGCCCGAGTCGTGGAGCGCCGAGGACGCCGCGCGAGGAGAAGGGGGGATGACGCCTTCTGAGCGGGGGAGCGAAGGTGCAAGCCTGCTGCTGGGGACGGGGGATGAGGGCGGGGGCGACGGTGCCGATGCCCGAGCAGATGGGGCGTTCCAGGCATGGCCTCGCAACTCGAAGTCGACAAGGAGGAAAAGGAGGAGGAATAAGGAGGATGAGAAGGCGTAAGGAGGAGGAGGAGGAGGAGGAGGAGGAGGAGAAGGAGAAGGAGGAGGAGGAGTAAGGAGGAGGAGGAAACTCTGGCGGAAGGCCCGCGGACGCAAAGGATGCGTCCCCGAGAGGTGGCAACACTCTGCGGGCTCGGGGTCTCCGGAGCCCGCCGCACGGTGGGGCGGTGAGCTGCTGCTGCTGGTGATTCCTCTCGCGTCGTGGTGTGCACGCCCAGAGTACGTGCAGTCAAGTCGTTTTCGGGGGGTTCTCGGGAGTCTCTTGGGGACTTCTTTGGAGTCTATTTGGGCTTCTTGGGGGCGTCTTGAGCCGTATTGGGCGCTGCTGCGCCGTTTGGCCCCTGCGGAGGCCGTGAGGTGCTTCTGTTGGTGATTCTACAGGCGGACGCCACATCCGCCGAGCCCTTTGATTTTGTCCGAGCCTTTTGAGATCGAAGGGCCCTAGGGGCCTGGGGGGGAACAGTTTGGGAGCTGTTTGGGGGAATTTCTTTGGGGCCTCTTGGGGGCCTCTCCCCCCTCGCCCCGCCCCCTCCCCCCCCCCCCCCCCTCTGGGCAAGCTAGCCTGCCAGGGCCCAGAATACCCCCCCCCCCCCCCCCCTCTGGGCAAGCTAGCCTGCCAGGGCCCAGAATAAATTATCCCGGCGAAGGACCCAACCATATGCAGTTGTGAGTACCGCAATTGTGAATATCTTCTCGGGTGGCGCTCTGTATGGGGCCACGAACCGTATGAAGGTGTACCGAATTGTGTAACGTAGCCTCTGCAGGGGCTTCCCTGGGAACCCCGACGGCAGCGCCCGCGCGCCGCGACGCCCATGTCGGCACGCCCCACACGAGGATCGCGCCCGCTTCGAAAATGCCGAGGCACCCCCGTTAGCCTTTCCAAACAGGAACGCCTTCGGTGGAGCCTCTATGGGGCCACGAAACGTGTGAGGGGGTTGCCGACATGGGTGTGCGGGACGCATGCGGGCACACCCACTGGGACATTCAGTGGAGCTCCCCATGGGGCCACGAAACGTGTGAAGGGTGTGCCGAAACGGGTGTGCGGGACGCATGCGGGCACACCCACTGGGACCTTCGGTGGAGCTCCCTATGGGGCCACGAAACGTGTGAGGGGTGTGCCGAGATGGGTGTGCGGGACGCATGCAGGCACACCCACTGGGACCTTCGGTCGAGCTGAGCTCCCTATGGGGCCACGAAGCGTGTGAAGGGTGTGCCGAAATGGGTGTACGGGACGCATGCGGGCACACCCACTGGGACCTTCGGTGGAGCTCCCTATGGGGCCACGACACGTGTGAGGGGTTTGCCGAAATCGGTGTGCGGGGCGCATGCGGGCACACCCACTGGGACCTTCGGTGGAACTCCCGATGGGGCCACGAAACGTGTGATGGGTGTGCCGAGATGGGTGTGCGGGACGCATGCAGGCACACCCACTGGGACCTTCGGTCGAGCTCCCTATGGGGCCACGAAGCGTGTGAAGGGTGTGCCGAAATGGGTGTGCGGGACGCATGCGGGCACACCCACTGGGACCTTCAGTGGAGCTCCGTATGGGGCCACGAAACATGTGAGGGGTGTGCCGAAATGGGTGTGCGGGACGCATGCGGGCACACCCACTGGGACCTTCGGTGGAGCTCCTTATGGGGCCACGAAGCGTGTGAGGGGTGTGCCGAAATGGGTGTGTGCGGGACGCATGCGGGCACACCCACTGGGACCTTCGGTGGAGCTCCTTATGGGGCCACGAAACGTGTGAGGGGTGTGCCGAAACGGGTGTGCGGGACGCATGCGGGCACTCCCATTGGGACCCTCGGTGGAATCCCCGATGGGGCCACGAAACGTTTGAGGGGTGTGCCGAAACGGGTGTGCGGGACGCATGCGGGCACACCCGCTGGGACCTTCGGTGGAGCTCCCTATGGGGCCACGACACGTGTGAGAGGTGTGCCGAAATGGGTGTGCGGGACGCATGCGGGCACACCCACTGGGACCTTCGGTGGAGCTCCTTATGTGACCACGAAACGTGTGAGGGGTGTGCCGAAATGGGTGTGCGGAGGGGGAGAGAGGAGGGAGGAGGTGGAGGAGGAGGAGAGGAGGAGAGGAGGAGAGGAGACGCGGGCCACCGTCTCTTCAAAAAGAGGACCCAACACCACAGGATGGTTGGGAAAAAAAAACAGCATCCAGAGACCGCGCCCCCCTCGCCGGCTTCAGGGGGCCTGGCTCCAGAGGGCCTCGATGTATGGGGCCTGCGCGGGGGCCTCCGACCTCCAAAGGTGCCTCCCCGGAGCCAGGGGGGGGGGCGCACGTGGAAGTGCAGGCGAAGAGGAGGAGGAGGAGGAGGAGGAGGAGGAGGAGGAGGACGACGACGACGACGACGACGACGAGGACGAGGACGAGGACGAGGACGAGGACGAGGACGTGGAGGAGGAGGAGGAGGAGGAGGAGGAGGAGGAGGAGGAGGAGGAGGGAGGAGGAGGAGGAGGAGGAGGAGAGAGGAGGAGGAGGAGGAGGAGGAGGAGGAGGAGGAGGAGGAGGAGGAGGAGGACGACGAGGCGGAGGAGGACGAGGAGGCGGAGGAGGAGGAGGGCGAGGAGGAGGAGGAGGAGGAGGAGGAGGAGGACGAGGAGGAGGAGGAGGAGGAGGAGGGGGGGGAGCGCAGGGGGGAGAGGGCGGAGGCGGAGCAGGCGGGCCAAGGCCTCCGAAGATCTGATGTGTGTCTGTCTCTGCTTTTCTTTGATTGTGATGGCCTTCGGCCAGTGCCACCGAACCGGGGTCCTCTGGAGGTGTCCCTTCCCCCTTGCCCCCCTCCCGCCCCCCCCCGACCTTTTCCTCCCTCCCTCCCTCCACATTCCATTCCCCCCCCCCTTCTCCCTCCCATACCCCTACTTCCCCCTTCCCCGCCTCTCCCGTATTCTCGTCCTTCGCCCACGCTCTTTCTCAGACTCACGCGCCGGATCGGCGGACTTCTCGTCCCCAGCGGGGCCCGACTTCGGGCCCCGGGACCGTCAAAAACACAGGCCCCGCGGGCGAGAGGCCGGCTCCGGGGAATTCTTCCTCCTCCTCCTCCTCCTCCTCCTCCTCCTCCTCCTCCTCCTCCTCCTCCTCGCCGCGGGCCGAACATTTTGTGTGTTGCCGCGCCGTTCGTTCCGACGCGCGGCCTCGCGTCTTGGGGAGGGCGCCGAGGCCACCAGGGCAAGCACCGGCTCAGACGCGGTGGGTTTACCGTGCGTCTGCCGCGGTGCCAGCTTCGTCCACCTGTGGTGCCGGACGCCGGGCCTGCCGTTGCTTTGCCGTGGTATGAGTCAAAAGCGCGGGCGTCATCTCGAAGGAGGTCGGGGGAGGAGGAGGAGGAGGAGGAGGAGGAGGAGGAGGAGGGGAGGAGGAGGAGGAGGAGGAGGAGGAGGAGGAGGAGGAGGAGGGAGGAGGGGGGGGGAGGACGGGGAGGAGGAAAGAAGGAAGGAAGGAAGGAAGGACGGAGGCGGAGGAGGAGGAGGAGGAGGAGGAGGAGGAGGAGGAGGAGGGGAGGGGGGAGGAGGGGGGGAGGACGGGGAGGAGGAAGAAAGGAAGGAAGGAAGGAAGGACGGAGGCGGAGGAGGAGGAGAGGAGGAGGAGGAGGAGGAGGAGGAGGAGGAGGAGGAGGAGGAGGAGGAGGAGGAGGGGGAGGAGGAGGAAGAAAGGAAGGAAGGAAGGAAGGAAGGAAGGAAGGAAGGACGGACGGAGGAGGAGGAGGAGGAGGAGGAGGAGCAGCAGGGAGGAGGCAGGAGGAGGAGGCAGGAGGAGGAGGAGGAGGAGGAGGAGGAGGAGGAGGAGGAGGAGGAGGAGGAAAGGGATAGTAGTACGAGGAGGAGGAGGAGGAGGAGGAGGGGGAGGAGGCCCCTCTGGGATGCTAGGCTGGTCCGGGGGCTCCGACGTCTTGACATTTTTGCATTGCGAGCTCCCCGGAGCTCCGGACCACTCCGCGGGGACCAGTCCTTCGTCCCCGGAGATCGCTTGCTGCACTGTCCCAGGGGTCCGGTCGATCGATTGCGGCCGGGTGGCATTGGGGAGTGACCGAAAGGTTAAGTCGGGTACGTCTTTCTACAGGAGGGCTATTCAAAAACAGCCCATTCAAAAATAGCCCAAAAATAGTCAGGGGACGATTTGTTTGTCTATCTTTTGCCACCTTTGAATTGTTTGTGGTTGTTTTGATTGTTTCACCCCAAGTCCGCCTGTAGGAGGACATGCCCGACCTAAGTGTCACGGGGGAGGGCCCAAAGGGGTGGTGACGAAAAGGGCCTCGGATTGGCCCTCTTGGGCCCCTGCGGGCTCCCAGCGGGGCCCTGAAAAGTGCCCTTTTCGGGTTCTTCTCTGCACCACCCATTTGGGTCACCCCCCACAGGCCACCCGCCCGAGGGCCTCTGGAAGCCGAAGACGACGAAGCACCTCCGCCCTGATCACTGGCTCCAAGCGGGGCCCTGAAAAGTGCCCTTTTGGGTTCTTCTCTTCGCCACCCATTTGGGTCACCCCCCATAGGCCACCCGCCCGAGGGCCTCCGGAAGCCGAAGACGACGAGACACCTCCGACCCGATGTGTTCAGTGCGTTGGCTTCGCGCGGCCCGCTTAGCTTCGACCGGAAGAGGTGCGCTTTCGACCCTGACCCGCGAATCAAAAATTTGTTCACTGCGTTGGGGTTCTGAGGGGCCCTGATCACTGGGTGCTGGACGTTCCCAGCCGCGACCGACGAGAACGGTCGCTACCGAATTTGCCACATTTTTCGGTGTCGGTCGCGACCGATCTGCTCCAAAATCGGTCGCGCCCGATCGATGGCGACCAATCTGTCGCGATCGGTCGCGACCGATTGGGAGTGCCGATCGGTCGCTACCGATCGAACAAATCGATATCCAATGATCTGGGTCGATTGTTGGCGGTCCTGGGGCCTGGCGACGGCCTCTGGACGCCGAAACCAACGAAAAACTTCCGCCTTGATTTTTGTTCAATGCGTTGGGGGTCTGAGGGGTGGGGGAGTCGGACGAGGCTAGGACGAGGATGCATCCGTTCCAGAGCTGTCCCGAATACTCTGAGAGCGTTCCGGCATGCTCCGAGGAGGCCGCGGCGCCCGAGACATCTTCCATCGAGAAATGAAAAACACCATAAACATAAACTCTGGCGTTCCGCGCTGATTTCTTGGATCTGCGCTGGGGCCCCCCTTGCGGCGCCTCTGGCGCCGCACTTTGCGCGCTCCGCGCGCCAGGGGAGGGGGTCCAGCGCAGATCCAGGACATCCGCGCGGAGCGCCAAAAGTTTATGTTGATACCGTCTCTTCTCCTTCTGGAGACATCTTCCAGCTTCCAGAGCCGCTGGATCTCAGAGATGTTCGATCTGTCCTCGCCCGATGCTGCCCTCGCCCTGGCTTCGTCTCACAAGGAGGGGTGCGGCAGAGCGCAAGCAGCCTCCGATCCCCCCGCCTTCACTCCCCCTCTTCGGGGCCTGGCCGTCAGCCTTCTGTCGGGAATGTCCCTCTCCAGGAGGAGTATCCAAGAATTGTAACAATAGTCGGGTGACGATTTGTCGATTCTTCTTGGACGACTATTGCTGATCTTTGTTCGGCTAGTTTCATTCTTCGTCCAAGATCCGTCTGTAGGAGGACATGCCCGACCTAACGTTAGCCTTCAGGCGGGCATGTCCCTCTACAGGAGGAACACTCGAGAAAGGTAAAGCCTAGTCGGGCTGGGATGCTTCGATTATGGTTGGGCTATGTTTGGAGATGTTCTGACTATGTTTTGACTGTCTCCCAACATCCGCCTCCTCTAGGAGGACATGCCCGACCTAAAGTTCGCCGGCGAGAGGCAGAGGCCGTCGCGAGGGCCAGGCGGCGGCCTGCGGGGCTCAGCGGGGGGCCTCCGAGCCGGGGGGGGGGCCCTTTTCCGGGGAGCCTTCTTGGTGTGCATCCACTTGTCCCCGGCCGGGGAGAGTGGCCTCCCCAGGAGATTTCCGAAAGCTGACGACGCGTAAGAGTGACCCAGGCAGTCATCCGGCGTTTCGATGTTTCGAGGCACGGGCCCCCGACCTCTCGACCACTTACTTCCCCGGGGCCGATTTTTCATCCCGAGTCCATTTTGTTGACAGTCCTGGGGCCCGGAAAGGGCCGCCGAAGGCCGAAAACGGAGAAAAAACCTCCGTCGTGATTTTTGTTCACTTTGCGAGGGGGTCTGGGGGGACCATCATGTGGTTCCAAAAAGGACCCCAGGGAAAGGGACTTTGAGACGGGCGGTGCCGATTTCTCGAGCTCGCTCGGCTTCGCCCACGGGGTCGCCGCATGACGCTATCACACTTGCCCTTCTCGAGGTCTCAGTTGGAACGCCGCGGTCTCAGAGGTCCCTTTCGATGGCGTATCTTTTTTCGGAACATCTAGGCCTCCTAGATGGGGTCCGAGCAGTTGGGGTCGGAGGATGGCGCCGCATCGCCGATGCATCGGCGATGCGGCTCGATTCGGAGCCCGAGATTCTCCACCCCGACGTGCCAGTGCATCACTGGCATTGCCCGTGCATCGCCGATGCATCGCTCATGCATCAGCGATGCGGCGCGGACCCCGTCTAGGATTATGCTGTTCCAACCTTCTTTAGCCTTGATCACCACGAAAAAATCCGAGCACCAAGAACGTACCGAAACTGGAGGGTTTTCGCGTGTCGGGCCCTGGGAGGCGATACTCGTTCGACACTTGTTCGGTTCTTTTCTGGGTGCTCGGAATCATCTCTGGGATGTGGCCCTCGAGTGCGACTGGGGGCAACATGAGTTCAGGAGGCTTTTTTTAGAAACGCACCCTTCGCTGCAGGCCTGGCGAGCGCGCGCGGAGGGGGAGGAGGAGGAGGAGGAGGAGGAGGAGGAGGAGGAGGAGGAGGAGGAGGAGGAGGAGGAGGAGGAGGAGGAGGAGGAGGGGAGGAGGAGGAGGAGGAGGAGGAGGAGGAGGAGGAGGAGGAGGAGGAGGAGGAGGAGGAGGAGGAGGAGGAGGAGGAGGAGAGGAGGAGGAGGAGGAGGAGGAGGAGGAGGAGGGGGAGGGGAGGAGGAGGAGGAGGAGGAGGAGGAGGAGGAGGAGGAGGAGAGGAGGAGGAGGGAGGGGCAACATGATCCTTCGCCGGAGTGACTTTCGGTGCGGGCCCACTGGGCTCCCCCCCCCGTCGCGGACTGCGGTGCGGTGGCGGCGGCCTGCGTGCCTGGGTCCGGGCCCCCTCGCGCCCCCCCCCCCCAAAAGAAGAAGCCGCGCCAAAGGTCACCCGTGCTGATGGGCTTATTTTTCCACCACCACCACTGCCATAGGCAGGACGGGGGAGAAGGGAGGATGGGGAGGTCCTCCTCCTCCTCCTCCTCCTCCTCCTCTTCCTCCTCCTCGGGGTCCTCCTCCCCCTCCTCCTCCTTCCTCCTCCTCCTCCATCTCCTCCTTCTGCTGCCTATGGCAGCGGTGGTGGAAAATCACAGCACATCACGTACCCAGGGTCACTCTTCCGTGTAGCCGGGGCTGTTCTTCCATCCCCGTGTTTTTCTGCAGTGTTGGTCACCTGGGCCCATTGCCGGGCCCCGGGACCATCGAAGCCAGCGGCGGGCTTCCGCTGACCTTCCACGGGGAGTGTGGCGCAGCTGTCGGTCCCGTCGGTGCCCCGCAGGTGATGTGGCGCATGCCCCTTCGAACTCGCGCTGCCACAGCTGACCAAGGAGGAAGAAGACGAAGAGGAAGAATAATAACAAACATAGGAACTTCAATAATACTACTAAGAAGAAGAATAGGAGGCGCCGCAATGTCGAGGAAAAGTCGAAGGCGGCATTTCAAGGCCAGGCGGAGGGGCCGGCTCCAACGGGGTCCGCAAGCGCAGATGCAACATTTTGTTTCGTGTGGGCGCGCCAATGGGTGCGAAGTACAGGCTGCAAAATCGAGGACACGAATTATTGCACTACAGAAATAGACTGTTGCGTCCGCGCGCGCGAACTATGGCATCCCAGCCATTGCGCGGGGCCTTGTGTAATGCACGTTCGCAAAACGAACAACTGCATACACTTTTGCGCACATGCTTGTGCCCCCCTTTGCGAAGGACCCCGCAACTCGATTCTATCAGTTCCGTTCACGGAGAAAGTACCTCGCCGTTCTCGAGCAGCTTCTGAAGTTTCCGTGTCTGCTTCAGGCTTCGGCAGGCGACCACGCGAGGTCCACACACGGGCGAGGTGGGGTTGGCGCAAGCCTCGTCGACCCCCGTGAGGCCCCAGGGCTCAAGTGGCCTTCGAGTCTCCTTGAGCGCCAAGGGGAGTTGCATGGGGGCATCCCAGAGGCGGCGGCGCAAGAAATTTGTGCGGGATCTTGCTGGGTCGCGAGGGTAGAGGCAGAACAGCCATGACGCTGAAATGACTACGTCTTTGGGTTTACGATGGGCTTTGGTTTTCGGACCACTCTTTCTGTGGGTCAGGAAGTCTAGGCCTGCTTGATGGGAACGGAGTAGATGGGGTCGGAGGATCGCGCTGCATCGCCGATGCATCGCCGATACAGATCGATGTTGAACCCGGTTTTCTCCGCGCTGGCGTCGCCTATGCATCGCCTATGTTGTCGATGCATCGCCGATGCATCGCCGATGTATCGTCGATGCGGCGCGATCCTCTGACCCCATCAACTCCGACCCCATCTAGGAGGCCTCTAGGAAGCCTGTTCGTGGCCGAGGCTCGCCGTGGTCGGACACGCCTCGGCGCGACACGCTATCCATCCCCGAGCATTTCCCGACCTCCCGCCCCGCAGAGCAGCAGTCGCCGACCTCGAGATGAGAGATGCACTGCGGGCGAGGGAGGAGGGGGACATCTCAGCTTCTGGTGGAGCCCCCCCCTTGTTGGCTCTGCGGCCCGCCATGCATCCCAAGGACGTCGGCGCCGCGCTGCTGACGTTTGGGCGCCTGAGGGCGATCTGCCTGCTGCCGGCGCCGGGGGCGGGCTGGGCCGTGTGGGGTGCGGGGCGGGCATCTGGGGGGGGGACCGACATCGGTGCGGAAACAAGGGGCCAAGAGTGCAGCAGTAGTGCTTGTCCATCCTGACCAGGATTCGCTGTCGGCGTCGCCGCGGGCGTTGTCCGTTTGAGACTGAGAGTCGCCTGCCCAAGAGAGGGCACTGTCGGTTTGTGTTGTTGGGCATCGCACCTATTGCTTCCGTATGTACCCATTGCGGGCGTTCAATGGCATGCGCCGAGCTTGTGCGGGGGGGGTGCGGGAGGGGTCGGTCGGTCGGCTCTTGCCGTCCGGCCATTGCCGGCGTGTGAACAGAAGTTGGATCGGCGTGCGCAGGAATGGCCTATCGTTGCCCGAGTTGCTATGAACATCTCATGGGGTGCCCCCAAGTATTTCCCGAAAGGGGGCACCAGGGCAAGCTGGGTCCCGATGCCAGCAAGATGCAGCAACTACAGCTGCAGCCAAGGGAAGTCTACAAGACTCCTTATGCTGCCAAAGACTCGTCACAGTGTGCGCAGCCGTTGGCACTAATGGCACACTCACGCTTTGTCCTCTGGATCGCCATCCTGGTCCGCGTTGAGTACTGGGCCATTGGATATTCGTTCGGGCCTTTCGGGGCCATACTTGAGGCCTCTTGAGCCCTCTGGGCCGTCTGGTTGCGCCTCTATTGAAAATGCTGGGGCCAACTAGATTGGCAAGGGGCTAAGGGATCCGCGCAACCTCTCGTGCGGCATGTGCCTTGCTCATCTTTCCCCTTCCTGTTACTCGTCCTCCTCCTTTTTCTCCTCCATCTCGTCCTCCGTGCCCTCCTCTTCGAACTCCACGGTCAAGTGCACATTCTTGTGTAAGTGCGCTTCAGGTGTGCAATGGGAGATAAACCGTCCCGCAAGAACTGTCCAAACATTGCTGGTGCCTGCTGGGTCCCTCTGGTCGTAGCTAAGCCTGGACGCTATGTTGAAGTAGTGCTTCCGCAGTGTAAGAAGAACAGAGTTTTTATTTCAGCGCCTGCCAGCAGCGTCGTCTAGACCGGAGGATCGAACAACGACACCATTACCTCCAGCAGAGCCACCCTCGGCGAGGAGGTCCACGATGCCTCCTCGAGCCGGAGATGCGATAATCATCAAGCAATGCGCCGGAAAGCAGCGACACCACACCACCACGATGACCCGCACCTGCAACTTGATGTCGGTGGTGGTGGTGCCGTTTTTCCTTCGCCGTGCAGTTGGCACGTCGGACAAGAAGTCGGCCTGTCAGCAGATGCCCCACGGAAATGCCTTTATCACCCCGACGGCCCCAGGGACGCACAGTAGCTCTGGGGCACCTCAGAACCTTCAAAGATGGGCATAGCATGTTTCCCGCGTTTCCTTTGCAGCAAGACTTGCTATTTCATGTGCCTACCGTAACTGCCTATCCCAGACCCCCTCGGGTAATTAAACAAATCGTACGTAGCACCCCGCAGATGCGGATAAGAGTGAGGGGGCGGTGGGGACGTCGGCAGTTTGCGAGACTCTGGAGAAGCCCGCCGCAGGCGCCACAATTTTATAATTTATACAGCGAGCCCGCCGTAGGCGCCGATTTTTCGTTAGACCCATGTGGGTAGGTCGCGGGTGGGTCGCAAATGGGTCGCGGGTGGGTCGCTGTTGGGTCGCGGGTGGGTCCCGGGTGTAGAAGGGCAGAACATCGAACCCGCAATAATAACCCTGACAAGCGAAGCCGTTTAGTAAACGCACACAAGGAAGGAATCGAACAGGGCAGGGCTGTTTAGTCAACGCCCAGGGCCGTTTAGTAAACGTAAATTGTCGGGTCCGGGTGGGTCGCGGGGTGGGTCGCGGGTGGGTCGCGGGGTGGGTCGCGGTGGGTCGCGGATGGGTCGCGGGATGGGTCGCGGGGTGGGTCGCGGGTGGGTCGCGGGGTGGGCCGCGGGTGGGTCGCAGGGTGGGTCGCGGGGTGGGTCGCGGGGTGGGTCGCGGGGTGGGTCGCGGGGTCGGTCGCGGGTCGGACGACCACAACAAATAATAACAACAACAACATCAACAACAACAACAACAGCAACACTAGGTTTACCCTCATACGCGATGTTTCCATACGAAGCATGCGACCATCATGATAAGCATCCACGTACTGGGGGGCTCTTGTTCTACAGCGGGGTCCATTATTCTCATTCCCAGATCTCCCGCCCAATGAGGTCTTGCAAACACCTCCTCAGAGGAATGTCAACATATCCCGCCTCGAAAACACATGCCCTCGCCTTGCTGCGCCGATGCGAGACTGCCAGTGGAACCCCAGCGAAGGGTAAAGCACAAGGAAGTATCGACCGACAGGATTGCCTTGGTGGGGATGGGGGCTGTCGGCGGTGAGGCAAGGACCTGGCCCTGAATAGAAAGGGAGGAAGTCTCGAGCAGGGCTGCTGTTGTTGTTGTTGTTGTTGTTGTTGTTGTTGTTGTATGTTGTTGTATGTTGTTGTTGTTGTTGTTGTTGTTGTTGTTGTTGTTGGTGTTGTTGTTGTTGTTGTTGTGTTGTTGAACTCTCATTCTTGAAGAATAATTATTGTTGATCCCCCCCCACCGGTGCACATTGTTTTTTTTTTCGATTGAAGTGCCACCCCCGGGGCTCGCACTTTGTTTTTTCTCAAGGAAAGTCTTCCTGCTCAAACTGTGCCCCTGCCCCCCGGGCTACAACAACAACGGCTCCCGCCTGAGACTTCCTTTATTTGTACTCAGGACCCCCGCTCCCGCCTGAGACTTCCGCGCAATTTACTCAGGAAAGGCGCTCCCGTCCGAGACTTCCTCGCAATGTAATCAAGACCCCCGCTCCCGCCTGAGACTTCCGTGCAATTTACGTGGGAACGGCGCTCCCGCCTGAGACTTCTTCGAGTTTTACTCAGGACCCCCGCTCCTGCCTGACATTTCCGCGCAATTGACTCAGGAACGGCGCTCCCGCTTGAGACTTCCTCGCAATTTAGTGAGGACCCCCGCTCCCGCCTGAGACTTCCGTGCAATTTGCTCAGGAACGGCGCTCCCGCTTGAGACTTCCTCGCAACTTAGTCAGGGCCCCCGCTTCCGCCCGAGATTTCCTCACAATGTACTCAGGACTGCGCTCTCGCGTGCGACGTCCTCGCAAATTATTCTGGAATTGCGTTTCGGCGCTCAGGAACCACGCACGCGCCAAGGACGCCTTCACAACGTGGTATCTTCCCTCTTCCTTCGTCCTTCCCCCTCCCCTTCCTCCCACTCTCCCTCGTTCTTCCCCTCCTCCTCTTGCAGGGCCCGCGCCAATTCCAATGGCGGGCAGAGAGATGTACGCCCCCGAAGGATTGTCCGCCCGTTCCGGTTTGCCCGTACGTCTAAGCCCGCCGGCCCCAGCAAAGAGAAATAATCCCCCCGAAAGGGGTGTGATCGAAGACGAAGAGGGCGGGTATCGAGGGTGTAGGGTATACGTGTTGAATGACTCGCGGGCAAGTAAGAGCGTACAGCCTTAAAATGGTTGTTGTTGTTGTTGTTGAACATTATTTTATTCTAAAGAATAATTATTGTTGGGACCCCTGGTGCGCGACCCCCCGCGCCGCCTAGGCCGCAGCTACATTTTCATCATTTTCGTGAGGAAGCCTCAGGTAATACGATGTCATCAAGATCCGGTTGTTTTGTTCCCCCCGCTGTCCCTTGCAAAAAACACTATAAAATGAAATTTCTTGTTCTAAAATAACCAAACTTCAAGAATCCCTTGCAAAAAATAAGGTAAAGTGGACATTCGCGCGCGCAAGACGAAATCCTTCCAAAACCTTAGTGTTCGTAGCGATTTCAACATAAAAACATCAAAAAACCAATGTTTTTTTTTTTTTTTTTTTTTTTTTTTTTTTTTTTTTTTTTTTTTAAAAAAAGTGTCACAATTTCATCCCGCGCGCTCTTGCGGATTTGCAGGAAACCCAACTTTTTTAAACATTTCTGTCAAACGGGCTTTTGCGATCAACTTCTTCACGTGCTTCGAACTTCTCCAACAACGGTTGCGCACCTGCCAGGGCCATCATCCCTGTCAAATAATACCATGCGGGACACATTCGTTTTTTCTTTCCGTGCGCACGCCGAAATCTTCAAAAACCATTGGGTTTCGTAGGAATTTTAGCACCGCGCAACATAAAATCATTTTTCGCACCGTAGGCCCTTCAAATCGTCGTCGTCGTATACTAAGCTAGTTTCCACAAGATGTTACCACAAGAAGTCATTGAAACCATGCGCCAGTGTAGTAGCCACGGTCGTCCGCATGCCACGAAGTGAAGTGTCCGAACGTCATAGGGCGGGAAGCTGGGTGTGGGTGGTGGCGAAGAGTCGTTTGGAAATGTGGTAGAGCTTGAACCGGCCCCCCCACAAAGTGGGGGTATTGGCGGGCGTCGTATGAAAACCCTGGCACTGGTGAGAACGAGCGTCCCGGGTAACATGATTGTTGTTGTTGTTGTTGAACATTATTTCTTCTAAAGAATAATTATTGTTGGGGCCCCTGGTGCGCGCCCCCCCCGCCGCGCCTAGGCCGCAGCCTCATTTTCATCATTTTCGTGAGGAAGTCTCAGGTAAAACGATGTGATCCAGATCCGGTTGTGTTGTTACGATCGGTTTTCCCTTGCAAAAAATAAGCTAAAGTGGACATTTCTTGTTCTAACATAACCAAACTTCAAGAATCCCTTGCAAAAAATAAGGTAAAGTGGACATTCGCGCGCGCAAGACGAAATCCTTCCAAAACCTTAGTTTTCGTAGCGATTTTAACATAAAAACATCAAAAAACCAATGGTTTTTCAAAAAAAAATTGTCAAAATTTCATCCCGCGCGCTCTTGCGGATTCGTAGGAAACCCAACACTTTTTAAACATTTCTGTCAAACGGGCTTTTGCGAGCAACTTTTTCGAACTTCTGCAACAACGGTTGCGCACCTGCCAGGGCCATCATCCCTGTCAAATAATACCATGCGGGACACATTCGTTTTTTCTTC